ACCTTTAAAATTCGCTCAAGTTTGGCCAAAATTGTGACATTATTAGGTAAAGTTTCATATACATGAATTTGACCTATTTTACCTCAAATTGTCGACGTAATATTTCCTTTTTAAAGGCCTATCTGTCGGATGTAGGAGTGGAAACGTGTTCTAGGGACCCTGAGGTATCTTCCTAGCAAGTTTCAAGAAATTTCATTTTTTGGCCAAAATTGAAAAAAATGTAAGGGGTTAGCCTTACTTTTTTTTCGATTTTGGCCAAAAAATGAATTTTCTCCAAATTACTCATCAATGCTTAAGGATGCTTTGGGAGCATGATTTAATATTCAGAGCGGCAAAATTCGCTAAATTTTGGCCAAAATTGTAACATTATTAGGTAAAATTTCGTATACATGAATTTGACCTATTTTACCTCAAATTGTGGACGTAATATTTCCTTTTTAAAGGCCTATCTGTTGGATGTAGGAGTGGAAACGTGTTCTAGGGACCCTGAGGTATCTTCCTAGCAAGTTTCAAGAAATTTCATTCTTTGGCCAAAATTGAAAAAAATGTAAGGGGTTAGCCTTACTTTTTTTTCGATTTTGGCCAAAAAATGTTTTTTCTCCAAATTACTCAGAAATGCTTAAGGATGCTTTGGGAGCATGATTTAATATTCAGAGCGGCAAAATTCGGTAAATTTTGGCCAAAATTGTGACATTATTGGGTAAAATTACGTATACATGAATTTGACCTATTTTACCTCAAATTGTGGACGTAATATTTCCTTTTTAAAGGCCTATCTGTCCGATGTAGGAGTGGAAACGTGTTCTAGGGACCCTGAGGTATCTTCCTAGCAAGTTTCAAGAAATTTCATTTTTTGGCCAAAATTGAAAAAAAATGTAAGGGGTTAGCCTTACTTTTTTTTCGATTTTGGCCAAAAAATGAATTTTCTCCAAATTACTCAGAAATGCTTAAGGATGCTTTGGGAGCATGATTTAATATTCAGACCTTTAAAATTCGCTCAAGTTTGGCCAAAATTGTGACATTATTAGGTAAAATTTCATATACATGAATTTGACCTATTTTACCTCAAATTGTCGACGTAATATTTCCTTTTTAAAGGCCTATCTGTCGGATGTAGGAGTGGAAACGTGTTCTAGGGACCCTGAGGTATCTTCCTAGCAAGTTTCAAGAAATTTCATTTTTTGGCCAAAATTGAAAAAAATGTAAGGGGTTAGCCTTACTTTTTTTTCGATTTTGGCCAAAAAATGAATTTTCTCCAAATTACTCAGAAATGCTTAAGGATGCTTTGGGAGCATGATTTAATATTCAGAGCGGCAAAATTCGCTAAATTTTGGCCAAAATTGTAACATTATTAGGTAAAATTTCGTATACATGAATTTGACCTATTTTACCTCAAATTGTGGACGTTATATTTCCTTTTTAAAGGCCTATCTGTTGGATGTAGGAGTGGAAACGTGTTCTAGGGACCCTGAGGTATCTTCCTAGCAAGTTTAAAGAAATTTTATTTTTTGGCCAAAATTGAAAAAAATGTAAGGGGTTAGCCTTACTTTTTCTATAAATTTTGGCCAAAAAATGAATTTTGTCCAAATTGCTCAGGAATGCATATCGATGCTTAAGGATCTCGATGTGGTATTCAGACCTTCAAAATTTGCTAAATTTCAGCTCAAATGTGGCATTTTTGCAAAACAAATCATAAATTTGCCCTATTTTACCTGAAATTTTCGACGTATTTTCTTTCAAAAGGCATAACTGTCGGATGTAGGAGTGGAAACGTGTTCTAGGGACCCTGAGGCATCTTCCTAGCAAGTTTTAAGAAATTTCATTTTTCACCCAAAATTGGAAAAAAATGTAAGGGCTTAATAGCCTTATTTTTTTTTTTATCAATTTTGGCCAAAAAATGAATTTTCTCCAAATTACTCAGAAACGCATATCGATGCTGAAGGATCACGATTTAGTATTCAGGCCTTTAAAATTTGCTAAATTTCGCCTCAAATTGTGGCATTTTTGGCTACAAAATCATACATTTTCCCTAGTTTACCTGAAATGTTCGACGTATTTCCTTTTAAAAGGCATATCTGTCCAATGTAGGAGTGGAAACGTGCTCTAGGGACCCTGAGGCATCTTCCTAGCAAGTTTTAAGAAATTTCAATTTTTTACCCAAAATTGGTAAACAATGTGAGGGGTTAGTTAGCCTTACTTTTTTATCAATTTTGGCCAAAAAATAGATTTTCTCCAAGTAACTCAGAATTGCATATCGATGTTTTAGGATCACGATTTGTTATTCAGAACGGCAAAATATGCTAAATTGTGACCCAAATTATGGAATTTTTTTGCTAAAAAATCATAATTTTACCTATTTTACCTGAAATTTTCGACGTCATATTTCCTTTTGAAAGGCAAATCCGTCCAATGAAAGAGTGGCAACGTGTTGTATGGACCCTGAGGCATATTCCTAGCAAGTTTTAAGAATTTTCATTTTTCAGCTTAATTTGAAAAAAAATGGAAGGTGTTAGCCTTACTTTTTGATCAATTTTTTTTTATCAAATTTCACCAAAATCAACTTTTTATCAAATTTCATTGAAATACAATGTGTTTATCTTGTGTTTCCGTTTGCACAATAATTGTGTTTACATCCCGAACGGGCAGACGTCGCGACCCCTGAAAAAAACAGAAACACTGTCGCGAAATAAAAACGCATGCGCAGGGCGCCGCCATTTTGAATTCCGATGGCTTCAGACCTTTCAATTGACTCCCATAGAGTGATAATTACACGCACTTCCATTTTTTTTATGCTCACAACTCTTGATCGCCAAGGCGTTTAACATTTTTATCAATTAAATCCAGTATTCCTTGAGTTGTTTCCCCTAAACGAGTTTGTTCTGTATTTCAAAATTGAATATTCTTCCAGTGATTTGTCATGATGACTGTGTTACATTATGCGATTTAATTTCATGAGAAACCATCCAACAATAAAAAAAAAAGAGCCTACCCGAAACAAATATAGTATTTTATGCGTGAAAAATACAAACCAAATGAAAAATGAAAAGTCAACGTCCATGAAAAAAAATAATATACTCGTTGTTTGAGCAATAACCCGAGCTCACCAGGCCAAGCTATATTAAGTTGTAAGTTCAGCAAGAGATCGGTCTTGATGTCTTACATTAGAAGATTCAATGAGAAACCGTCAAACAACTAAAACAATTCTTTCGGGAAAGGGCGCGCTGAAATAAAACTAGTGGTCTCGCACGGCCAAGACATACATCTGCACGCCGAAGAATATTTTAAATTTCGTTCAATAGAGGGCGCGCCACATAAATAGTGGTCTCAACAACGCATCAACACGCATGCTGCACAATTGAACAAAAAGAACAAACTCGTTTCCGATGAACTACTCAAGAAATACGAACTGGATTAAATTTAAATTTCGTGCAATTAGTTTTTACAATGTGTAGCATAAGTAGTTTGAATGGCGTGAGAAACCGTCAAGCTATAAATATAATATGATCGTAACAATCTAGTGTTTTAAACTCTATAAATCCACGTTGACTTCCATTAGGATTGTATTTGTCGCGATTTAAACCCTGCATTGTTACGGTTATAATAGCTTGATTATTCGACATTTTTTTTATGAATTTAAATCTTTTGGCGTCAACCATCATGACAAATGAGTGTACGAAAATTCATTGTAATGTAAGGTGTATTTCTTGAGTTGTTGACAACAAATCGAGTTTGGAGGTGAGACCACTATATTTGCAAAGGAGTGTAGGGATCATTTTTATCAAGATGACGATTGGCTTCGCCACCACTTTTATACTAGGGTGGTCATCTTCGGTAGGCAATGTGTCCCAAAGGTTATCAGATTACCCCCCCCCCAACATAAAAAAAAATGAACTACGCATTTCAACTTCGCCGTCGCGGAATTGCTCAACCAAACCTATGAATTTGTATATTATTATGCAGCATAGAATTACACGCACTTCCAGGGTTTTTTTTTAATGCTCACAACTCTTGATCGCCAAGGCGTTTGAAGTTTTAACCAATTAAATCCAGTATTTCTTGAGTTGTTGCCCCCAAAACGAGTTTGTTCTGTATTTCAAAATTGAATATTCCTCCAGTGATTTGTCATGATGACTGTGTTACATAATGTGATTTAATTTAATGAGAAACCATAAACAATAAAAAAAAAAAGAGCATACCCGAAACAAATATAGTATTTTATGCGTGAAAAATACAAACCAAATGAAAAATGAAAAGTCAACGTCCATGGAAAAAATAATAATACACTCGTTGTTTGAGCAATAACCCGAGCTCACCAGGCAAAGCTATATTAAGTTGTGAGTTCAGCAAGTGATCGGTCGACGGTACTTGAATAAAATACTTAAAAGCCAGCTACCTTCCGAGTCAATTTACAGTGATCAAGACCTGTAAACAGTCTCCTCTTAAGACTATGATTACGTGCCCTGGAAAAATATGGGGCATCAGCCTGATGCGTTTAAAGTGGGGCGCTCTAAAATGTTTACAGTTGAGTTCTCACGACCAGAGAAGATAGCCTTCCGCCCATCGCGTCAAATATAGATGCATGTAATTGGATTTAATTAGAAAAAGTTGACTTATATTCTTGAATCGTAAGGTATGCTGGAAAGAATAGTGTGGGAATATTTGGACCTGAATTCCATTGATACTAGACGGAAACCAGGGCAATTGCTTTGTTTGACCAGAAATTCACTCGAGATGGAAGGTATAGTGGAAACACCATGCAAACAAAACCGAGTGATCTTATGATGACTTGAAAATTGCAACTCAGCATTAACAGACCTAGGAGCAATCTTTAAGAATGACAATACTATACAGGGACTCTTAATCTCGATTACGAATCCATAAGACGGACCTCTATTTTGATAACTAGTTTGACGGTGTGCCGAAATCTTAGACTTTTTACTCGAGTCTTCGAGTGTTAAATAATTCTTGCAGTTGCAATGAAGACCCAGTTTTTCGTCAACATGAGTTCACCCAACATAACTTTTGCGGCAACAGCGGCAAGTTCTGGGTTTGTTACGGTAGACTTGGAGGAAACCACCATCGTCGCATTGCTTCTTATGGCGCTGGTTATTCTGTTGATTCTTGTGCTTAATCCCATATGCCTTGTCGCGCTACGTCGCGCCAGTGCCATGCACGACTCAACCAAGATCTTGATGGCATCACTCACCATATCTGACTTATGCACGGGGGTCTTGTGTGCAGTCCCTCAGATAACAGAAGACATATCCCAGAGATGGATCTTGGGAGACTTTCTTTGCTTGATGTGGGGAATAGCGTACCCATCCACGATCATACTAAGTGTCACGTCACTGCTTCTGCTGACGATCGATCGATTTATCGCCATCGTCCATCCGCTGCGACATCCGTGCATAATGACGTCATTGAGTTCAAAGGTCATAGTCGGGGTCACATGGACTTCAGCGTACCTTACAAATGTCGTTTTGTACGGCGTATATTTCCAAGCCACCGCATCAAAGCGAACTTATTATCGGTGCAATTATTCGGACGTCGAGGTGTATATTTACTCCAGTATCTGCACTCTCGCATTCCCGCTGGTCATCATACTTGTACTGTATCTGTACATCCTACGCGTTGCACAACGCCAGGCACGACGAATCGCTGATCAAAACCACGCTACGTCGGAGGAGCAGAACGCCGGGCGTCGATTGAGCACCAAGTCAGCTACGACAGTCTTCATCGTGACGGGAACCGTGTTCATCTGCTGGACCCCTGCTCTAATCCTACTCTTGCTATTCATCACACAACAAATCACGTTTCACCCCAGCATGTCCATTGCTGCAAAAGCGGTTTTATTTAGTAACAGCTGGCTCAATGTCATCATTTATTACTGGAGGAACGCGGAGCTTCGGCAAGCAATACGCGGCGTGATATCGTGCATATGCCGCCACTTGTGTTAAACATAATATACGTCAGAACCCGCCAGAGGTAAAATGAACCTTAAAGAAACAGAACCCAAAGCTTGGCTCCGTGTCCGCATTTTACTGACTTTCATAATTGCCCCCAAAATAATAAGCATATAGGTGCACCTCGGGCCTACGCATTTTGTTTCTGGTAGATAGTGCGGATTGATTTTGAAATCAATAATCATAATAAATGAACATATTTCTTTCCTCTTTCCTTTTATCAAAAGCCTTATTAAGTTGTGGTTGACACAATTTGACACTATTATCAAGTTAAGTTTTGGTGGACACAATTCGTCACCGACACCTGGTAACACACAAACCCAAGTTCAGTGTTCCTTCGTGAAACCACTTATAGCACATTTTGGTTTCACGAACACTGGCGCGAACGATTTTCGTTTTCACAAGTTACAGCAATTGTACGGAAATACTACTTGGATAAAAATGTTTTAAAGTGTTTGACAGGAATGTATTTAATCTTTATTCTTGTATGATTACAGAACATTTTAGTAAAGAACCTTCAAACTGGTGAAATATAGATGAGTGTTACTTCGTGAAAACGAAAATGACCGAGTCGCCGCACAGTGCACATGAGTGTTACCACAGATCGTACAGCGCCGTGTATCGCAGCGTGTTACTTCGTGAAAACGAAAATCACTCGGTTCTATAAAATACAAGCGCATGGCACGTACTCAAGTCCAAAATTGGGTGTTACTTTGTGGTGTCGCTGATTGGTGCTATTTAGTTTCGGTGAACTCTTTGTTTTTACCAAACGAAACCCGTGCACAGTACTATTCACTCAAGGTAAACACATCAAAGCAAGGACATCTAAACCGGCCAAGAACGTAGTGACGTAACGAACGATAAGATACGTGCCATTGCTTCCTGCTCCATTGTGTCCTTTTAGATACGCACGTATGCATTAAACCTTTGTTCTGACTGAATAAAATTAATCTACTCATTAATTAAGCAAATTAGAATGAAGCATTTACCCAGACTTTCTCCAATTGTTTGTAACGTGTACTCTTTCAAGTGAATTCTACCACCAACGTTGTAAGTAGCAGTTTATCAGAATGAATATTGAAAACAATATACTGCTGTCATGGAATACGCATGCGTAGCACATGTCCTTCATGGTATCTCTGTGACATCCTCTTTTCACTTCCTCCTTTCTCATAATTGATTAAATGACAGAACAATGTGGTCAGTTGTCAAGTTAAGGTCTTCAGCCATGGATCGAGAATCTCCAGTGTTGGGTTTTCTGTGCCTGATTTGCTGTCTTGGTACAATCAAACAAGCCGTCGACGCCCAAATTGTTAATGTTATTAAAAGACAACCAGTGGGCGATCCTGTTGAGGGCGATATGGTCCAGCTACGCTGTAGGGTTTCAAATCTCTTAGAGGGTCACTTCATCGAGTGGACCAGAGAAGCCGCAGCAAACGAGGTCTTAGCAAGGAACGGCAGCAGCCTGAATCCAAAGATTGCAGTCGAAGGCGTCAATTCAGTCTCCGAGACCTCTGTCCCCATCAGAACTGAGTTACTCGACATCACCAGCGTGGATCACTCATCAGATACCGGCGTCTATTACTGTTGCGTAAAGTATCAAGGTAACACTCTTGGAGCTGCTAGTGTTTATTTGACCGTGCTGTACTTTCCGATTCCGATATGTTTCCCCAACGGACCTTTCTCAGTCCAAGAAGGTGATGTCCAGTATCTAAGCCTCACCACGGAGTGGGGGATGCCACCGGTCAATATGCTCCGAACTACCCGTGATTTCGATTATGACTGGATGTCTTTAATGGTCGGCGGTGCACAGGTGCAATCCTACGAGCGCGTCATTCAACATATCGACAACGGCAAAGTTTTCAATTTCTCTATCAGCTCTGCCGGGTTTCCTGGACTGACACGAACATGCAGTATCGGCCCAATTAACGTGCTTGCCATGACCACACCTGAGACAATAACGACGAAATCCGATGAAAATACAGTCACTGAGGATGACACCCAAGAAACAACAGCATTCAAAATGACAACCAGTGAGATATCGTCAAGCACTGATGACGTCACGCGGCCGGACATGTCATCCACTTCAATGCCTGATCCCTCCTGTCGTCAAACTCTGACTGACAAACTCCCTTGGATCGCTGCTATCGCTGGAACGCTTGTCCTACTCTTCATTTCTCTCATGTCCAACATCTGCTTGATACGCCGAAGACGTAGCCGGAAAACCCCCAAACAGAAACAAGAGTTCATGGAGCTGAAGAACCTGAGGAGCTTGAAACACCGACCAGACGAAGACGAAGAAAACGGCAACTACTCAGAAATCTTGGAGAGACAAAGGAGCGCCATTCAGCACACGTATTACGGAGAGGAGGCGATCACTGAGGTTCCCAAGTATGCCACACCGCGTCTGCAGGGGCGAGGAATCACCCTAGAGGGCGGTGTTGAACATCAATATCAGAACACACGAAGAAACACCCCCTCTACGGCATCCCTCCCCGCAGTGTTCTGACCAATCACTGCCGTTAGTCTGATACACCGACCTCAAACTGACTGGATAGCGTATGTTGCTTTTTAATACATTTTACACAGACGGCACAAAAAATTATATCGAGATTTTGATATTTTCCCGTGCACTGATAGATTTTATTTAAGAGTTTTATTTTAGAGTTCTAGTTATTTAACACATCATGTATCATATCAGGGTCATTATATCGTTGACAAATGCTAGGGACATTTATGGCACCATAATGTATTTTGCCTTCGCCAACTTGAACCTAAAATAAATGAAAGCCTTCAACCTTTTTAAACTCGTTTGCATGGTGCCCCCGAGCTAACTGAGGGGAGCTATTTATTGTTTTATTTATTTATTTATTTTCTGGTAATGAAGCCAATGATTCCGCAAAATTGTCCTAGGCACTGTAGCTCGCAAGCCAGAAGAAACCTGTGGAGAGAAGACAATGAGAAGAAATGACAGTTTTAGAGGTGGGAGGAAAACCCCAGAAGAATATTCTGGGGGAAAACCACAGAATCAGGTAGGGACTGAAAACAAAATCCACATGTGAACCAGGACAGGAATCGAACCCGGGTCACAGCGGTGGAAGGCAAGGAAAGTAACCACTGCGACAACCTAACTTGTTATGCAAATCAGTGAATAGTGTCCACTCACGCGTATCACAGGTGAACAATGACGTATCATCCTAACATGTGACGTCAGACGCAAGGGAATATTAAATTAACTCCCCAAAAATCAAAACATGTCAGTGAATTTCGATACTTGAAAACTGAAGTTCTTTTTCAGTGAATATTTTAGAATAGTGATTTCAACACAACCGCTAAGCAGTATTTGCAACGTTTGATGCAATTAAAAAAAAAAAAGTCAAGCAATGCGTCATAACCCAATCTCTCCATTAACATAACGGATGTTTCCTGAACGGAATGACCTTGCATGATTCCGATTTCCCTTCACGCCAGCGCTAGCAATTGCTTCGTCAATGTGTGAGCAAAACTTACTGTACTATAACATTGCTTTTATGGTTCTTAATGAAAGAAAGAATACGTGTATTTAAAGACCAGGAAGAGGGAGTAAGTCCCAGGCAAACAAACAAAACGACAACGCTGAAAACAAAAAGTTTCTTCAGAATAGAGTCCAAAATGTACATTTATTTATTTATAATTTGAAATGTATAAAGAAAATACCTTCCCCTTCTTGACAGTAATATACAGTGTCAACAAAATAAATTCCACGGTGTTATTTAAAATCAGTCTTAGTTCCTCCCCTTGAGATAAACATCATAAGGAAAACATTATTCTGTCTTTTGGTTTCTAATTTATTCCAAAATTTAATTTGTCCTTTCCATTTATGATTAAAAGCAGTCACTTTCTTTTTATAAAATATGGTTTTAAGCCACACTGAAAAGGAAAATTCGCACTATATGTGTTGTCAGTCATGACTTTTCAATTATAATTGACCAATTCTTACGTTTTATTCTCCCAACTTGAGGTTTTACTTCCTCAAAAGACATTGAAATTGAAAATATATAAAAAATTATGTGAACCCCCTCCCCTTTGACACCCCCCCCCCCAAAATTATGACAATTATACTGGTAATCATGTCCGCCTGTGCGCAACATTTGGACAGAGCCAGCTGGGGTACTGGATTTTTTTGTACACTATTCTGTAATATAGTGCTCATGATCGTCGGATTTGCATCGGATTTACGGAGGCCAAGTGTCCGGAGAAAAAAGAAAAGAAACGTCTATATTTCAGCGTTGATGTGATGATGAAACAACCCCCCCCCCCGCAACAATTCCTGGATCCGCCCCTGAGATGCTACCCTCAGATCGTCTATACTCTGTCTCAACACACTGATAATTTTCAACACTTCTAGAATGAACTGGATTCATTACAGAAGTGGTATTCTTAGATCTACAAATTCACTTGTTATGTAATTATCACTGTTATCAAACCTAATTCTCGCTAAATGTAGGGGACCCAATGATACCCCTTTAATTTGTTGCATGTCCTTCATTGTCGTCCTTAGTTTTGTTCGTAACGGGTTGTCCGGGAAAACACTTGCGCAATGATCTTTAATTTAGTACGTGTAGTTCATCACAAGTTTTAATCATTGGAAATGCGGGCCAAGGACCTTAAAATGTAACAACATTTGTTTATTTTTTATCACTGTTCTCTTTGTTGTAAATTTACGAGGTTTGGCGGCCTGATATCAACTTTAAGTTTTTCCGAAGGGTTTAGACTTAACTACACGGGCATATAAATACCGCCCAAAAACGCGGGTTTTGGCACCGCCTCCCCGACTCTTTACAGGTAATCGTGTCCTTTCTTTTACTCCCATTTTTGTAGCGTAAAATTCATTATTTTGTGGAAACTTTTGGGGTCAGATGGCCTACTACCTTTACCGCAATTTATCATAGACTGGTTTAATAAGGATGGGGATGGCTTAATTGTTGGGTTGAAAATGTGGAATTTAGGTGAAGTTTGAGGTAGTGTAATGTTAGAACTTTAACGTTGATTTTTGACAATAGTGACATGTACATGTACGTGCGTTGTGACTGTGTAAAACATCACATTGGTTAACGTGCAAGACTTACGAAATTTATTGGATTGTGGGATTAGATTTGGATTTTATGTGACATCAGTAATTTAACTGTAACACCTTTACATGTGTGGGATTAAGTGTAGTTACCCTTGAACTTTGGATCGCTCGCTGTCAAGTTTAGTAGGCATGGCGGCCGTGTTGGATACTCGGGGAGGGTTTGTGTGTGTGCGGTGAGTGTGCGTGCGATCGTCGGTCAGCCAGCGCGCGGGGTTGACCTGTCTGCTTGTGTCCCTGACCCGTGTAGCCGGCGCTGCCTTCATGCCTATTCAGTTACATGTATGTTGTTTTAAGTTAAGTGTGGCCCAAATTGGTTATTATTGTTTAATGTTTATTGTGTATGTTTATTGATGATGAATTATGTGTAACAAAATTAACAGACCGCCTGCCCGACTCTTTACAGGTAGCCCCAGTCTCGGGGCCTGACTACCACAACTACGTGCAGAATAAACCCTCTGAGGGAAGAGAACAAATAACACTCGTGAACCTGCGTGCCTGGCCCCCTCCTTCCTCCCCCCCCCCCCCCCCCTTACCACCGGGGCCCGGTTCTCCACATAAACATCTTTTTAAAAGGAAAAAAAAAGGATAAAGTCCGGCACGCTGTCTGACTAATGCTAATGTTTATCATGATCTGCCTAACCAAGACTATGTGGAACTTTGACTAACATAAAACAACAGGTGTGAAACAGGCGAGTACACCTGGAGAAAACGCCTCGCAAAAAAACGGGGGAAGTAGTGGAACAATCCAGGTTAATTAATAATTTGAATCAAAACTATTCTTACGTAGGTTAAAGAGGAGGGGATAGTTGCAATGAAAGGGAGGGACAAAAGTGGGACGGGCTTGTATTGACCTAACAAGAACGGAACTAACCATCAACAGATAAAAATTGAAAATTACTTGGAATACTCTTTGTCTGGGAACCCCAGAAAACAGTGGTCTTTTCATAATAGTACATGCAGGACTGTGTTTTTGAAGATAGAGTGGATGTGGCTGCAGATAAAGCGACAGGACAGGTTCCAGTCTAATTCGAGATCAGTGATCAAGTCCATGACTATGGGTTAATGTACAAAACCAAGAAGTGGTCGCGGTTTCAACACAAAATATCAGCCTTCAGTCATCAGGCGGAAAAATATCAGCCTTCAGTCATCAGGCGGAGAGTTGAACTACAGGACAGACGAATCATGCCTGGCAAAGTCAAAGGTAGGCGTAAAAGACCCTCGTTGAAAAATAAGAAAAGAAACAAAAACTTGACCCATCACGCACACTCTGCGTTGTACATGTAGAAGGGACAATTTACAAGCAAGGGGATATGCTATAGGTACAAGAGGGCGCCGTTTCGAGGAGTGGAAAAGCAATGGTCGACACAAAAAGGACCCACTTACACATGTCGCTTCTCAACGGAACAAAAATGCTTTGCAAATGTACGCGCCTATAGCAATGGAGAACCAATCATCACCTGCAATGTATGATCAATTGGCATTAAGCGTGCCGACTGGTTAATCTATGCAAAGCTGACGAAAAATCAGCACAATGTCTGTGCTAAAACAATCAGCACAAAGTAGATAAGAAACTGGCATTTGGACTTCTTCTGTTCAATATAATATAGGCAGTGGATATTTTGCCGGAGACGGCAAACCTTTAGTAAACGTTGGTTTGCCGGATATGCACTGAACATGCGCAGTTACTGTTTTTTGGTACTTGACAAATGTTAGTCTGGCTCCATGCCAATATTATCGTTGTAACTTTGTATTCACAAGATGGGAATCAGACCATTTTATAATTTCGGACTTTATTTCCCTTTAAAAAAAACTTCTCCAGAGCCACAAATCTGAAAAGAATATGTAATACTCTGCAATAAAATGTTTGAGACATGTTAAAATAATAAAAGAAGAATATTCTTATTTATTTGGGGATGGGGAAAAAAAGCTTAGAAAAGTGACGTGGCGGGGATCGGATCGGAATCGAACCCGGGTCATCCCAACCTCGACCCCAGGGTGTTGAGCAGTACGCGCCCATCACTACCTGCTCTCTCACCCTGGTATTGGATCATTTGCATGTGCAAGATTTTGAACACGTATGCAAATGAGGAATAGTCTGGTGCCTGCATGTGCGTTACATTATCGTTCGTTTTTGTATGCGGTGTCTGGGGTAAAAACAGAGTCAATTCGTCGCAGCGCGAGCACGGCGTGAGTTACGAAAACGCGATTTATTTAATTAAACTGTTACGATCTTATCGAGACAACATGCAGTATCACATTTCATATTAATATGAACAAATTGGAAAAGGAAAGGAATGTTTTTGAGAAGGCGTGGACGAATGATCGTGAAAACACGTACTGCACGTTGTGAATAACAACACCAAGTACACGATAAAAATCCATTACTAGCCAATTGCGATATCAAATCAGGATACAGGAAGAAAAATTACTATCCAGGGTTTACTATTGGAAACACGGTTGGAAATAAAGTAAGCACTGGGGACGAGGTTGGGGTCATCCCGCTCACGAAAGCCATCAGCCTCGACTCCAGGGGCGCGTGCTCGTTCCTTACACTAACCCCTGGCTGTGATGATGACGTAAATGACACTGAATGGCTATTCACAGCGTACTGCGCGGGCATTTCGAAGATTGTACGCCGGGCGCGCCCATAGGGCGCTCGCGCTCGCGGGCTTAGCTTTGCACGTAACGTCACGTACGAAAAAAAAAATTATGATTCAAAAATCGCGAAGCCTGTACGATATCAACCTCGTCCCCAGGGTGTCCAGCAGTACGCGCCCACCACTACCTGCTCTCTCACCCTGGTATTGGATCATTTGCATGTGCAAGACATTTGTGTTTCCATTGAAAATATATTAAAAATTATGTGAACCCCCCCCCCTTGACACCCCACAAAAATTATGACAATTATACTGGTAATAATGTCCGCCTGTGCGCAACATTTGGACAGAGCCAGCTGTGTGAAACTTTGACTAACATAAAACATGTGTGAAACAGGCGAGTACACCTGAAGAAAACGCCTCGCAAAAAAAAACCCGGGGGAAATAGTGGAACAATCCAGATTAATTAATAATTTGAATAAAACTATTCTTACGTAGGTTAAAGAGGAGGGGATAGTTGAAATAAAAGGGAGTGACAAAAGTGGGACGGGTTCGTATTGACCTAACAAGAAAGGAACTAACCATCAACAAATAATTGAAAATTACTTGGAAAACTCTTCGTCTGGGAACCCAAGAAAACAGTGGTCTTTTCCATTTAATAGTACATGCAGGACTGTGTTTTTGAAGATAAAGTGGATGTGGCTGCAGATAAAGCGACAGGACAGGTTCCAGTCTAATTCGAGATCATTGAAAGTCCATGGTTAATGTACAAAACCAAGAAGTGGTCGCGGTTTCAACACAAAATATCAGCCTTCATTCATCAGGCGGAGAGTTGAACTACAGGACAGACGAATCATGCCTGGCAAAGTCAAAGGTAGGCGTACTGCATGAATAATTAAAGTTGGTGTATACGTGATTTGTTTGGGTGCGGCACCTTGAAATATAGATTTTCGAATTGAATATAATTTTTCTAGCATCACGTTAGTTATGAGCTTTCCAATAAGACGTCGCACGGAAAAATCCGGCCCATGATAAGTAATCAATTTATGAATTTCAACTTTTAAATTAAGAGCGGGATGCTCCTAATTCGTTCTGAATAGTGTGCGCAATTTCTGAACTGAGGCGCGTCATTTGAAACCATTTTTTAAACTGCAAACACAAACAAGCAAATTTATTTGTTACAGGACATTATATTCCTTTAACTTTCGTTCGGAAAAGAAAATCCAATTTTGAAAAAAGCACGTTTATACCAACTTTAAAACATAAATGAATTGCTTTCCTTCTTGCACGGAGACAATACAACACTGGAATCGTAATGTTCAGAATGTCAAGAATTAGGACTATTTGTCGAATTCCACAAGCTCACTGTTAAGGCTAGGAAGGATGGCAACAAATAGTTATTCTAAACTATACATCAAAAAAATTCTTGATTTAAAATTGGCAGTGTGTAACAATTGTTTTCCAAAAGGTGGGGTGTGGCTGGGGTAGGGCGGGGTGGGGATTGGGGGAAAGCACAAACATTAAGCCGTGATTTCACAAAAATTCAGACAGGTTGCACGAACCTGTCGTGTGTGCCATTTCCATATCCAGCTTAATGGGTTCCAAGGTTATGATCAACCCAGTGCCAACAGGTAATGGAAATAGCGTGTGTATGAAGCTGTTTTCCTTGAGCGTGTGCGTTCTAGATAAACCAGCTGGAATGAACTGGTTCGCTCTGGATTAAGCTTGTCTGGGAATAAAGATCATACACAGATTCACAACTATAGCAGTTTCTGTTGATTCAGCCAAAAAGCCCCTCGTTGAAAAATAAGGAAACAAACAAGCACTTGACCCAGCACGTACACTCTGAGGTTGTAGAAGGGACAATTTACAAGCAAGGGATCAAGAGGGCAGATCGTTTCGAGGATTGGAAAAGCAATGGTTACATGTCGCTTCTCAACGGAACAAAAACACTTTGCAAATGTACGCGCCTATAGCAATGCAGAACCAATCAATTGCAATGAATCAATTGACATTAAGCGTGCTGACTGGTTAAGCTATGCAAAGCTGACGAAAAATCACCACAATATGTCTGTGCTAAAACAATCAGCACAAAGTAGATAAGAAACTGGCCTTTGGACTTCTTCAGTTCAATATAATATATCCTTTGTGGTCACGAAAATCGCCTCCTAAAATTGAAAAGGGCTGAAAATCATGTAATCATTGTAGTCTTCCTTAAATTTGACAATCCAGTGTGCAAATTAGTATAAAGTCGTCAAACTTGGTACGATGTTAGTCGATGCACGACGAACTTGGCTTGTTTAAGGCTAATTAACCTACTTGTTACGCAACCCATCAAAATGAATATTCTGTTTATTAAAATAATGTCAGACAATGTTTTTGTCTTAATATTATAGGACTGATGGACCGTCTGCATGACGGCGAATCAGTGGTCATCGCGGAGGGATATTTGTACGTCTTTGAGCGACGCGGTTACTTGCAGGCCGGTTCTTTTGTCCCAGAGGTGGTGCTGGAATACCCAGAGCTCCTTCGCCTGCAATATGAGGAGTTCTACCGGGCAGGGAGTGATGTGGTCTTGGCCTTTACGGTAACAAACCTTTCACGTTACAAATATACGCCTTTAGATCATTCTTTTTGTTTTATAGGACTGATGGATCGTCTTCATGACGGTGAGTCAGTGGTCATCGCGGAGGGATATTTGTACGTCTTTGAGCGACGCGGTTACTTGCAGGCCGGTACCGCTGTACCCGAAGTGGTGCTTGAATACCCTGAGATGGTTCGCCTACAATATGAGGAGTTTTACCGGGCAGGGAGTGATGTGGTCTTGGCCTTTACGGTAACAGCATTTCCCGTTAATACCGAAAGTGGTTGGTCCAGGATTTTCTTAAGGGAGCTAGGGGCGGGATTTCGAAGTCATAAGGCGTTGCAGTCGATGCAAATGGTCTAAAGCTTTATGAATCATGAGGATTTGTTACTCATGATCAGAGAGTCACGGGTTCGAATCCAGACGCTGGACATAATGCTTTGTCCTTGAGCAAGCCACTTCATCCCCACTTGCCTCTCTCCACCCCCCAGGAGTATAAATGGGTTCTGGCACTAGCTGGGGAGTAACCTGCGATGGACCCACGGGGAATAGAAATATTCTCAGTCGTTTCTTGCCACTGAAACTTGAGAAAAACGCCGGCCTGATGGGCCACATTGGCTCGTGACAGACTTTACTTTACTCTAACTATTATGTCATGTTTCTGTCCTTTTTTTGAATCAGTACTACGCTCATCGTGAGAAATTATCGCTGATCGATCGCGAGGCAGACCTGGAGGAGATGAACCGTACTGCACTGCGCATGGCCAGGGAAGTCGCGGATAAAACCGGATCTCTCATGGCCGGCAACATCTGTAACAGCAACATTTACGTTCCTAATGATCCGGACATTACTGCCAAGATTAAGAGTATGTTTAAGGTTAGCAGCATATGTATCTCAGTGTTGTAGTCGAGACCCTGCAAGACCATCACAAGACCAACACAAGTCCTTCAGTCTCAATTCAAGTCACAAGCTATTCAAATGAACTGTACCAAAGGCATTCCTTTGTTATTGTTCGTGCCCTGTTACTTGTGACTGGACTTGTAAATGGTCTTGTGCTGGTCTTGTGTCTGGTCTTGTGTCTGGTCTTGTGATGGTCTTGCGATGGTCTCGACTGTCTGTGTCATATTGACAGTCTGTTGATTAAGCACGACGTTGATTTGTGAGGTCATCACGGCCTCTTCACTCAGAGTCGTGGCTAAATCCCTCCGCTCACAGGGTTGGTCACGTGAGAGCAGATCTTAGATGGCGGGCAGATCGTATCCCGCGTCCCTGTCGAGTGTTGGGTTCTGCGTCTTGATCTCTATGGCCCCCTGATTTTTCGTTCCTCTCGTGCTATGACCTGAACATTGTTCAAGGTGATGTTACATATTTCTGGTGAAGTAAATGTTCAACCACAACTGTGAGGAGGGGGTGGATTGATCTTGTGCGCGGCGGAATCGGCTAATGACGTGCTCCAATTTGATTATAAATATTCATGAGGTGTAGTAACACACCTTACTTAACCTCCATATACAGGAACAGATCGAATGGGCCGTAGAAGAAGGTGCTGATTTCATTCTTGCTGAGACATTCAGCGATTTGGGAGAGGCATTGTTGGCGCTGGAAGCAGTCAAAACATACGGGAAAGGTAAACGCCTGATATAACATGTTTTATCACCGACCACCTTCCAATGGCATCTTAAAATCATTGCAAGCCTACCGTTATACCATCATCAACAGTAACATACAAAAGCATTTCCCTCTACTTTTTCATGATGTTAGTCAATGACATGTGCACTATAGGAATATCGAAGTGCATTAATAACACAATCCTAAAAAGAAAAAAGAAAAAAAATTGGGAAAGGATAAAATAAAGAGAAAAGAGTATAGCCAGGGTACTCTGTCTCAACCCAGAATGACCTCAACTGAAATTGGCTAGGAATGGGCTAACAAAATTTGTAAGGAAATTATGTATAGGTCTACACACACACAAGTTTCTGCGATTAACAACGCCACCCACAGACAAATGATGTTCAGATTTTGGCTGTCCATCACAGATCGATGCTATTCCAAACAATTGTCAAATGGTTGTTGTGCTGCTCTCAATACTTTCAAAACTATACCACAAAATTGCATAACAGGCTAAAACCTGTTTTGATTGCTTGATACAGGCCTGCCTGTCGTCGTCACCATGGCATGGCACAAGAACGAAGTCAACGGTCGGCCAGCCACGATTGACGGTGTGGAAATCTGTGAGACGTTTAAGCAACTGGAGGCGGCTGGAGCCGATGTGCTTGGCCTGAACTGCGCCCGCGGTCCCACCACGATGCTCCCGCTGATGGAGGAGGTCAAGAAATGCATCAAGGTAGGTCTATTGAGGAATTGCACATGACGTCACAGCTCAGTGGTCACCCACGCGCCCGCCATGATGGACGTCTACGGCCAATACCCAGTGATAAAAAATTACGCCCCTTCTGAAACTCAGGAAAAAATACTCACAACTCTCCAAGGTGTTTGACACACATCAAATTAAGGCTTATTTCATCCTCTTCCACTTTGTTTCAACTTTGTTTGGGGGTTAAGCAATTACCTTTGGGGAAAAAAACCGGATATTAACCGTGACAAATAACGCAGGGCATGCACGTTGTATACGGTCTCAACAATGCCACAAATTTATCTAAAGAGCCCTCAGTTATCGAACAGATTTTCAAATAAGCATTGGTTTGTTTGTTTGTTTGTTTGTTTACATTATGCCAGACGCCGTTGGCTGCCATTCCAGTTCCCTATCGAACGACTAAAGCGGAGCCCAACTTCCAGTCTCTGACAGATCCGTTGTCTGGTAAGTTTTAGTTGCATTTAAATAGGTCATGTGTTGTGCTCCTTCCTTTTCGCAAGTTAACGCGTTAACGTGCAGCTAATAGTACCTATTCCTGTCGGGTCTCGTCAGTTCTCTTTTTCGTTCTTTCCTCGGGGAGAGGCATATAGCTCTATGGGGAGAGGTCATTGAAACGTCACTGAATTTGCTTCAGGTTTTGTTAAACTATCATTAATTTCTCACTTTCCTCAGGAAAACGTCTGTTCCCTGAAGATCTGAACGCTGCGCTGTGCAGCCGCTCAGACATCAAGGAGTTTGGTCGTCGTTGCCTGGAGCTTGGCATACAGGTCATGGGTGTGTGCTGTGGGAACGAGTGCCATTACACCCGTACGTTGTGCGAGACCCTGGGACGCAAAGTACCAGCTTCGCGCTACTCCGCCGATATGTCCAAGCATTACATTTTCGGGACCAGCGAGAAGCTGTCTACACGCTACACAAGCGGAGAAGGCAAACAGCACACGGCCTAAGATGATTCAATATAAAAAAGAATTATGACAGTAATTGATATTCAAGGCATGCAACTGGGAAGTAACACAGAAGTGGAAATTCAAAGCTTAAAGTTGTAATGCCTTTATTAGTGTGACGTGAAACACAATAATTCAGCTGATCTGTTAGAAATACTTTGCATGCCTGTGATAATTGGCTTTCGAAACCATCAGAGTTTTGAGGAACAAGAGTTTACGAATATTCAAATTTCGCTTAATATAAATAACTTCGGCCTTGATTGTGCTCAGGACTCACATTTTCGTGCCAAAAATATTCCAAACTAATTATTATTGCCTCATTTATCATTGAAAGTCGGTACATTTTCTTTTCCGAACAAAATTTAAAGGAATCTAATGTTCTGTAACAAACAAAATAAAATGTTTAACTTTATATATATACAGTTTAAAAAAATGGCTTTTAAATAGCGCGCTCCAGTTCAGAAATTGCGCAAACTTACTCAGATCGAATTAGGAGCGTCCCGCTCTTAATTCAAAACTTGAAAGTAATTAGTCGAGTACTTGTCGTTGCCCGATTTTTTTGTGTGGTGTTTCATTGGAAAGTACATAACTAATGTATTGCTAGAAAATTATCAATTCAATTTGAACATCTATTTTCAAGCATGGGCGTCGCCAGGATTTTTTCTAGAGGGGGGCAAAAAAAAAATGTGCCCAAAAATGCTGGTATTTCTCAACACATTCTCGATTTATCAGTTTTAGAGGGGGGGGGCAGGGACATTTTGCCCCCCCCCCCCAACTCATTAAATTTACACCACTTTGTCTTCGCGCCTCTTTTTCTTTTCTTTTTTTTTCTTTTTTTTTCGTCCTTCGTTCTTGTTTTTTTTTTTTTTTTTTGCTTTTCCAGGGGGGGGGGGGGGGGCAAGTGCCCCCCCTTGCCCCCCCCCTCGCGACGCCCATGTTTTCAAGGTGCCACACTCAAAGGCACGTAAACACCGATTTTAATGTAAGTAACAGCAATAAGTCCGAACTACCAATTCTAGTGGTGTTGATATTCTGGGAACTTATATCGAGGTCAATTTTATGCTTTTTTTTTTAATATCCAACGAAGCAGAACACATCAACATATGGTATAGCATAATTTGCATTCCCATGTTTAAATTTCGCCGATTACACTGCTGGGTAAATAGGAATTAGTCATATTGTTACAAAAACCGAATCAAAAATATCCATAATGTTTTGGATTGCCACCAGAAACCTTGGGTCGTATGAATAAAAACTAGCATTTGCGTTTACTACCATGCACTTTTAAAGCTTTTACATGCATCTGTATGAATAAAATACAGCAATTGATTTTACTAAAAGCTTTTGGAAATATTTACTTTTCACGTTTTAGCTTTTGCTAGACTGTAGTGTTTACTTCGTTTCGTATGAATAACAAGGAGTAAATGCTTCAGTTGTCAAATATTTACTTGTCGTTTTTCAAGGCTGGGTTGGGGCTAACTTGAAAATAATATAGCAAATACTTTTGCTTAGAAATGGCTGCATTTGTTACTGTCGATCGCGTATAACACATACAAAAACGTTCTACATAGCATACTGCACACTAAACGATACTTTCGTATTTGTAAAATCGTATAATTTAGTATTTACCCTTCTGCATGCAACTGTCAACCCTTATAAAAACTATGCATCCCCGCCTGGATAAAAATGAATTATTAATCAAATCAATGGTGATTTGTAATGGTAATGAGGTTCCTTCAATCTAACGTCAGACTATTTGATATGTGCTGCAGACGTTGCATAAACCACCGACGAAGAGGTACAATATTCTCAATCTACTGCACAATATTAATAAGACTGTTCTGACTTCCATGATGTTGGGTACGTTGGTTCTGAGTTTGATGCTCCTCAGCCGCGTCACTGCGAACTGGCCGGATGGGAGCAAAGACGCAACACGAGCAAATATGGTAAACTCTAAATAAAATGGGGTATTTTAATTACGAAACAATAACCTGTTAATTGTCTGTGTAGTAGGTTGGTTGCTGGGATAGTAGGAGGTGTTTGGTTGTGTTTCTGCATTTGTTTTTACAATAGGAAACGTTGAACAACAGTGGACAATAGGGTCCCTAATTCCTAAAACATATAGGTCTTCCTAAAAAGTTAGTACAACAAAAGAGGGACAATAGAGGGTCGCTGATTGCAGGCAAATACGCACATGTATGTACGTTGAACAATAGAGGACAATAGGGTCCCCAATTCCCGAGAGGTCCCCAATTTGGCGAAGTTTACAAAACATTTAGGAAGTCTTCCTAAAAAGTTATACAAGCAAAAGAGGGACAATATAGGGGGTCCCCAATTGCAGGCAAATACACACTTGTGTGTATAGTCAGGCAACGTCACGCGTCCGTCGGCTTCCGGGAAGTTCCGGAGAACATAAATTGGTTAAGACTGTAGTTTGCTTTAATCTATATCGACGTTAAACTTGCGCAGACTGCGCAGAACCGTCGGCAACGTTGAACCGTGTTCAACTCTGCCGATGTCTGCCAAGTAAAACTAGTTTGCGTCTATCTGAGTTAGCGGCAACATGTCCGGATGAAATGTTTCTATATGTCTGCCTTGCAGTTTGGATCGTGTTGGCGTTTCAATTTGGAAACTAGGCTTTACAGCTAAATCACAATCGTTATAAATTTCGTTAATTTAACAGGGATTCTACACACTGAATATGACATGCAACGACGCGGGAACCGAATGCGAAGCATGCTACCGAGCACGCGCAGAGGGGCTGGTGTATCTACGTACGTAAATATCCTCATCGAACATTGTCATGCAGCTTTCAAAGTTATAGGACTTTTGCGAAATATGTATTTTCTACTCTAAAACGAATTGAAGATTTTGAACGAGCAAGAAAGATAGGATATATTTTTGACTTCAAAAAAAAACAGATCTCCGTGGACAATCGACTTTTTTTTTTAAACTGTTCTTGGTTGGATCGGCAAACATCCTGTATTAAAGACTGAGTTTCAATGCAGGATATATTTTGTGTATTCAATTGGCAGTTTTCACTCGAGCTTCGACTAAAGTGGTTCATTTCTCAGACTATTTCAATCGAAAATGAGAGTGATTTTCACACTAAAACCTTTAGTCCCTAATTTCACTCTTTGGAATGTAGGGAGTATCTTTCAAACCATACCTATATTGTTTATGTTGTTCACACAGTCTACCTCTTCAATTTTTTTTTGATACACACTGTATGTTAATTTTTTCTTTTGTTAGACACTGTTGAATATACAGAGGGGCCGGCCAAGTTTGAATTTCGAGGATCGGCAGCATCACGTGACTGGAAACAGTTTGTTGTTCAAGGTCAGAAAACGTTCATTATCTGTATTTACCTAATTCGTAGGAGTTAATGTATTGAGTTGTTATTTATTAACATTGTATATATTTCTGGTAATGAAGCCAACTATTTCTCAAAAGCGCCATATAGGCACGGCAGCTCGAAAGTCAGAAAAAAAACCGAAGAGAGAAGACAAGGTGAAGCAATTACAGTTTCAGAGGTGGGGGAAAGGCCCAGAAGAATATTCTGGGGAAAACCCATGGATCACGTAGGCACTGAAAACCCAATCCACATGTGGACAAGGGCGGGAATCGAACCCGGGCCGTTACGGTGGAAGGCCAGCAAAGTAACCACTGCGCTGTCGTTTGCCCATGCATAAACGATACGTTCTTTGAGGGACACCAACCACACGTTCCATAAGTTTTAGTGTTGGAGGCGCCCATGCCACGAGTTTGTGTGAAGACTCGGTGAGTTCGTTCCATTATTTACTGGTTTGAAAGGACCCATAAACACAACATACGCCAACATTTGGACTATTATGAACAATGACGTGTAAATGGCCTTAAACAGATGGAGCATGGAAGGTGGTGGAAGCTAATTCTTTCACTTTGCTTTCCTTGTACAGATGATCCATCAGAGCCCTTCCGTTACTGCATGCAGCAAGACGAGATACAAGACTTGGACTACGGGGGCGATACTTGGAGGTTTTCCATCTGCATGGACAACAACTTCTCTGGTATCTCGGTCCCAGCTGAATGCGTGAAACCCTTGGCTGTTGTCTCCATGGTTAGCCTGCGCACAGATAACGAAGCGCACGGCGAGCAGACGCTGTACTGCGCAGCCTAAACGATTCAGCTCCGCCTTAATGCATAAATGCATGAGAATTGAATTGACTAGAACTTGGGGTCCAGGTCTAAAGCGCTTTCATTGTGTATGTGGGATTCATACTGTTGCCAAATAGAAAGATACATATCACTGGGTGCATACCTATGTTCCCAACGCCTATGTTTCCCAACACCCATGTTCCCCAATACCTATGTACCCCAACCGTAACCCTAACCCTTACCCCTACCCTTAGGATTGTGGGAAACATGGGTATTGGGGGCATCGTGTAGACCCTGTATCATGATATTCTATGGCCTGAAGGGTCCATGACATCAACTTTTCTTAGGAATTAATTTTGGGCATTTTTCTGTACTACTCGTAAATGTATGAACATTATTTGACATATCTTATAGTAAATTATTGAAAAGTGCCATTCTTAAACATTTAAAATTGTCCATGCTTTCCCGGACAACTGAGGGCGCTGTAGCTGTGACGTCGTTTCGGGAAGATGTTGTCCAGTTTAAGAATTTTCCGTTCAAATTGTGAACCCAAACATTTTGCTAAACTGGAAGAACTTGTGAGAAGTGTTTAGGCATTGGCTTATACTGTCATGTATTGACACAATGACAAGATTTATTTGTCCTCTACATTTATGATTACAAGCAGTCACTTTCTTTTTACAAAATATTGTTTTAAGCCACACTGAAAAGGAAAATTTGCACTATATGTGTTGTCAATCATGACTTTTCAATTAAAATTGACCAATTCTTACGTTTTATTCTCCCAACTTACGGTTTTACTTCCTCAAAAGACAAAAATTCGCTGATATTTCATGCGATGCTACACCAGAAGAAAATCTATAAGAATATTTGAATGGCTGTCTGCCTTTACGACTATTGACAGCCCACAGAGCATTCTGATCACGCTTTCACCGTATACAGTGGCAAAGGGAGGCCCTCCTTAATGGCGAACGCGTGGTACCAGCTATTGACCCAATAATCCAAGGGGAAGCAGATGTGTACAATATTACAGCTCTCACAATGCTTACGGCATTGCTGGGGTCTCTGTGAATGTATAGTATTAGGGTCCTAGGATGACGTGCTTGCTTTACCTTTTATTTTATGGGAAATCTCTTTTTGTCCAGAAAACAAATAAACTCGCAGGTGATCCGGCCTTCTCTATTGCTGCTCCCCGATTGTGGAATAGTTTACCCATCCCTATCAGAAACTCCGATACTGTGCCAATCTTCAAGAAGGCTCTCAAAACCCATTTTTTTCCCCACACCATAGCTGGTCGTACGCCCTTGTTGTTTTTCTGTTGTTCTTTCTGTGGTTCTTCTTTCTTTGTTTCAGCACCTTGTGTCCTTTGGCAATTTGGCGCTCCATAAATCCAGTTACTATTATTATTTTGTTTCATAGGAATGGACGTAATTAGACTTTCTGTGCATTTATAGAGAGTGTAATTAAGAAAAGCACGCCTCAAAGATGGCTGCCCAGTGCAAAGGCTCTATGCTGTTATCAGGCTCAAGCAGCTATGTGTGTAATACCTGAAGCGCAGGCCATCGCTGTAAGACTCAAATTTGTTTTTCCAAAAATTATGTGAACCCCCCCCCCCCCTTGACACCCCCCCCCCCAAAAAAAAAATTATGACAATTATACTGGTAATAATGTCCGCCTGTTCGCAGCATTTGGACAGAGCCAGCTGGGGTACGGGTTTTTTGTACACTATTCTGTAATATAGCGTTCATGATCGTCGGATTTGCATCGGATTTACGGAGGCCAATTGTCCGGAACCATGTGGAACTTTGACTAACATAAAACAACAGGTGTGAAACAGGCGATTACACCTGAAGAAAACGCCTCGCAAAAAACGGGGGAAGTAGTGGAACAATCCAGGTTAATTAATAATTTGAATAAAACTATTCTTACGTAGGTTAAAGAGGAGGGGATAGTTGAAATAAAAGGGAGGGACAAAAGTGGGACGGGCTCGTATTGACCTAACAAGAACGGAACTAACCATCAACAGATAAAAATTGAAAATTACTTGGAATACTCTTTGTCTGGGAACCCCAGAAAACAGTGGTCTTTTCATAATAGTACATGCAGGACTGTGTTTTTGAAGATAGAGTGGATGTGGCTGCAGATAAAGCGACAGGACAGGTTCCAGTCTAATTCGAGATCAGTGATCAAGTCCATGACTATGGGTTAATGTACAAAACCAAGAAGTGGTCGCGGTTTCAACACAAAATATCAGCCTTCAGTCATCAGGCGGAAAAATATCAGCCTTCAGTCATCAGGCGGAGAGTTGAACTACAGGACAGACGAATCATGCCTGGCAAAGTCAAAGGTAGGCGTAAAAGACCCTCGTTGAAAAATAAGAAAACAAACAAACACTTGACCCATCACGCACACTCTGCGTTGTACATGTAGAAGGGACAATTTACAAGCAAGGGGATATGCTATAGGAACAAGAGGGCGCCGTTTCGAGGAGTGGAAAAGCATGCAATGGTCGACACAAAAAGGACCCACTTACACATGTCGCTTCTCAACGGAACAAAAATGCTTTGCAAATGTACGCGCCTATAGCAATGGAGAACCAATCATCACCTGCAATGTATGATCAATTGGCATTAAGCGTGCTGACTGGTTAATCTATGCAAAGCTGACGAAAAATCAGCACAATGTCTGTGCTAAAACAATCAGCACAAAGTAGATAAGAAACTGGCATTTGGACTTCTACTGTTCAATATAATATAGGCAGTGGATATTTTGCCGGAGACGGCAAACCTTTAGTAAACGTTGGTTTGCCGGATATGCACTGAACATGCGCAGTTACTGTTTTTTTTGTACAAATGTTAGTCTGGCTCCATGCCAATATTATCGTTGTAACTTCGTATTCACAAGATGGGAATCAGACCATGTTATAACTTCGGACTTTATTTTTCTTTAAAAAAAAACTTTTCCAGAGCCACAAATCTGAAAAAGAATATGTACTATTCTGCAATAAAATGTTTGAGACATGTTAAAATAATAAAAGAAGAATATTCTTATTTATTTGGGGATGGGAAAAAAACCCTTAGAAAAGTGACGTGGCGGGGATCGGATCGGAATCGAACCCGGGTCATCCCAACCTCGACCCCAGGGTGTTGAGCAGTACGCGCCCATCACTACCTGCTCTCTCACCCTGGTATTGGATCATTTGCATGTGCAAGATTTTTGAACACGTATGCAAATGAGGAATAGTCTGGTGCCTGCATGTGCGTTACATTATCGTTCGTTTTTGTATGCGGTGTCTGGGGTAAAAACAGAGTCCATTCGTCGCAGCGCGAGCACAGCGTGAGTTACGAAAACGCGATTTATTTAATTAAACTGTTACGATCTTATCGAGACAACATGCAGTATCACATTTCATATTAATATGAACAAATTGGAAAAGGAAAGGAATGTTTTTGAGAAGGCGTGGACGAATGATCGTGAAAACACGTACTGCACGTTCAATAACTACACCAAGTACACGATAAAAATCCATTACTAGCCAATTGCGATATCGAATCAGTATACAGGAAGAAAGTTTACTATCCAGGGTTTACTATTGGAAACACGGTTGGAAATAAAGTAAGCACTGGGGACGAGGTTGGGGTCATCCCGCTCACGAAAGCCATCAGCCTCGACTCCAGGGGCGCGTGCTCGTTCCTTACACTAACCCCTGGCTGTGATGATGAAGAAAACGCCTCGCAAAAAAAAAACGAAGGAAATAGTGGAACAATCCAGATTAATTAATAATTTGAATAAAACTATTCTTACTTAGGTTAAAAAGGAGGGGATAGCTGAAATAAAAGGGAGAAACAAGAGTGGGACGGGCTCGTGTTGACCTAACAAGAAAGGAACTAACCAGCAACAGATAAAAATTTAAAATTGCTTGGAAAACTCTTCGTCTGGGAACCCAAGAAAACAGTGGTCTTTTTCATTTAATAGTACATGTAGGACTGTGTTTTTGAAGATAAAGTGGATGTGGCTGCAGATAAAGCGACAGGACAGGTTCCAGTCTAATTCAAGATCAGTGATCAAAGTCCATGGCCATGGTTAATGTACAAATCCAACAAGTGGTCGCGGTTTCCAACACAAACTATATCAGCCTTCATTCATCAGGCAGAGAATTGAACTACAGGACGGAAGAATCATGCCTGGCAAAGTCAAAGGTAGGCGTACTGCATGAATAATTAAAGTTGGTGTATACGTGATTTGTTTGGGTGCGGCACCTTGAAATATAGATTTTCAAATTGAATTGATAATTTTTCTAGCATTACGTTAGTTATGAGCTTTCCAATAAGACATCGCAGGGAAAAGTCGGCCCATGATAAGTAATCAATTTATTAATTTCAACTTTTGAATTAAGAGCGGGATGCTCCTAATTCGTTCTGAATAGTGTGCGCAATTTCTGAACTGAGGCGCGTCATTTGAAACCATTTTTTAAACTGCAAACACAAACAAGCAAATTTATTTGTTACAGGACATTATATTCCTTTAACTTTCGTTCGGAAAAGAAAATCCAATTTTGAAAAAAGCACGTTTATACCAACTTTAAAACATAAATGAATTGCTTTCCTTCTTGCACGGAGACAATACAACACTGGAATTGTAATGTTCAGAATGTCAAGAATTAGGACTATTTGTCGAATTCCACAAGCTCACTGTTAAGGCTAGGAAGGATGGCAACAAATAGTTATTCTAAACTATACATCAAAAAAATTCTTGATTTAAAATTGGCAGTGTGTAACAATTGTTTTCCAAAAGGTGGGGTGTGGCTGGGGTAGGGCGGGGTGGGGATGGTGGGGGGGAACACAAACATTAAGCCGTGATTTCACAAAAATTCAGACAGGTTGCACGAACCTGTCGTGTGTGCCATTTCCATATCCAGCTTAATGGGTTCCAAGGTTATGATCAACCCAGTGCCAACAGTTAATGGAAATAGCGTGTGTATGAAGCTGTTTTCCTTGAGCGTGTGCGTTCTAGATAAACCAGCTGGAATGAACTGGTTCGCTCTGGATTAAGCTTGTCTGGGAACAAAGGTCATACACAGATTCACAAATATAGCAGTTTCTGTTGATTCGGCAAAAAAGCCCCTCGTTGAAAAATAAGGAAACAAACAAACATTTGACCCAGCACGTACACTCTGAGGTTGTAGAAGGGACAATTTACAAGCAAGGGATTTGCTAAAGGTTCAAGAGGGCAGGTTGTTTCGAGGAGTGGAAAAGCAATGGTTACATGTCGCTTCTCAACGGAACAAAAACACTTTGCAAATGTACGCGCCTATAGCAATGCAGAACCAATCAATTGCAATGAATCAATTGACATTAAGCGTGCTGACTGGTTAATCTATGCAAGGCTGACGAAAAATCAGCACTATGTCTGTGCTAAAACAATCAGCACAAAGTAGATAAGAAACTGGTCTTTGGACTTCTTCAGTTCAATATAATATATCCTTTGTGGTCACCTCCTAAATCGCCTCCTAAAATTGGAAAGGGCTGAATATCATGTAATTACTGTAGTCTCCCTTTGACAACCATGCAATATGCAGTGTGCAAATTGATATAAAGTCGTGAAACTTGGTACGATGTTAGTCGATGCACGACGAACTTGGCTCGTTTAAGGCTAATTAACCTACTTGTTACGCAACCCATCAAAATGAGTATCCCGTTTAATTAAATAATGTCAGACAATGTTTTTGTCTTAATATAGGACTGATGGACCGTCTGCATGACGGCGAATCAGTGGTGATCGCGGAGGGATATCTGTTCATCTTTGAGCGACGCGGTTACTTGCAGGCCGGTTCTTTTGTCCCAGAGGTGGTGCTGGAATACCCAGAGCTCCTTCGCCTGCAATATGAGGAGTTCTACCGGGCAGGGAGTGATGTGGTCTTGGCCTTTACGGTAACAAACCTTTCACGTTACAAATATATGCCTTCAGATCATTCTTTTTGTTTTATAGGACTGATGGATCGTCTTCATGACGGCGAATCAGTGGTCATCGCGGAGGGATATTTGCACCTCTTTGAGCGACGCGGTTACTTGCAGGCTGGTGCCTATGTACCCGAGGTGGTACTGGAATATCCCGAGATGGTTCGCCTACAATATGAAGAGTTTTACCGGGCAGGGAGTGATGTGGTTTTAGCCTTTACGGTAACAAACCTTTCCCGTTAATATCGATAGTGGTTGATACAGGATTTTTCTAAAGGGAGCTAGGTGCAAGATTTCGAAGTCGTGAGGCGTTGCAGTCGATGCAAAAAGGCCCAAAGCTATGTGAATCAATATTCAAAATATTAAGTGATGACGTTTTCGTGCAACCTATTTCATGTTTTTTCCCATATTATGTAAACAGTTAACAATAATCAGGATACAGAAGATAAACGCCGGCCTAATGGGCCACATTGGCTCGTGACAGACTTTACTCTACTCTAACTATATGTCATGTTTCTGTCCTTTTTTGAATCAGTACTACGCCCATCGTGAGAAAGTATCGCTGATCGATCGCGAGGCAGACCTGGAAAAGATGAACCGTACAGCACTGCGCATGGCCAGGGAAGTCGCGGATAAAACTGGATCTCTCATGGCCGGCAACATCTGTAACAGCAACATCTACGTTCCTAATGATCCGGACATTACTGCCAAGATTAAGAGCATGTTTAAGGTTAGCAGCATATGTGACTGTGTCATATTGACACTCTGTTGATTAAGCACGACGTAGATTTGTGAGGTCATCACGGCCTCTTCACTCAGCGTCGTGGCTAAATCCCTCCGCTCACAGGGTTGGTCACGTGAGAGCAGATCATAGATGGCGGGCAGATCATATCCCGCGTCCCTGTCGAGTGTTGGGTTCTGCGTCTTGATCTCTATGGCCCCCCCCCCACCCCCTGATTTTTCGTTCCTCTCGTGCTATGACCTGAACATTGTTCAAGGTGATGTTACATATTTCTGGTGAAGTAAATGTTCACCAACAACTGTGAGGGGGGGGGGGGTTGATCTTGTGCGCGGCGGAATCGGCTAATGACGTGCTCCAATTTGATTATGAATATTCATGAGGTGTAGTAACACACCTTACTTAACCTCCATATACAGGAACAGATCGAATGGGCCGTAGAAGAAGGTGCTGATTTTATTCTTGCTGAGACATTCAGCGATTTGGGAGAGGCATTGTTGGCGCTGGAAGCAGTCAAAACATACGGGAAAGGTAAACGCCTGATATAACATGTTTTATCACCGACCACCTTCCAATGGCATCTTAAAATCATTGCAAGCCTACCGTTATACCATCATCAACAGTAACATACAAAAGCATTTCCCTCTACTTTTTCATGATGTTAGTCAATGACATGTGCACTATAGGAATATCGAAGTGCATTAATAACACAATCCTAAAAAGAAAAAAGAAAAAAAATTGGGAAAGGATAAAATAAAGAGAAAAGAGTATAGCCAGGGTACTCTGTCTCAACCCAGAATGACCTCAACTGAAATTGGCTAGGAATGGGCTAACAAAATTTGTAAGGAAATTATGTATAGGTCTACACACACACAAGTTTCTGCGATTAACAACGCCACCCACAGACAAATGATGTTCAGATTTTGGCTGTCCATCACAGATCGATGCTATTCCAAACAATTGTCAAATGGTTGTTGTGCTGCTCTCAATACTTTCAAAACTATACCACAAAATTGCATAACAGGCTAAAACCTGTTTTGATTGCTTGATACAGGCCTGCCTGTCGTCGTCACCATGGCATGGCACAAGAACGAAGTCAACGGTCGGCCAGCCACGATTGACGGTGTGGAAATCTGCGAGACGTTTAAGCAACTGGAGGCAGCTGGAGCTGATGTGCTTGGCCTGAACTGCGCCCGCGGTCCCACCACGATGCTCCCGCTGATGGAGGAGGTCAAGAAATGCATCAAGGTAGGCCTATTGAGGAATAGCACATGACGTCACAGCTCAGTGGTCACCCACGCGACCGCCATGATGGACGTTTACGGTTTCAGACTAGTAAATAAACTGCCAATACCCAGTGATAAAAAATTACGCCCCCTTCTGAAACTCAGGATAAAAATACTCACAACTCTCCAAGGTGTTTGACACACATCAAATTAAGGCTTATTTCATCCTCTTCCACTTTGTTTCAATGTTTGGGGGTTAATTAAGCAATTACCTTTTAGGGAAAAACCGGATATTCACCGTGACAAATAACGCAGGACATGCACGTTGTTGATAATGCAATATATACTGTATACGGTCTCAACAATGCCACAAATTTATCTAAAGAGCCCTCAGCTATCGAAAAGATTTTTAAAGAAGCATTTTGTTTGTTTGTTTGTTTACATTATGTCAGACGCCGTTGGCTGCCATTCCAGTTCCATATCGAACGACTAAAGCGGAGCCCAACTTCCAGTCTCTGACTGATCCGTTGTCTGGTAAGTTTTAGTTGCATTTAAATAGGTCATGTGTTGTGCTCCTTCCTTTTCGCAAGTTAACGCGTTAACGTGCAGCTAATAGTACCTATTCCTGTCGGGTCTCGTCAGTTCTCTAAATTTCGTTCTTTCCTTGAGGAGGGGGTCATGGAAACGTCACTGAATTTGCTTCAAGTTTTGTTAACGCTTTCGTTAATTTCTCACTTTCCTCAGGCAAGCGTCTGTTCCCTGAAGATCTGAACGCTGCGCTGTGCAGCCGCTCAGACATCAAGGAGTTTGGTCGTCGTTGCCAGGAGCTTGGCATACAGGTCGTGGGTGTGTGCTGTGGGAACGAGTGCCATTACACCCGTACGTTGTGCGAGACACTGGGACGCACAGTACCAGCTTCGCGCTACTCCGCCGATATGTCCAAGCATTACATTTTTGGGACCAGCGAGAAGTTATCTACACGCTACACAAGCGGAGAAGGCAAACAGCACACGGCCTAAGATGATTCAATATAAAAAAGACTTATGACAGTGATTGATATTCAAGGCATGCAACTGGGAAGTAACGCAGAAGTGGAAATTCAAAGCTTAAAGTTTTAATGCCTTAAGTGTGAAGTGAAACACAATAATTCAGCTGATCCGCTAGGAATACTTTGCATGCCTGTGATAATTGGCTTTCGAAACCATCAGCTTTTTGAGGAAAAAGAGTCTACCAATATTCAAATTTCGCTTAATATCAATAACTTCGGCCCTGATTGTGCTCAGGACTTACGTCATTTTCGTGTCAAAAATATTCCAAACTAATTGTTATTGCCTAATTTATCATTGAAAGTTGGTGCATTTTCTTTTCCGAACGAAATTTAAAGGAATTTAATATACCAGTCTTTAATAAATTTGCTTGTTGTTTTTGCAGACCTTTATACAGTTGAAAAAAGGCTTTTAAATAGCACGCTCCAGTTCAGAAATTGCGCAAACTTACTCAGATCGAGCGTCCCGCTCTTAATTCAAAACTTGAAAGTAATTAGTCGAGTACTTGTCGTGGCCCGACTTTTATTTTTGCGGTGTTTCATTGGAAAGCACATAACAAATGCATTGCTAGAAAATTATCAATTCAATTTGAAAATCTATTTTCAAGGTGCCACACTCAAAAGGCACGTAAACACCGATTTTAATGTAAGTAACAGCAATAAGTCCGAACTACCAATTCTGGTGGTGTTGATATTCTGGGAACTTATATCGGGGTCAATTTTATGCTCTTTTTTTTAATATCCAACGAAGCAGAACACATCAACATATGGTAAAGCATAATTTGCATTTCCGTGTTTAAATTTCGCCGATTATACTGCTGGGTAAATATGAATTAGTCATATTGTTACAAAAACCGAATCAAAAATATCCATAATGTTTTGGATTGCCACCAAAAACCTTGGGCCGTATGAATAAAAACTAGCATTTGCGTTTACTACCATGCACTTTTAAAGCTTTTACTTGCATCTGTATGAATAAAATACAGCAATTGATTTTACTAAAAAGCTTTTGGGGATATTTACTTTTTACGTTTCAGGTTTTGCTACACTATAAGTGTTTACTTCGTTTCGTATGAATAACAAGGAGTAAATGCTTCAGATGTCAAATATTGTGACGTGTGGTGCCAGCTCTCCTGCGTCAGGCTGGTTTGGTTGGTAGCGTGCCGTCCCGATGGTGTCCTATCCCTGCAGTGGTGGGCCACAGCACCAGGCTATCCCCTCTTCTGGGTTGGTTGGATCAGCCAGTAGACTGGTAGTCAGGGCAATGGAGCAGGGGAATGGAAGTGGGAACTGGGAATCGGAATGTGGAGTCGGAAGTGGGTGGAGTCGGAATGTCAGCGGAGTCGGAATTTGGGTTGAGTCGGAATGTCGGCGGAGTCGGAATGTCGGCGGAGTCGGAATGTCAGTGGAGCAACTTATCTACCTTGGGACTTTGCCCTAGACTTAGTCCTAAGTAGACCCTATACCCTAAGACAGACTAGTAATTGGTGAACAGAAACAGTAATCAAGTACGGTAGTCATGCCTTTAATCATCATCATTCGTCATGTCATTCCACATAATCAAGAGCCTGAACAATTATTCTAATCATAAGAGAATCAAGCAATCAACTGACTAAATCCTAGCCCTGCAGCTCCTTTTATAGACTTTGAGCCCCATAAGCTAGTGCACAACTTCTCTTTGCCATACAACAGTGCATAAACTCAATTGACCAATCAGAAACAAGGATTCCTTATATGCAAAGTGTGGGTGACTCACAGTGTGCTAGTGTATTTAAAACATACAGTTGGTGACTTAATTCCTATTCCGTCACATAGCCCCCCTCCCAAAGTTTTCAGTCCCTGAAAACTACAAGAGCTTTTAATAAAACAACTCAGATGAAATAACTAAGACAAAAATATTTTACATGAAAATTAAGTTTGGTAAATCTTAAGCACATTCCAATACTTCTCGGAAACATTACTTTGAAAAACAACAACTTGGTGGTTCAAAACTTAGCTTAAAAACTTGACTTACAAATATCTCAGATCTGAACAAAATCGTATAAACTTTAATTTCTTCAGAAAACATTCCTCAATGTTATTTTTATAGAGATTTAGTAGTTTAGGTGGAAGTTCTTGTCATCCTTTCCTGATGGCAGGCTACATCGTTCCAACAGATTGTGTTGCCGTATTCCCTGTTGATGTCCTCTTCACCCTCTGAGGTGTGTAGCTGTCCCTGGTTACCTGGACACTGGACTGGTCCTCCTGGCGTAGCACTCTGTGGAACTTCCCCCCTTTTCGTGGAAGTACTTCTTCCACTTTCGGAGGTTGACGTCGGAGCAGCTTGCCTCTGAGGAGGAGCCGAGCGGCTTGCAGCTCAATTACAGGCGTGATGTGGACGGTCTACTGGACTTTTGGCTGGTCTTGGCCATTGTGCTCCCACCCCGGTGGGTTTTTTCTCATGCCGATCCCGGGAGTCCCTTCTAGAGAACCGTTCGTCGCATCCACCACAGCGAAATTGGGCCTGTTCCCTGTGGCACTCTCTCAGGTGTCTGACCAGGTTAGATCTTTTGGTCGTGGTCATTCCACACCCTGGCTCTGGGCAGCGGTGCACTTCTTGCCGGGACGGGTCTCGGGGGTCTCGTTGCCTGTCTTTTCCCTTGTCGGCTCCCACCTTGAGCTTGTCTTCTGGCATCTTCCTTCGTAGCCGGAATCTCGGTGGAATGCCCTGGTGGAATACTGTTGGAATTTCTGTGGAATGTCTCGGTGGAACATGATCGGAATATCGGTGGAGGGATGCCGAAGTCTTGGTGGAATGTGGCTGGAATCTTGCTGACTTTTCCCCAGTGGAATGTTGTTGAACCTTCCCTTGGAATCCCACTGGAATGCTGTTGGAGCACCTTACTTTCCACACACGTGGCCTCACCATGGTGTTCTCTCTCACCATGCTTGGCGCTTTTGCCACATGTTGCTTGAGTAGTCCATTAGCCTTTCTTCCATGGGACTTCAAATGGCCACAGGTCTCACACCTCGTTGCGGTTGTCCGTACATCCTTCGTCATGCCCGACCAGTAGTAGCGTCGGCGCACTATCTGCAGTGATTTGTAGACGCCGGGGTGACGTGACACTTTACTGTCGTGTAGTCCCTTGAGAACTTTCTCTTGAAATGTGGGCGGTAGGACCATCTGCCATCTGCCGCGTTTTCCATTCGCCAACTTCCATTGACGTGACAACACACCATTCCGGATCTGTAGCTGCCTCTGAGCCCAGTATGTCTTCATAGCTGCCGATTCCTCCGACATGGCTTCCCATACTGGCTCCTCACCATTCTCCATCGCCCGCATCATCGGCCCAATTGAAGAATCCGCCAGCTGTGCGTCCCTCAATTCCTGCAGTGTCCACCGTGGAGTTCTTGTCAACGTCCATGCCCCTCTTTCATTTTCTCCAATGGACTCCTTGAGAGTAGCCTTTGTCGTCGCCGTGTCGTGGCTCTGCTCTGGTAGAGACGGCTTCCCCACGACTAGCTGTGTTAGTCCCTTGGGGTTTCCAGTAGCCCATCCTCGGCTCGTAGGAGTTGGACAATTTCTTTTGAAATGTCCCAAGCCCCCGCAATTGTGACAGGTTTCGATGTCCCATGGTTGTCTTCCTCCTCCATCTCTCCGAATCCCAGCATCGTTTACTCCTCCTTCGTTACTCCTCGGAGCTGCGGTCTTGCTGTGCATTGCCTCTGCTAGGCCAGCTATCATTGCCTCCAATGCATTGAGTTGTTCCAACATGCCCTGTGTATGCCGGTTGAACTCCTCTCGAGAGACCGTCTCGACGTACCGATGCGTCTTTGGAGGTTGGCGACCACCTTGGCCCCCCTGCCTCTGTCTCTCGGAGTTGATGAATGATTCTGTCTCCAGGGCCGCCCGTATCGCTTCATCTAAGGACTTGGGGTGTGCTCTGAAGATTCCCGCACGCACTTCTGCATCTGGGATGGCATCCATGAAATGCCCCCGGGCGAGTCTTTCCCGCGAATCTCTGGGGAGCTCAGGGTATGCCAATTCCGTCAGCCGTCGGATGCTGTGTCCGAGTGCTTGTAGACCTTCGTTGACCCCCCTTGTCCTACTCCTCAGTTCCGACAGGAATCTCTCGGCCTGCTCCCCAGGACCAAATCGTCTTTCCAACCTTGTAGTAAGGTCGTTGTAGCTCAATGGTTCGCCCTGGACCCCGTCTCCAAGCACTTGCTGGGCCTGCCCCTTCAGGCTTGCTGCCAGGAAAAATGCTTTCTCTGCAGAGGTCCACGCGTTGATCGTTGCGCAAGACTCAAAGTGAGCCTTGTAATCCCTCCAGGGAATATCCCCTGAAAACCTGTCTGGAACAAAACTCGGCTTCCGTTGTGCTCGGCGGATCTTCTCATCCCCTGCACCTGTCTTTTTCCCTTGTTCCGCTGTTGGCCCCTCTGGTTTCTTGCTCCCAATTGTCGCTCCCGCCAACCCTTTCTCCAGTCCCTCCACCTTCTTTGGTGAGGAAGCCTTCGGTGGTAGCTGTGGTTGACTCGACTCCATCTTGGTAGCAAAAACTGGACCCCACGTGCTTGACCGTTCACTTGAAACCGGCCGGTACTCGCTTCCGGCTCCCACTCCGGGCACCTCGAACGGTCTCCCTTGAGCAGAAGCGGTGCTTATGCTTGCTCCGCTTGTAGACTGCCTTGCTGCTGCTGCATACCCCGGGGATGTCCGCAGTCCTGCCGTCATAGTGCTGAAGACTAGTGGCACATACCGGCCGTACCCCGGTGGTGCTTGCCATGCTCCACTGACGGTAGTGATTCCTGGTGGTGCGGAAGTTCCAATATTCACACTTCTGGTGGAATATTCCCTTGCTCCTGCTCCCCCCGGGCACCAGTTTTCGATCTTCCCGATCGTCACTGGTCTTCTGGGTGCTTGCTCTACTCTGGCTCCTGACATCTGTAAGTTGCTCACTGGAGTAGAAGTGCTCAGTGGGTTCAACATCGGCGATCCTCCGGCTGGTTCCCCCAGCTCGCCCATCCATCCACGTTGTGGAGTTCTCTGTTGAGACCCCTCAAGATGTGCAGGGTTAATGCTCGCCATCGGTTGCCTTGCCCACTCTTCTCCATCCGTTGTCCATCCTGTCCTTCTCCCTAGAAACAGCCCTGGGTTTACGGTGGATGTCATTGGAGAGAACTGGAGCTGCGATGCTTCCTGGACTGGTTGAAGGATGCTGCTTGCTCCGCTCGTCGCCGCACTTCCCACAGCCGCTGGAAATAAGTCACTGCCTTGATACCGGAACTCCACTCCCGAGTCGACTTCTTCCACTCGGTGCCTCCCCGGTGTAAGCACTGCTTGCTCTCTTTGTTCCATTCCGTTGTCTTCTTCCTTCAGCTGCTGAATTCCACTGAAGTTTCTCTCCTGGTGGATCCCACCGCTGCCACCAATGTGACGTGTGGTGCCAGCTCTCCTGCGTCAGGCTGGTTTGGTTGGTAGCGTGCCGTCCCGATGGTGTCCTATCCCTGCAGTGGTGGGCCACAGCACCAGGCTATCCCCTCTTCTGGGTTGGTTGGATCAGCCAGTAGACTGGTAGTCAGGGCAATGGAGCAGGGGAATGGAAGTGGGAACTGGGAATCGGAATGTGGAGTCGGAAGTGGGTGGAGTCGGAATGTCAGCGGAGTCGGAATTTGGGTTGAGTCGGAATGTCGGCGGAGTCGGAATGTCGGCGGAGTCGGAATGTCAGTGGAGCAACTTATCTACCTTGGGACTTTGCCCTAGACTTAGTCCTAAGTAGACCCTATACCCTAAGACAGACTAGTAATTGGTGAACAGAAACAGTAATCAAGTACGGTAGTCATGCCTTTAATCATCATCATTCGTCATGTCATTCCACATAATCAAGAGCCTGAACAATTATTCTAATCATAAGAGAATCAAGCAATCAACTGACTAAATCCTAGCCCTGCAGCTCCTTTTATAGACTTTGAGCCCCATAAGCTAGTGCACAACTTCTCTTTGCCATACAACAGTGCATAAACTCAATTGACCAATCAGAAACAAGGATTCCTTATATGCAAAGTGTGGGTGACTCACAGTGTGCTAGTGTATTTAAAACATACAGTTGGTGACTTAATTCCTATTCCGTCACAATATTTACTTGTCGTTTTTCAAGGCTGGGTTGGGGTTAACTTGAAAATAATAAAGCAAATACTTTGCTTAGAAATGGCTGCATTTGTTAATGTCGATCGCGTATAACACATACAAAAACGTTCTACATAGCATACTGCACACTAAACGATACTTTCGTATTTGTATAATCGTGTAATTTAGTATTTACCCTTCTGCATGCAACTGTCAACCCTTATAAAAACTATGCATCCCCGCCTGGATAAAAATGAATTATTAATCAAATCAAAGAGCGCTTTATATGGTAATGGTAATGAGGTTCCTTCAATCTAACGTCAGACTATTTGATATGTGCTGCAGACGTTGCATAAACCACCAACGAAGAGGTACAACATTCTCAATCTACTGCACAATATTAATAAGACTGTTCTGACTTCCATGATGTTGGGTACGTTGGTTCTGAGTTTGATGCTCCTCAGCCGCATCACTGCGAACTGGCCGGATGGGAGCAAAGACGCAACACGAGCAAATATGGTAAACTCTAAATAAAATGGGGTATTTTAATTACGAAACAATAACCTTGTTAATTGTCTGTGTAGTAGGTTGGTTGCTGGGTTAGTAGGAGGTGTTTGGGTATGTGAGTTTGTTTCTGCATTTGTTTTTACAATAGGAAACGTTGAACAACAGCGGACAATAGGGTCCCTAATTCCTAAAACATATAGGTCTTCCTAAAAATTTAGTACAAACAAAAGAGGGACAATAGAGGGTCGCTGATTGCAGGCAAATACGCACATGTATGTACGTTGAACAATAGAGGACAAGAGGGCCCCCAATTCCCGAGTGGTCCCCAATTTGGCCATGTTTACAAAGCATTCAGGAAGTCTTCCTAAAAAGTTATACAAGCAAAAGAGGGACAATATAGGGGGTCCCCAATTGCAGGCAAATACACACTTGTGGGTATATAGTCAGGCAACGTCACGCGTCCGTCGGCTTCCGGGAAGTTCCGGAGAACATAAATTGGTTAAGACTGCATTTAGTTTGCTTTAACCCTTCGACGCAGAAACTAGCCCTTTTGGGGACCCAATTTGGTTAATTACCTTAATAAAAAAAAAAAATTCGAACCAATTCTGGTGATCTTCCATCTAATCCTAGCCAGAGGCACCCACTAAGGATATATGCAGTCACCTTTAGTGTGTGTCCCCGGGTGAGGCATATCTGAGCCTGACAACCTGGGCTGCCCATATACACGTGCACAAAACAAAGTCACTTGCGGGTAGCCAAGTGCACGACTTGACCACAGACTATGTATACAACATCTGTTTCCTGTCAATGACCTCCTTATTTAAAGTCTACAGACATGTCGAGATTGTATACGTATAGATACAGTGTTGTGTAGCCTCAAACCAAGGCGTTAAATGTCTGGGTCCCCGGAGGGACCCCTTACTGTAAGTGTGTTAGTCAATTGGCCGTCTGCGTATATCGACGTTAAAATTGCGCAGACTGCGCAGAACCGTCGGCAAAGTTGAATCGTGTTCAACTCTGCCGATGTCTGCCAAGTAACTAGTTTGCGTCTATCTGAGTTAGCGGCAACATGTCCAGATGAAATGTTTCTATATGTCTGCCTTGCAGTTTGGGTCGTGTTGGCGTTTCAGTTTGGAAACTAGGCTTCACAGCTAAATCACAATCGTTATAAATTTCGTTAATTTAACAGGGATTCTACACACTGAATATGACATGCAACGACGCGGGAACCGAATGCGAAGCATGCTACCGAGCACGCGCAGAGGGGCTGGTGTATCTACGTACGTAAATATCCTCATCGAACATTGTCATAAAGCTTTCAAAGTTATAGGCGTTTCAAAGTTATAGTTGAAAAGGCGTACTCTCTAAATTCCAAAGAGTGAAAATTCACTCCATTCGAGTGAAGATTCACTCCCACAGTCGGAAACTAGGGCCTAGACGTTTTAGAGTGAAATTTCTTCAATCGTAAAGATCGAGCTTTCACTCGAGCTTCGACTGAAGTGGTTCATTTTTTTAGACTATTTCAATCGAAAATGAGAGTGATTTTCACACTGAAACCTTTAGTCCCTAATTTCACTCTTTGGAATGTAGAGAGTATGATACCTATATTGTTTATGTTGTTCACAGTCTACTTCTTGGATTTTTTTTGATACACACTGTATGTTAATTTTTCTTTTGTTAGACACTGTTGAATATACAGAGGGGCCGGCCAAGTTTGAATTTCGAGGATCGGCAGCATCACGTGACTGGAAACAGTTTGTTGTTCAAGGTCAGAAAACGTTCATTATCTGTATTTACGTAATTCGTAGGAGTTAATGTATTGAGTTGTTATTTATTAACATTGTATATATTTCTGGTAATGAAGCCAACTATTTCTCAAAAGCGCCATATAGGCACGGCAGCTCGAAAGTCAGAAAAAAAACCGAAGAGAGAAGACAAGGTGAAGCAATTACAGTTTCAGAGGTGGGGGGAAAGGCCCAGAAGAATATTCTGGGGAAAACCCATGGATCACGTAGGCACTGAAAACCCAATCCACATGTGGACAAGGGCGGGAATCGAACCCGGGCCGTTACGGTGGAAGGCCAGCAAAGTAACCACTGCGCTGTCGTTTGCCCATGCATAAACGATACGTTCTTTGAGGGACACCAACCACACGTTCCATAAGTTTCAGTGTGTAATAAAATGGCGGCGCCCATGTCACGAGTTTGTGTGAAGACTCGGTGAGTTCGTTCCATTATTTACTGCTTTGAAAGGACCCATAAACACAACTGGTCGTGTAAATGGCATTTAACAGATGGAGCATGGAAGGTGGTGGAAGCTAATTCTTTCATTTTGCTTTCCTTGTACAGATGATCCAACAGAGCCCTTCCGTTACTGCATGCAGCAAGACGAGATACAAGACTTGGACTACGGGGGCGATACTTGGAGGTTCTCCATCTGCATGGACAACAACTTCTCTGGTATCTCGGTCCCAGCTGAATGCGTGAAACCCTTGGCTGTTGTCTCCATGGTTAGCCTGCGCACAGATAACGAAGCGCACGGCGAGCAGACGCTGTACTGCGCAGCCTAAACGATTGAGCTCCGCCTTTAACTAGGACTTAACTAGGACTTGGGGTGCAGGTCTAAAGCGCTTTCATTGTGTATGTGGTATTCATACTGTTGGCAAAAAGAAAGATACATATCACTGGGTGAAGACCTATGTTCCCAACGCCTATGTTCCCCAACACCCATGTTCCCCAATACCTATGTACCCCAACCGTAACTAACCCTTTCCCCTACCCTTAGGATTATGGGAAACATGGGTATTGGGGGGCATCGCGTAGACCCCTGTATCATGATATTCTATGGCTTGAAGGGTCCATGACGTCAATTTTTCTTAGGAATGTATTTTGGGCATTTTTCTGTACTACTCGTAAATGTATGAACTTTATTTGACATATCTTATGGTAAATTATTGAAAAGTGCCATTTTTTTTTATTTAAAATTGTCCGTGCTTTCCCGGACAACTGAGGGCGCTGTAGCTGTGACGTCGTTTTGGGAAGATGTTGCCCAGTTTCAGAATTTTCCGTTCAAATTGTGAACCCAAACATTTTGCTAAACTGGAAGAACTTGTGAGAAGAGTTTAGACATTGGCTTACTGTCATGTATTGACACAAAGACAAGAATGGTGAACATAACCAATCATTGGTTGATATATCCAATAATTGTTTAATATGTGTCCCACCAACCGATCGGTTGGACACATATTAACCAATTGTTGGTTACTGCAACCAATAATTGGTTATGTTCACCAAAGAAAAGGGAATTTACAACAGCAGCATACCCACAATTCGTGCAACTTTTAGCGCTGAAATGGCTGTAACATTGAGAGCTGCTACCTTACATGACATCAAACTTTTGCTCATGAATATATAATTTTGCATAAACATTAAAACCAACAAGGCACCAAATTACCCTGAAAAATATCAAAACAAAATTTGAAACAAAAGGTTGAATGAGACTCAAAGATGAATTTGCAAGGATCGCATTAGATTACATTACATGGGCCGTTTAACCGGACCAATCCGACCCAAACATCGCAAACATAAAACCGAAACCAACCCGACAAAATCGATGCCGAATCCGACCCGAAGTTGGTTTAATATCGGGTCGGTTTCGGATGCGTACAACGTGTAATCATATCAACAAGAAAGTGAAAGCGTGCTTTGTTTTATTCCTCTTAATTTATTATTCCACTTGTATTTATTCCTCTTATTAGTAATGGTAGAAACAGTTTCAATTAAATAGTAATGGTTCTCGTTTATGTATGACGACTGCGAATTTGTATATATCTGTACGCCCTCATTAATTGTATTAACATCAAAAAAATTAAGTATTATTGCGTAGGTCAATAGATTCTAGCTATGTACATTTTCAAGGTTTTTTTGTTTGGATAAAAAGGGTGAATTTCCAATCTTTAATTTACAAGCCTGTTTGTGTATACATTCGGCTAAATATGTTTTCGTGTTCCCGGCCCTTTTGCCTTCTTTGCTGCTGCAGCTAGACATTCTTTTTCCCAAACGACTAATCTATGAACGCATCTCAGTACGGAAAAAAATAATCATATTGAAGTAATCTTTGTTCTATGGAATCTGGGCGACGCTTTCATCCGCACAGCGTGATACATATTCATGTTTGGGTGCGTGATGTGATTGGTTAAACTACGATGTATGCTGCAGAAACAAAATACGTTGGCTACCATGGAAAAGATCCTTGCGCATGTGCAACGCCTTTGACTTTCACCTGATTACACGTGCGCCTTGAACAACTGATCCGCCATCTTGGATCCCTAAAACATCATTTCTCCAAAATCAACCATCTCCAAAAAGAACCGAAATCCATCAACCAAATAAATTGTAAAAGGACAGGAAAACCCAGAATATACACAATAAACAAAAGTTCGCCGAGCACGAGACCACCTCACAAAACATATTAGAATTTTATATCATGATTGTTAATGACTAAGATAACAGCGTGAAAGATTGTAAATCAAGATGTTTTATGTAACAATTTGCATAAAACATCTTTTATTACAATCTTCCAAACTAAAATTTGCTCAACACTATGGACCTTATAATTATACTACTAAACATCTGTGAAATATCAAGAAAGTGGACTTCAAACACAACTTAAGTACGGTCTTTTCCCCCCTATTTTTTTCCCTGTGCCTTAGCCTATTTTTTTCATCTGGGTATAATTGCAACAAATATTAAGCTAATTAATTTAATGAATACTTATAATGCGCAAACATACACCTATATAATTAGACGCTCATGGCTCTAAAGCGGAAAAAATATGACTAGAGCACACACTAACAGATATTCAACATTATCTCAGCATGCAGTTGAAAGAAATATATTTATATATATATATATACACACGAGGTGCTCTGGTAAAAGATGTGTCATATCAGAACCAAAATACTACGACGTGTTAACCATACTTGTATATAATTCAATTTCCATTTCGAACAAACACAGCGATGCATGCATTCTATACCAGAATCTAATCACTCGTATAAGTATTTTAATCAGGCTGTAAACAGTGTGTGTCATATAATCAAATATTGATTATCGGACTGTACCTTGATCATAATTAAATATCTTGTCTGTTGGCTGACGTCGTAACAACTGTTCCAAGGGTACAATAAAATTTGGCAAAATGTTGTGTTGCGTCTTTAGATTGTGAGGTACACGTTCGTCCGGAGATCGCCGACATCAAGTTTTCTTTTTAAAAATTGTCTACTAACAATCATCTTTAGTGTACACTACGAAGTACCAACAGTAGTTCACATCAAAAAGTCAACGAAATTCTTTCACATCTACACAACGTGTCTGTTCTCGCAACAGTTTGACAGTCAGGTTTTTGGAACGAAGGACACGGTCATCCGTTTGCGAGTACAGTTAAGATTGATCTTCTAAGCAGAGTAGTAAACGCAGCGAGTGCCGACCTCTTGGAACTTCTCCGGATCATCGGCGCGATTTGCATCATTGAGCTGACACAGTTTCTGTTCTTGTTTGGTGCCCTTGATGTTGAAGGAGCGACAACCCGGTTCCTTCAGGCAGGCCGAGGCGCATCTCGAGGCGCTCTTGGTGACGAATTCTCTGATGACATGATCGACGAGGCACCAGTTGAGTTGCTGCTGCTGAGCGTTGCCTCGAGAGAAGCTCTGGTGCTGAGTGTGTGCTGGGGATCGCAGGACGCACATGGCTTGGGGTGGATGTGTACACGGGGTGTCATTCCATTCTCTGTTTTGTGTTATACTAACATAGGCGCAGCGCTCACTAGAAGGGTTGGAATCGCCATCCTTGTTGCTCGGTTCACCAGCACCCCAGTTTGCGTACTGCTGACCGACGTCCTGGCCCTCGCACCTCCATGCTCTATCGATGAATGTGCAACCAACCCACAACCAATCTAGTCCTGCGTTATTTGCCGTATTTGCCATGAAGTCATTCTCCTGAACTGAATGAGGAGCGGCGATCACCGCCCCCATATCTTGGCAAATGGCCTGGTTTTCATTCCATCCTGTCTCCTGACCAGTCAGACGATAACAAGAAGATCCCCACAGCTCCCACATCGGTTGGCAGTATACATCAGCTGACGCGCAGGTCCAGAATGTTATTACCAACGAAAAACAGACACCGAACAGAAACATTGTGGTTTTAGTGGTAGCACAGTAATATGTCAAGGAATTCAAAATTCCGAACAAGTGGCTCTCCGCACTAGCTTCTCTCTGATTTTGCGTTGGCTAGATCTTCTCTGCTGTCGTGTCTGTCCTTCTATTCCTATCAACGGTAGAGTCGTGTTGCTAATTAGCACGAAAACCCAAAGCCTCTTTCGTATGTACGCAAAACAAAGAGCTGTCCAAAAAAATAAATCTGACTCGGCGAAGGCTTACGAGTAAGTTCCTAGTGTCGTGTCTTTAATTTTATTCTTATCAACGGTACGGTAGAGTCGTGTTGTTGGTTTACAGCTGGAAGAACACCGAAGCTCTTTCATCGGTAGGCACAACAAAGAGCTGTCCAAGAAATATTTTTGACTGGTCCTGGGTGCATGGCGTGTCTGTGATTTTGTTCCAAGCGGCAGAGTCGTGTTATTTGTTATCACAAACTAACCGCCAAGCCTAAGCTCACAAACTCACAAATGGTGCTATCGTAAATATCTTATTGCTACTTTCACCATGCAAACCTTTAACCCTAAAAGGGCCGGGGCGAAATTCTCCCCTCCCTCAACTTTTCCCGCGATAGCCTTTTTTTCGTGACCCGAGATGTTATCATTTTTTAGCCTCGAGCCTTGCACATCTTTTAATACCAAAAACATAAATAAAAAAAAATTTCGGCGCTACGCGCAGTGAAAACTGAACTTTCCCATATACGTCGTACCATTCGCACATAATATGAATAATTAATTAGCTATAATTCCAAAACCCTCTGACTTTTAGTCATGAAATTTCTTGGGTATGTTCATGATGAGTTGTTCTATGTATGTACCGAGTTTCAAAATGTTTCGTCACACGATGACCGAGATGGTCAAAATAACCCGGCCCTTTTTAGGGTTAAATCGTACATTTCATTTTGTCATTATTGGCACTCATTTCGATCAACAAATGATACTAAGCTGTTGATTGTTCTGTTTCACTAACGATAACAGATAACGGAAGCCCCGATAAAGAAGGCACCCGCTGAATGCCCAGAATCTCGAGGTCAAGACGCACTCTTGTTGTTGATATTGAATCGTCGACTCTGCTCGCACATCATAGACCCTTGCTGTGCAAGGGGATGTTCCACTAGACAAGTCAAAGAAAGCCTTGACGGCAAATCTCCTTTAAAAATATTGGCAGTAGAGAGCGCCACCAACGATATGAATGAAAAGCAGTCTTCAGAAATATTGGCACTCAGAGTCGCGAACACATCACGCGCATGTTGATGTACTCGGTTGGGTATAGGGGAAAATTAAAATAAATCTACTTCAACATTGTTATGTAAATATAACGGACAATAAGAGCGTAATTTTCCCCTCGATCCTTTCCTTGCCAACATTTTGATAAATATTTCAAAAACCGTAGAGGCAAAAGGATAAGAGGCATAGATCTTTTGGTTTCATTACAGAAAAATGACGCCGTTTTTTTGGGGTGTGGGGGGGGGGGGTGGCCCCGTTCATTCATCACTATTCAAGCATTTCATAAGACGACTTACATGAAACCAAGGTAATTAACCAAATGCAAAGTGTTAACTGATGCTACCTAAAGGTTTTGAACGGTTGTTCCATTAAACCTGCGAGAACGTTTCCTTCATTGTCTTTTTTTCTCCAACCATCGTTGCCAATTATTCCTATTTTCCCCCGCCGATTCCAAGGTATTCGACAGTATAATGCATCGTATCCCAGCAACAGGAAGAGTCTTAGCGTGACGGATATAGTGCGCGGCGAGAGGACGGCGGAACATCCAGGAGCTAGAGCTAATATAGACGGAATTAGTGAGTGTCATTTGATGACTGAGGTGTTATTATTTTATGATAATAATAACAATGGAGTTGGTCTTGCATCACGTATTATCGGCACAGAACTGTCTCGCACATTTGGATGGGCCATGATCGCAAAGTACGGGGAATATCCGCAAGACGAACAAGTTTAGAATACCGACAGGAGTGACCGTATACAAGTCTCTACTGGAATGGGACGGTATCTAGTCATCTGCGAAATATTGTTTTCGACTGATGGTCATCATGAGATTGTTTCTGAACCTAATATTGATATCATCATGGCTGGGTATGCCTCAAGCCAGTAAAGTCACTGCTCACTGTACCTCACATCGAGCTGATACTCGCATATCTCACTGCCCGCCACCCTGGCTTGCTTTCCAGGGGCACTGCTATTTGTGGGTGGACAAATCAATGTCTTGGATGGATGCTGAGCGCCACTGCCAGATGCTGTCCCACCCGGGGAAGATGGTCCACCTTGTGTCCATCCACAGCGAAGAGGAGGATGAATTCATCAAAGATTACGTAAGGATCACCTCTGGCCTGGCGGCTACTCCCAGCTACTGGATTGGCTACAGTGACATCGAACGGGAGGGTCAGTTCCAGTGGAGTGATGCATCTGATGTGTCTTACGAGGGTTGGAAGCCAGGGGAGCCAAACAGCTACAAGGGGAGAAACGAAGACGGTGTCGAGTGCCGATCAGCTTTTGACAGCAAATGGAATGACGACGTTTGCATGCGTGAGAAACGTTTTGTCTGCAAACTCTAGATCCCATTCATGCGATATTGCAGTTAAACGCTATACTCAACTTGTCATTCTGAAAAGTAATAATAGCGCAGTTTCTAATATCAAAGTTGTTCACATGTTACTCTGTCAACAGCATCCTTATCGTTGGCCTTTGCAATTGGAACTGCGCAACATAATAATGGAACAAGGCTGTCTTTTGGTATTTTTTTCCAGACGTTTAACAGCCGGTTCTAGCGAAGCTGCCCATGTAAGGGTTCGATAGAGCTTAATTAGCAAATGCGACAGGAGTGTACATTGAACAATTTCATTTCCGATATTGCCTTGCTCCCAGGATCAATATTGTTGGACTGGCAAGACTATTCATTTAACGATATGTATTTGGAGTTGGAACCGGTCGATAATGTAGTAAACGGAAACACCCCCTCGTTGTCATTGCTTTGTAGCAGTTAAATGACTGTAAACTGTGCAGTTCTCGGCACACACTTTGTTGCGCTCTTGCGTCGCTTTAAACTTTGGCTAAACATTAAAATTGTTGGATGTTATTGATCAGGTTGAGCCAGTCCTTGGTGTACCATTGAAATTGAAGCACTTTAAATTCGAGAATACTTGCAATGAGTATGCAGGTACATGGTGGAGGCAAAAGAAATGATAACCGCGAGTTTCATTGTTTAAATAAAAATGCCATTCAATTAAACCTTAGTGTCAGCTGTTGGTGAATTGAAGTAAATCAGAAGACAGCAAGAAAGAAACGGGCTTCACCGGTCTTCTGGTACTGATACTGGCATCCGTCAGTTTGTCGTCTGACGGCAGTGTGGCTGCTCTCTGCAGCTCACCTTACTGCCAACCACCCTGGCTTGCTTTCCAGGGGCACTGTTACCTGTGGGTGGACAAACCAATGTCTTGGATGGATGCTGAGCGCCACTGCCAGATGCTATCCCACCCGGGTAAGATGGTCCACCTTGCGTCCATCCACAGCAAAGAGGAGGATGAATTCATCAAAGATTACGTAAGGAGCGCATCTGGCCTCGCGGTGACTCCTAGCTACTGGATTGGCTGTAATGACATCGAACGGGAGAGTAATTTCCAGTGGAGTGATGCATCTTATGTGTCTTACAAGAGTTGGGCGCCAGGGGAACCAAATAGCGACGTAGGAGAGGAAGACTGTGTCGAATGCCGTTCCAACCCTTACAACGAATGGAATGATTTACCGTGTAATTTGAGAAGGTCTTTAGTTTGCAAACACTAGATAACATCATGACGAAGCCGATGATGTCGGGAACATATGATTGGAACTGTTAAGGCATTTAGGAGAAGATGAATACTTATGTTCATTCTCATAACATAATGGATTAAAGATTTCCTCCGACAAATCATGAAAATAAGCGGAGAACAGATTTATATTTTGGCTGGAGTTTGGAAATGTTTTCGACAACCAGAAAGTAACAACAATAAAGAAGAAAAGAAAGGACATATCAAAGTGGCACTTATATCAAGCAACAAATAACATGCTTGTTGTGTAGGCGCTTGCTTGCCGTGTTCAGGTCGTTGTCGAGAACGCTTGGGTGTGGTATACGAGGGTAACTTTCTGAGTGGCAGCCGCAGAACGTGGCCAGAGAGTCGCTATTGTTAGTAACAGTCTTATGGTATAAACATGTCATCAGATGAAAGCCAAGCGGAATAGAGAATTCACCAAACTTGAATTGTTTCCCCGTATAACGGGACTGGTTGCCGCTCGGTTGTTTATGATCAATACTCAAAACCCGAGTGAACATTTCACTGAATATTTTTTTCTACTCATCGTTTCATCAATGATTTAAAATACAGCACTTTCACAGATTAATAGATAACATTGAACACGCATCGTATCCAAGCAACTTTGTTTTCCTCGCAACGTGATCGATGCATTATTAGTATTAACTCAGGAAACTCGCTAATGCTTTGGTGTTTGCTTGGGCATCTGCGGAACGTGCACAGTAGTGATTGAGAACAGGAGGACAATTCTGAAGATTGGAAGCTTCTTCAGAGCAGTGGATGTCATTTGCAGTACACGGAGGCACCTGTTTCAAGCCCCATTGACGCTAAGTCATCTCTGACATGTATGGCCTTTGGATGGGCCAATTCTTTTGATGTTGTGCATGAACCACTGATGCCGATATACGAAATACGGTCTGAAAGCGAAAGTCTGTAGGATAACCAAACGGAGGTTCAGCCTGCGTGCACGAATGAATGAATATCTGTGAATTTTCTAAGGAATGAAATAACTGACAGTCATCATGAGATTCTTTCTTTCGCTGATATTGATATCATCATGGCTGGGTATGATGTCTAAAAGCAGTCAAGTCGATGCTCTCTGCAGCACACCTTACTGCCCGCCTCCCTGGCGTGCTTTCCATGGGCACTGCTACCAGTGGGTGAACATAACAATGCCCTGGATGGATGCTGAACGCCACTGCCAGATGCTATCCCATCCGGGGAAGATGGTCCACCTTGCGTCCATCCACAGCAAAGAGGAGCATGAATTCATCAATGATTACGTAAGAAGCGCCTCTGGCTCCGAGACTACTTCTCGCTACTGGATTGGCTACAATGACATCGAACGGGAGAATCATTTCCAGTGGAGTGATGGATCTGATGCGTCTTACGAAGGTTGGGGGTCAGGGGAACCAAATAACATTGGAGAAGAAGATTGTGTCGTATCCCGATCAAACTGGAATGATTTACGGTGTAGTTCGAAAAGGTGTTCAGTCTGCAAACTCTAGGTCACATCATGAAGACAGCGGATGATGAAGGGCACATTCACTACCAAAATAGGAACTGTCCAGGCATTTGGGAGAGGAGGAATATTTATCTCTATGTGTTAATTCGCATAATAGTATGGATTTCAGATTTCATGAAAAAAGAAGTCAGTTTCGCGGGGCTTGAATGACGAAGCAAATTACAGCACAAGTGCGGGAGCGAAGGAAAGTTAGTATGTTTACGTTTGGGACAACGGTCTTATTATCAGCACATAAACAGTTTGGCAGAAATCATAGTTGTTTTGATTTAAGGCTCATTCCTGCAGTTTGAATTCACCTAACTTTGACCTTCCAGTAGCCCCGGAAGGAAAGGTCGAACGACCTTGACTTGACTAGTCTAAAATATGTATCAAGTTATGGTCTATCAGATAGCAAAGTTTAAACATGATCGTTCATTTTGTTCCGCTTGTACTTTGATCGCTTTGTATTTTGATCGCTTGTACTTTGATATCAGATGACGTCATCATGACGTCAGAGTAATATTTACTATTCAGGATCAGGGTTGATTTATGTTCAAAGTTACAAGTGTATGCCATAAATTGTTCGGGAAAAACCCGCGGAGAATTATTGAAGAAATAAAGTAGATTAATTCTTACCATTTCAAAATGGTGATCGGGTCCCAAATAGAATCCAATTCCTGCCTCGTCTCCTTGCTGAGTGTTTATTGCGTCTGCATGATACGAGATGGCATTTGTTCCATTAAGCCCCATATGCTGGGTACGGCCACTACAAATTAAAAAATATGAGAAATGAACAAATTAATCACAATATGTCGTACTTGTAAATCACTAAAACATTAAGGCACACCACTAGGAAAAATTGGCCGGTGTGGCGACACGCCAAAACAGTACAAAGTACAGAGAGGCGTGCGCAATGAGTCCTGAATTATCGAAAAGTACATGTCACTTAACAGTGACAAAAATGACGTGCAGACCAACAGAAGACCAAACAGAGAAAACAATTCATCGGTCTTCTAGTACGTGTAATGATACAGGTATCCCAGTGGCATAGCAAAGTAATTTTTTATTCGGGGGGGGGGGGGATCGTGAAAAAAAGGGCACTCGCCTCATGTGTGCTAAAAGGTAAACAGGTTTTTTTTTCAACATTCACCCGGCCTCCGGAAAATAAAAAAGGCACTTTTAATTTGTTTTTGCAGAAATCCAGCCTACGGAATTTTCGCCACTCTGACCCGACTTCACATCACGCGCATGTTGATGTACTTTGGCTGGGTACAGAGGGACATTAGAATATGTAAACGTCACGATCAATAAGTGGCGTTATTTCCCCCTCATTTTCTTATCTCTTTTTCGATTATATATTTTATAAACCGTAGAGGCAAGAGGATGAGAGGCATCGATTGAAATACGTCTTTACTCCTCTTTGGTACCATTATTTTTAAAAAAAAAGACACTTGCTTTTTTCTTTTTGAAGGGGGGGGGGGGTTGGACCCCGTTCATTCAGCACTATTCAAGAATGTCATAAGGCAATTTAAATAAAACCAAGGTAGTTTCCAATAAAAACTGTTCGCATCTGATACCGCTTAAACACTGTTATTTCGGTTGTGTACTATAATGAACCTAGCAACCAGTTGTGTAAAAATATTGAACAAGTTGTGTAATATTTTACACAAGATGTGTAATATTTTACACAAGTTGTGTAAACAACAGTTTAGTCAGTGGCTAAAAGTGGAAGGGGTCCGCTACTGGATAAAGCAAAGGGTTTGACATACAAAAAGGATACAAGACACAAATTTGTGATTTTAATTTAGTTCACTACTAAGCGATGGACAGCTGTATATGTCGATTCTGCCATAAGTTATATTCTTTCTGCATGAGCAATATGAGGTGCAATCATCTTCCCTCCAAAATCTAGGCAAATGTCTGGGTCTTCAATAATCAATTAATTAAAGATATCGCAGCAGGTGCACAAGACTATACAAACGACGATCGGAAAACAAGTCAGACAAAATCATTCAGCCAACGAAATCATGGATAAAAGGATTTTTAATTTATTGGTCATGTTCCAATCATCGAGTGTGTTCCTTCTGACTATAATTTTGTTGCAAGCTTTCTTGTGCCGCTGTAGGCTAATTATAATATCAAGCATCAGTGCAGTGTAAAGTATAGGCGACGCAAAATTGCCTTGTTTGTCTTAAAATTACCCCTCTCTCATTACGACGTCCATTATAATTGATTGCATTTCTGTCACAACAATCAAAGCCCAAACGAACAAACGTTTCAGCAGAGGCTGAACATTAATCGTACGACTCCGTCAAGACGTGCTGGCATCAAATCAAATTTCATTAGCGGCGGAGTTTCAATTATAGGTCCGGAAATTGAAGATTACTCATTGCGTGTGTCCCATAGCTATGTGTGAAGCAGTTTTCGCTTTGCTGTCACGAAACTTCATTCAGTTTCGCTTCTGCCGTCTCGACTAATGTCCTCGTCAGCGCCTTCCACTTCTTCTTTGTCAATAGCCGTAGCTGCTCCAAGTTGGCAGCGTTGTGTAGGCGCTTGCCTGCCGTCTTCAGGTCGTTGTCGAGAACGCATGGTAGCGTGGTATACGGGGATGAATTTCTGAGTGGCAGCCGTAGAACGTGGCCGGAGAGTCGCCATTATCGTATAAACATTTCATCACAGGCAAGTCAAGCGGAATAATGGTTCCCCTCATCACAGGACTGGGTTGCCGCTCGGCTTGTTTATGATCAATCCTCAGAACCCGTGTGGAAATTTCACTTCATTTTTTCTCAACTCATCATTTCATCGATGGAGTCGTGACTTACATTAGCTGATTTCAAAATTCAGTACCTTTCCAGGTAAATGGATAACAACGAACACGTACGCGTCGTATCCAAGCAATTATCCTTGCGGGTTATAATAAATTACCCAGGAAACTCGTCAATGCTTTGGTGTTTGTGTGGGCGTTTACGGAACGTGTAGTGACCGAGAACAGGAGGACCATTCTGATCGCTGGAAGCTTGTTCAGAGCAGTGGATGTCATTTGCAGCACTTCGAATCCTGTCGCAAGCCGTTAATATTAACGCTAAGTTATCCCGGGCAGTATGTGCTTTGGATGGACCAATAATTTTGATGCTGCGGATGAACCATTGATGTAGATGTATGGAATACGGTCCGAGAGCTAAAGTGTCTGGAAAAGCCATACGGAGGTTCAGCCTTCATGAATGAATGAGTGCATCGGTGCAACTTCTAGGGGATGATCACTGATCGACAGTCATCATGAGATTCTTTCTTAAGCTGATATTGATTTCAGCTTGGCTGGGTATAATTCCTCAAAGCAGTCAAGTCAATGCTCTCTGCAGCACACCTTACTGCCCGCCTCCGTGGCTTGCTTTCCAGGGGCACTGCTACCAGTGGGTGGACAAACAAATGTCTTGGATGGATGCTGAGCGCCACTGCCAGATGCTATCCCATCCGGGTAAGATGGTCCACCTTGCGTCCATCCACAGTGAAGAGGAGGACGAATTCATCAGCGATTATGTCAAAGAGGCGTCTGGCAACCCGAGCAATCCTCCCGGATACTGGATGGGATACAACGACCACCAACAGGAGAACACCTTCACGTGGACGGATGGCTCAGATTCAGCATATGACAATTGGCAACCGCGTGAGCCCAATGATAGCAACGGTGAAGACTGTGTGGAGCGGCATCAGTTTTTCAATAAGTGGAATGATCTTGATTGTTCTAATAAACTGACATTTGTCTGCAAAATGTAGAACAAAATTGAGGAGCTATGGACAAGGAATGATATGCAGATTTGATATGGAGGTTGGGAAAACCAACCGGCCGTGTTCGCATGATAATGGATGTACTTTGCAAAGGAGAGACACATGCCTTTGCGTACTTTTTATTGTTAAAGAATAAAACAGATTACAAGCCAGATGTACAATGTATATGTAGGTACAATTATTTTAACCTTTTATTGGATATATGTTTCCCTGTAGTTTGCCATGCAAATACAGGCCTGATCCGTACTGCGGTTTCTCTTGGCGGTTATTATACGCCTAGATTTAATTTAATGTACTATGTAGTGGAAAGATTATCAAAAAAAAGTTATCACTATTAAAGGGAAGATACAACATTTGCAAACATCAAAAAACGAAATGATCAAATTATCACGAAATACCCCACTGAATTGTTAGGGACTGATAGTCTAAAACATCCTTTAAAATCGTGAGTCCTGGTGTGCTGACATTTTTCCAGCGTTGGAGAAAACTGGCCTTTTTTAAAAACTGTTCCTAATTTTTCATATTTAGTTATTCTGACTTTTCTTTGCAAATGATTACACACCTGTGAAGGGGTACAAGCCTGCTAGACTGATTCTCCAACCTTACAATTCCCCAAAGTGTATTAATTGCTCCGTTTCATCTTAAGTGGGGTCAGGGAACCAGACTACAAGAACATGATTGGTTTTCTTGGTTTTTCCAGCATCTACAAGCCCAAAACGTGAAACAAGTCAGTTTAACAATATTTTCTATAACATACTAATCCTCCAAATCCATTTATTTCTGAAAATTGCAGCAAAAGCAAATGTTGTACATTCCCTTTAAGCAACGCTATAATGATGTGGTTGTTCCCCCGATTGCGTCAATAGGTCCAAAGTTCATATTGACGCTTCAATCGTGCATGACCTTTTGATCGGGAGTCTACGATTTTTCTTTAAATAATTTAGAATTACATCGAGTACGCGAGGCATATAGTATTACTGTATCAAATCCGCTGTGCAAACAGGGCATGTCTGTGTATCGTCCGTTGTGGTTGTGCCTTTCGTCAAAAAATAAAAACTATCTTTACAATTTCCTGTTACTGTAGAAGTTGTCTAGTGTCTGAAATATGTTTCCGTTGATCGCGGCGATTCTTGTGGCTTGCATAAGCGGATTCTGGCTGGGAATGCGACTGGTGTCGTACCTGAAAGCTCGCGTGGACCCGCGCGGCAAAGCGGTGCTGGTGACCGGGTGCGACACGGGCTTCGGGCACGCTCTAGCCGGCAGGCTGCACTCGCTGGGATTCATCGTCTTCGCGGGGTGCTTAGACTGCAAGGGCCAAGGGGCTGTTCAACTGACCCAAGAGGCCAGGCGAGTCGAGGGATGTGGCAACAAGGATCCCTGCAAACGCATGAAGGTACTTCAGATGGATATCTGTAAAGATGAGGAGGTTGTTGAAGCTGTCAGGATCGTGACAAGATTGTTGCGTAAAGATGAAGGTAAGATGACGAACTTCTCGTTCAGCAAAATATCACCGATGAATAAAACTCACACTTTGTCTATTGCACAACTCATCTCCATTTCCCGACCAATTCGAAAAAACTGCATTCGGAACAAATTCATTAATTATAACGTGACATTCCAACAAGCTAGGCCTATATATGATTCAGGTAAATAACTCACGTGGGCAAATTCTGAAAAGTTGGTGCAACTTTACTCAGGTATCTTTGTACCAGATGGCAGTTAGAAAACAGAGGCGGGGCTATCTTTCAGGAAACGGGGGGGGGGGGGTGTTGATATGTATGGAGGGGTGGGACCCAGTGAAGTCATTCTGAAACGCGCTAGTTGGGTCAGGGGGCATGCTCACCCGGAAAGATTTGAAATCTACAATGCATGCCTGCTCCTGCATTCTAAGGCAATTCGAAAATAAATTAAAGAACTTTATTATTTTTGGCTCCATTTTACTAGCATCATAACATTAGTTAGCGGCTGAACATTTTTTAACATTAATAGCAAAGTATTTGAGTACAATGGGCAACATTTATGTCACCAAATACAGGGTGATTAAAGCCAAACGTCGGGACCATTTTCTTAAAAAGTTTTGCATGTAGCACTTTCAAAATCTAGGATATGAAAGCCCGCTTAAAGGCTATCTTTTATTACAAGAATCACTCAAAGCACTCACATACGTTTCAAGTTACGGAATTAAAAAAAAAAACCGTTTAAAATGTTTTGTTGCAGGCTTGTGGGCACTGGTAAATAACGCTGGTCTGTCGACATTTGGCGAGGTGGAATGGTGCAGTCTGGAGGTATTCCAGCGGATGGCTGAGGTGAACGTGTGGGGAGGAATCAGGGTCGTCAAGGCGTTCCTGCCTCTCATCAGAAAAGCAAAAGGTGAACATCAAGTCAAACCGTTGAAAACGGGTGATCAGGCAGAAATATGATCACTTGAAACTCTGTAAAGTGTTACATTATTGATGCATTAATTATTTCTGTTTATGAAATATAAAGAGAGACGTTCTGTTCACAATGGCAATGTTTATTATCAGGATGCAATTCGATCAGTGATAAGTCCAACATACTGAACAACTTTTTAAATTACCCCAGATCAATCAGATGTAGTCATAATTGCAAAATGTATTTATTTATTTATTGCAGATTAACACTGGTTTCCATTGGGGTCCTGTATACATCATACATTATCAAATGAAGTTATAAAGCAAACTTAAATTCACAAGGGCAAAGTACATCGTTGAAACAGACAACGAACCTATACCTAGGTCAACGTCATACACTTACTGATAGAAACATATTTACACAAAATGTAATAATCATGATCAGACTGCTATGAAACTCTGAACGTACATGTACACATGTACCTGAAGATGATTAAGTCTTCAACCTTACACTTTGAACGCTGCCAGCTGGTGGAATACAATAAGGCCGAATAAGAAAAAAACATATTTCTCGTCCGGGTTTTTGAAAAAAAAGGAGGAAGAGGGGCTTTTTATTTTTTATTTTCCATTTTTTTCAAGATGGCCGCCATTTTTAAACATTCCTGCAACCGTTGGTGTTTCCACTGTTCAAAGACACTTTTAAAATGAAAGACAAGTTGGACAAGAGAACTGAAAATGGTTACAGTGTCAGAGTTGTTTTGGTCTACAATGAACAGTTTTAGATGCATTTGCTTTAACCGTGGACTTTTTCGGTGTTTTTTTTACATCATTTTTCAAAAATAAAAATAATAAAAAAATCCAGGCGGCCTCTAAAAAGGAAGCGGGCGGGAACGAGAAGCATTTTTTTTTTTTTTTTTACTTCGTCTTATATGCAACTACTGCGATCCAAAGGCATTTCACAACATGAATTTATTGAAGATATCATTAATGGGCATTGTTTTCTAGGTCGGATTGTCCAGATGACCAGCGGATTGGGTCGTCAAGCTCTCCTAGGCCGATCCTGCTATGTCGTGACCAAGTACGCCATGGAAGGCTTCAGCCAGTGCCTTCGCTACGAGATGCGACGCTGGGGCGTGAGCGTCAGCATCATCGAACCGGGGAACTTCATCGCAGCCACGGGCATCTTCACCCAGGAGCGGATCCGCCAGATCGCCAGCCAGATGTGGGAAGGGGCCAGCGAGGAGACACGGCAGGCTTATGGGAAGGAGACCTTCGATACCCAGGTGGAGAGAATGAGCTACTACAGCCAGGTCGGTACTACGGACCAGAGTCCTGTCATCAACGCCATGGTGGCGGCCATCACTGATAGACGGCCTAAGATTCGCTATGAGCCTAAGGACTGGTACTGGCGAGTACGCACGTTCATTATGACGATACTTCCGCAGGAAATTGGGGACTGGGTGTATCATCAGTGATGGCAGATTTCTGCCATTGTTTCCAAAGTGACGATTCTTTTTTGTAAAAGTAATGAGAAAATCTCACAAAGAAGACAACTTAACGAACGCAGTCATTAGACTTTGTGGCTGTGTAATAAACCAAATTTACATTTTGCGCTGTCCCGAATTTTTGAGGGAATATGTTTTCAGTGACCGATGACAATCACAGCGGAAACAAATTGCAGCATTTCAGTTAAGAAATAACAGAGAATAATTGATGGGAGAATAACAACAATTGTTTAAGCAACTCACGCAAAAGATTTGAAATGTCCCAATTTCAACAAAACACACATGAATGCAGGCCTATGCCCCTTTACATAATTATGTAAAAAAAAAAAAACCACACACACACAATTCAAACATATGACAACAATGCATTGATTTATTCACTAGCTTTCGTAAGAAATTAAAGATCATCTTCTCATTCGACAAAAAAAAACCATTAACGGATTGTTTTCCCGCTATTAAATTTGAGGGAAAAAACACTTCTGTTTTTAAGCTCTGGCAGGAGCGTCTATAAGACCTTAGGGCCTAGTCACTCTGGTGTCGGTCTGTCGCCGAAAAATTGACCAAAAATGTTTCACAAAAAAAATAGCAAATGCCATGCCGTCGTCAGTAGGAATCTACTCTAACAAATTATTTGTAACCATTCGTAAAGTTGTTAATGAACATTTTGTAAACGGAGGCAAGATATGTGCAGTATTGTTGCAGTCACGTGGTATTTTCTGTAGTGGTTGGACGGTATCCAGAAGGAGGGAATGAAAATTGACGAAAGGTATGGTGTTCCATATTTGCCATCGGCGTCGCATTTTGCTTCAGAGCTTGTTCTCTCCCAGTTGTTTTTTTTTTGTCAACACTTGGGTCCTCCGTTAACCACATGGTCGTTTGGTTGCATGGAGAAATGAAAGGGGCAGCATCATAATGATATTGTTTTAAGCAACGTTAGTAATTATTAAGAAACAAACACGCCTATCTTGACCAGTGGCGCACCCAGGATTTGGCTGGGGGGCTCACAATTTTTTTCACATTTTGTTGAATTTATGCCCAAAATTTTTTCAGTAAAAAAAAGGTTTTTTTTTTTTTGGGGGGGGGACTATTTTGATGTTGATGGCGCCACTTACACCCCTATTTTACTACTAGAAAATAGGCCACATTCATATCACTTAAAATTTACAAACAAAAAATAAAAATAAAAATTACAACCTGGGGGGAGGGGGGGCTCAAGCCCCCCGAGGGCCCCCCTTGGGTGCGCCACTGATCTTGACATCAGAATGAAGAAGCAAAAGAGACATAACAATTTCATAGATGTTACTAATATATATAATGTCATCATTTATTGGACATATTCATCATACCATAGCAAAGATATATCATATCGTTTCAGCCAACTATCAGCCACAATTGATGAAAATACATGTAATCTGCAATTATACACATTAGAAAGATATAAGAAATACAATGAACAACCTGAAAAGTGTTATACAGAAAACATAAAAGATTAGAAATCGCTCGGGTATAGTTCACCAAATATCGGCCCATTGAATCCGAAATTACGATATACGTTTTCAATGAACGTCTTAATGTTTTAAAATCGTGAAAGTCATCATCAATTGTTCACGTTTGGCCCATAATTACGAGAAAAAAAAAGAATACCACATCTAAAATCTGCAGCAATTTGTGTTTTCTCCAAATTCTATATGTTTATCCCGGCATCATAATACAACATCTGGGTTCCAACTCTTACAAGGAGATGGATCTCAAGATGCCAAAAAGTGGACAAGAATTTCTACAAAATAATCAACATATATATACACAAATTAACTTGACAAATATGTTATGTATAGATAGATACAGACTTTGATTTAAAGAATACATAGGATTTGCAATTATCCCAAAAGTAACCCACCGAACAAAAAGCTTACTTGGATTGAAGATCGTACGGGTACTAAATGCCCCATGGAATAATTCCGTCTGGCTTGCAGTCATTTAGAAAAAAAAACAAGAAATGTTGGTCGTCTTCCAACGATTAATCAATGTTGTTGTTTTTTCAATAAAGGGTGCTATCGACAAAGTCGCGTTTTGTGATCAAAAGGTTGCGAATGATTTTTTTTTTTTTACGGTTTTCTCAAAATAGTTTAATATCCACTGAGCTGAAACGCCAACAGATTAGGTTCTGAACATTCTTCTTTGGATTTTAGGTGGTGTAAGGCCTAGTATTGGAAACAACAAAAATGCACGAATAGCAAATGATCCTATACGCTTCAGTTAAGATGCAATAAACATTACATGTGTTTACATTTGAAAAGCATTGATATCGCATCATGTTTGTATTATTCAAGGAGTAGTCTCATCATTAGGAGTATCAATACTACATGTATTTACTAAGGCATGCTTCATGCTCGGTTGCTTGCAATCCCCAATACATGTACTATTTTATTTTTAACTTGGAGAAGAGCGTAACACTTTCTTTGAGTTTCAACGTACAAAATTGGCTATAATAACTTCCCGAAAAAAATAATTCCGAAAAGCTTTCCTATGCACAGCCTGTAGACTCAACTTTCAAAGTCTTTGAAAAATCTCTTTAAAACCAATTATTTAAAACTGAGAGCCCTTTGACATGCCCGTAAACAGCGCTATACAAATCTAATTAACTGTCATTATTGCTATAATAATAATTAGCAATTGTTGGCTGCTGTAATGTGGGATATATGACGTTCTGTATCTGTTTCTGTATCCCGTCGGGAAAAACATCACACTAACGAAGTTAGACTTAGAGCGAAGACGATGAGAAGTTTTAGAGGTGGGAGGAAAAGCCCAGCAGATATTCTGGGGAAAGCCCACGGAACCAGGTAGGGGCTGAAAACCCAATCCACATATTGACACGGTCAGGCGGGATTCGAACCCGGGTCACAGCGATGGAAGGCGAGGAAAGTACCGCTACGCCAACCACACCAATCAACCTGACATGCCTGACGTTATTAACAGCGTGCCATTTTGTTTTTATCATACGGTCACTTTCTTTTTGACTCGCCATGTATTCATCTTTTCATCTGTGATAAACACAAATTGAGCTACTGCCATGGTCACACAAAAATAGAGTCTAATTACCTGCCTCGTCTCCTTCCTAAATGTCAATTGCATTTGCATGAGTCGAGAAGAATTGTGTTCCATTAATCGCCATATGCTGTTAATGGCCATCACAATACTATTAATATATTGGCACTATGTCGTACGATGGCACGGTACAAAACACAGAGAGGCGTGCGCACTGAGCCATGAATCCTAAAAGTACATCTCGCCCACCACATTCAGTTTGTGACAGCGCCCTTCTATTGTGTCGGCCATATTCTCAAATAGGCTAATGGCGATGATGACGGCGGGCAGATTAACAGAAGATAGATCAGGCAAATATGTTCATCAATCTTCTATAGTATATGTAACGTTAGGCCAAAAAAAAGTCTCCGGTTTCTGGTATGGAGCTTGTCCAAAAAGTGGTGCGGCGACGCGGCTTTTTTTTTTTTTTACCTGACTTTTTTGCTTCAAATGTCGGCTGATGACTGCAAATGGTGCCCGACTAAACTTAGTGCAAATATATGGGAGTCCAGAGAGGCCACATAAAGCTTATTCTCGATCATAACCCCATCTAAAAAACACGTTAAAATTGTGCAGCAGCAGGATTCCGGTCAAACCAGAGAGTTTGGCGGTTTTGAGACATCATATTTCATTGAAAAAAAAACTTTTTCATTTTGCCGACGCGCATGGCTACGGCGACGCGCGCGCATACCAGAAACCGGAGACTTTTTTTTTTGGCCTTACGTACCTTTTTTTTTTTTACAAACTTAATTCATGATCGTTCTAGGCCACTGAAAATACAGTATTCAAGACAGAGGTATAACAAAAAATGATACTAAATTGCTGTCATGCTGATATACGTGTACATGTATATATATCTAGAAAATATCATGTTACATGTATTATGAAGATATACCAAAGCTTAAGTATACACCATATAAACTATATTTTTGGTTGATATTTCCAAGTAATTTACAATTATATGTATCAATATTACTTCTGGTATTGTCATAAATTTTCCGAACCAGAGATGTACCCCTTAAGTTGTCCAAATTTGAAAAATGAATAACACAACTATAATTTTCTTGAACAAACAAAACAAATTAAGTAAAGAATATTGAATTTAAGTAAAGAAAGTGGCGGTATACATTCCAACATAGTCACTGACCAAAAAGATATACAATTAAAATCACAGTCGATAGAAGTATGTACAAAACACTCACAAGGTTTACACAATTCGTTTAAAAAGTTCGAAATTGCATACATTTGTTATAAAAGTGATGTTAAAATATATCACTTCGCTCCATTTTCTACAAATTTACCAATTTTGGCCAAATACACAAACATTTGAAAAAAAATACATTAGTCTGATGGGCAGTTTACCAATGGTTTTAGATATGTTTTAGGCAAATTAATTAAGTTGATTATTAAATGGAATGGCCGTTAAGTAATCCTTAAGAATGAAAGCCTTTCAGGTATTAACAATGATGTTTCTCAAATCTTGAACGAATCTTTTGAATTTCTCAGTATTATTAAACGTCACAGCTTCCTCACTTAAGACGTGGCAGCACAAGAGATAGGAATGTTGTAGCCAGAGAAGGAATTAAAGCAGCATACCTAGACTGGAAATTTTTTTTGGAATACAAATTATTTGAAGGGTGATGCAGCAACAGAAACCCCAGCCCAATCCAGTCCAACGCATTCAAATCCAATCCACCCAACCCAGCCCAGCCCAGAACCCAGCCCAGCTCAACCCAACCCAGCTCAACACAGCCCAGCCCAACCCAACACAACCCAACCCAGCCCAGTCCAGCCCAGCCCAGCCCAGCCCAGCCCAACCTAGCCCTGCCCAGCCCAGCTCAACACAACCCAGCCCAGCCCAGACCAACCCAACCCAACCCAACACAACCCAGACCAACCCAACCCAGCCCAGCCCAACCCAACCCACCCAGCCCAACCAAGCCCAGTCCAGCCCAGCCCAGTCCAGCCCAGCCCAACCCAGCCAAACCCAACCCAGCCAAACCCAGCCAAACCAAACCCAGCCAAAACCAGCCCAGCCCAGCCCAGCCCAGCCCAACCCATACAATCGGATATTTACAATGATAATTCGCATTATAACCTGAAGCCCAGGAATGTATGACAGCTTGATCCATAATAGTTACCGACAGGACAAGGAGGATCCTTGATCCTTACAAAATGAAGCTGTTGTAGAATTTCTTGAGGTGCATTTATGTACCCTCATCAATATGGATAAAATCAGTTTCATGTTTCTAAATGTACAGACTTTTGGCGATTCTGCCTTTATAATTGAATAATCATATTAAAATATATTTGGTATTGATTGGAAGATATTGTTCACATGATGTCGGATGATGCATGGAACTATTGGTGATGTAAGAAAATAGATTATGCATGTACATTTCATAGAAATATATCACTGTATCATTAGTTAGTTGTCTCATGACTGCAATAAATATTTTAACAAAATTAAATCAGCTTTGGTAGAGTAGATCATTTGCAGCTATCCAAAAAGTAACTGACAAAATTATTGTCCAAAAAGCTTACTTGGTTTTAAGATAGTAATGGCACTAAATTCCCTGTGAAATTATTCTTTCTGGCATGCTGTCGTTTTGAAGAAAACAATAAAAGAGGGCCATTTCTTAAGATGCGTCAAGTGATGCATTTTTAGGAATCTCCGTGAGTAGTTGGTTTGCGAAATTTGGTGAATCCGTGAATGGGTGCGCGCAAGCATTGACATGACGCACACATGCGCGCGATTGTTATTATTCATCAGTTCAGCGCGTGACATCACGTAGCTGCAATTGGCTGAAAACGTGTTCTGTATGCTGATTTCGGGCGCAATTCAAAACATGACTTGGCAATTTTTGAATTGTTAAACACCCATCTTTAGATTTTGAGCACTTTTGTTGCTTCAAACAAACAAAATCATAAACAACAAACGATCTACCCTACCTTTCAAAACTTGAACAATATGACAATCCTCTGACAATCCTCAATTAATTAGAATTATTTGTGCTTACATGATTACTGTCTTTATAAAAAAATATTCCACTGTTGATAAAAGAAAGAATCATTTGTGCATTTTGGTCTTTTTACATCTCCACTTATACTTGTTGAATTGAAATAATCAACTTCATCTCGCTACACAATCTTGTCCGATTTTATTTCATACTCCCACTTGAGATTTTCATAAACTGCAACGTAAGCCGTACTGCTTGTTAAAGGCATAAGGATCATTCCCATTTATCCAAAAAGTGCCTTACCGAATTATTATCTAAAAACTTGCTTAGATTAAAGATCGTTCAGGTACTAAACACACGGTGAAATCATCCTGTCTGTCTTGCTGTCATTTAGAAGAAATATAAACAAGTCAGGTGTGTTTACAAACACAAATGCCCCGCAACCGTGACTGATCCCATGACATAACACCACTCTTTTAACATCAACTTACATGTACCTTGGTCACATGGAATGTTCATTGACAGCATTAGTGTCTTCTGTAGGTTTTATATGAATTAATCCCTAATCCCTATGATCTCAGAATAAATACAAGATTTCGATTGTTTTAGCCACTGTGCCCTTGACCCTTGACCCCAAATGCAAAAGGCTTCTTAGGATTACCAAGGACAATCCACAAACCAAATTTGAAGTTCATATGTAAAGTATTTCTCAAGTTATCGCGCTGACAAAATTTCTATTGTTTCAGCCACTGTGACCTTGACCCTTGACCTTTCGGCCCCAAATGCAATAGGCTTCTTAGGATTACCAAGAACAATACACAAACCAAATTTGAAATTCATATGTAAAGTATTTCTCAAGTTATCGCGCTGACAAAATTTCTTTTGTTTTAGCCACTGTGACCTTGACCCTTGACCTTTCGGCCCCAAATGCAATAGGCTTCTTAGGATTGCCAAGGACAATCCACAAACCAAATTTGAAGTTCATATGTAAAGTATATCTCAAGTTATCACGCTGACAAAATTTCTTTTGTTTTAGCCACTGTGACCTTGACCCTTGACCTTTCGGCCCCAAATGCAATAGGCTTCTCAGGATTGCCAAGGACAATCCACAAACCAAATTTGAAGTTCATATGTAAAGTATTTCTCAAGTTATCGCGTTGACAAAATTTCTATTGTTTCAGCCACTGTGACCTTGACCCTTGACCTTTCGGCCCCAAATGCAATAGGCCTCTTAGGATTGCCAAGGACAATCCACAAACCAAATTTGAAGTTCATATGTAAAGTATATCTCAAGTTATCACGCTGACAAAATTTCTTTTGTTTTAGCCACTGTGACCTTGAACCTTGACCTTTCGGCCCCAAATGCAAAAGGCTTCTCAGGATTGCCAAGGACAATCCACAAACCAAATTTGAAGTTCATATGTAAAGTATTTCTCAAGTTATCGCGCTGACAAAATTTCTATTGTTTCAGCCACTGTGACCTTGACCCTTGACCTTTCGGCCCCAAATGCAATAGGCCTCTTAGGATTACCAAGAACAATACACAGACCAAATTTGAAGTTCATATGTTAAGTATTTCTCAAGTTATCGTGCTGACAAGATTTGTCCGGACACACACACCCACCCACCCATACTTGTTTCACATGACTAGTGTGGACTTTCCATTGCTTTCGTGTAGTTAAGAAAAACCAGTGAAAAAACTCATTTTTCTCAAACTGTGAAAACTCTTTCAACCCAATTTTTTTTCTATGATTCCCTTTAGTGTTTCTCTTCATTCTGCTACAGATAAACCTAACCCAAAAATGCCTCTAAACCTGTTTTCCAGAAATGGGGAAACACTGTGTGGACGTGGGGTAAGTCCACACAACGTCGGTGCTACCTACATTATGTGGACGTCTTTTGTTCGGAAGTCCACACTGCGTATGTAAGACAAACTCACCCACACACACACCCACACACCCACCCACCCACCCACCCACGGAAGGACAAGGCGGAAACAGTATGCCCCTTCGGCTTCGCCGCGGGGCATAAAAATTTGGTGGTGTCCAACGATCAGTAAATTGACAGATTTTTAAAAAATAAAGAGTGCTATAGAAAATTGGTGCTTTGTGATCAAATTTTGTGCATGTTTTTTCACTGTTTTCTCAAAAAAGTGTAATATCCACTGAGCTGAAAATTCCCAAGTTAGGTTGAACATTCTTCTTTGGATTATGAGTGGTTTTATTATTGAAAACGAATTAAATGCTTGAAAAGCAAATGATCCTATATGCCTTTAAATACTGAATATCATCAATTGCTCCGTCATTAACACAGACTCAGTTGTTATGCACTGATGTACGTGACCTTTGACCTTTACTCTCCCACTTCTTCGGATGCCTCTCCTTCTTCAAAGTCCACCTCCGTCTTCTTGATCAGTGCTTCCATCATGGCTTCAATCCGATCATTCTGAGTCCTCATCATCTTCAGTCTGTACTTCACGTTCTTCAAGGTGCTGGCCAGTTCATCTTGTTGGTCCTTGATCTCCTCCAGCTCAGTCTAAAATTTGTGAAAATATCACTTTTTTAATAACAAATAAATATACAATTTTGGAGGGCTAATCATCCTTACTCGCAGCTGAGAAGCTGAACTGCGAAAGACACGGCTACACCGTGGTCGAGCCGGAGGCATGTAAAGGCGCCTTAGGCTGCCGCCGTACGACCCATGTCTGACCACGGAGCACAGCCAGAGATCAAGAGTGTTTGATTTTTGTAGAGGTAGGAAAAGCGGAGAACCAAGAGAAAAACTCTCGTGGCACAGGAGAGAATCAACGAATAACTCTTCTCACATATGACGAATTGGATACAGGATACAATGAACATGACTGAAATGGTGGCAGCATAGTAAAGGTCTATACGAGTCTAACACGCTGACCAACTGTGTCGCGTGGCCAATTTTCTAACTGGCTCATGAGCGACAAACAAACAATACGTAACAGATAATATTAGCTATTAAAATAATGAGATGTAGAAGTATTTTCTCCGTGCACGCAACACATCGATTTCTTTTTCTGGCCTACAAAAGGATGGAAACCTGCTTTTTTTAATCTCCAAAAATGAGCAAGTCGGAATTCCAGATTTTGGATTTTCTTCCAAACTCAATGCTAAAAGGATCACAAACCTTCGGTGGATTCAGAGCGGTCATGATTGTATCGCTCAGAAGCTCCTCACGTCCCGAGTACCAACGGTAAAATTGAGCGAATATGGTCCGACTCTGCTGGTTAGGATGCACGGAGATCGTCTTCCTAATGGAAAGCTTCCATAAGAATGACGGCAAAGCCTCTTGTACTTCCATTGCCAGATTGACCTAGTCATCCAACGAAAAAAAAAATATCATTACAAACAGATCATACAACAGAACTGAAATTTGTTATGAATTATAAAGTTGAACAAAGACATTGACTGGAGGGGGTTTGAACCTGCGACCTCCGGATTGCCACACCGATGCTCTACCAATTGAGCTAACCAGCTCTAGGTTGGCGGTTCCCATTTTGTCAATGTCTTTGTTTTTGTTGGTCCTGGGCTTTTGCTAGCCTAGTGACCTCTTTATACCAATCTCACTGCCTGACTCTCTAGTGACTTCTTCTTAAAATCTTCAGACTTTTAACTTCACAACCTATGGGCTCCGTGCACAAGTACCCCTCCAACGGCCAGAAAAGGAGAGTTGGGGGAGACCTAGACTGGTTCCCGGTCCATCCACTGCATATTTCAAATGATCGAGGGGGCGGGGATTAGCCTGGGAGACCATCGCAACGTATTTTTTTCCCACCGACAAAGCCTGACGCTCATGCGCAAAGACGCTATGGCTTAGCTTTGTGCACATTCAGGATAAACAAGTCGTGCGTACTTCGCGAGCGAATCAGTACAGTATTCACATGCAGTGTACCGTCCAAGGGGTTCTCAAGATGGAAAAAAATGCGCCCTCTTTTGTTGGCGCACGCAGCCCTGTAATTGAACACATAGGTCTGGCACCCGCTTTATTACATGTAGGGCTTTTTTCTATAATGAAGCTACACGGTTGGGCAAATTCAGAATAGAATTAGTTGAGTGTACTTCACCCTTTATGTGTGCGAACCACTGCGTGCCCACACTAGGCTAAGCCAGCAAAACCCAAAAACTCTTTTTTTTATTTCAAAATTTCTATGACACCACTTACCTGCATGCCCAGACGTTTCAGCTTGGCTTGTTCCTGGACTTCTTTAATGTCATCTACAGCCAGACCAACCTACAACCATCAATAAACAGAACAGGACCTGACTAAAATCAACACATAACATGATATGACTTAATTAAGACTTGTTTGTCTTTAACCATTCCCATGGTGGTGTTTTGGATTGCATTTTTTTTCCTTTTCTTCAATGCTTTGATACCCAAAACATAAAAATCCATGTTAATTTGGTAATTTGTAACAGGACATTCATCTGCTAATGCTCAAGAACATGGTACATTTTACTAACTTGGGAACCCAAAGGGATGTTATGTTACCCGTCTCAAATTCATATCAGGGACGAGTTCCAGAGAAGTTGTGAACATTGTATCGGGTAAACGTTGCAGAAGTTCGAACAACTTCCCCGCAATTTTCCCGGGCCAAAAGCCGAAATTATTTAGTACAGCTGTGTTCATTATAGCAACGTTTTGGTAAACAATAAACTTTCCAGAATTTACATCTTTACCTTTCAAAGACTCAAACTATACAGACCAGTACTAACCAGTAAGTTCATGATGATGATTGACATGATGATCACGAAGATGACAAAGATGACGTAAGTGACTCCAGCATAGTACACCTCCGCAAGGAACAACTCCTTGTCTTCCATAGCGTCCTGACCGTAGCGCAAGTAGTTCAAATTGTGGAAGATGCTGTCAAATTCAAATTCGCCAATCATCATGACAAAAGTCTTGACCAGGGCGTAGTGGACACGGTGGAAGGATTGCTATGGGGAAAAAAAACAAGATTCGGCAATGACCTGAATGACTCACTGAAGAATAAGATATCTTGACAATAAGTACCAAATGAGGATTAATCTTAAAAGTCAAAATTTAAACAAACTGAACGATATGCAACAATTTCCGCTCTGGTAAAATGAGACAGAACTGGGCATAGGCCGTAGTTGAGAAAAATTCCCAAAAGCAAACAGGGGTATTTTTTCCCGACTTTCAGATTTATTGATATTTGTAATCTTTGTTCTGTGTACTACACCTATTTTAAACAAATAATATAAAATCATTTGTTTTATAGAACACCTGAATATATCCTTGTCATCTGATCGGTCAGAGCCGCCAAAAGTATGACAATGGAACGTCCATTTACCGTACAATGGAACTTTTATTTTTGCCGTGTGGCTGCGCCGTGTGTTGGAACGAATAACTCAATGACATGTGATCAAGGATCCACCAATCAGATGATGGGGATCTATTCAGGCATTGCATAATAAGCAATAATAACTACACTACCATTTTATTCCTTTAAAAGAGTGGGGAAAACAAATGTACATGTATGTGAATTAAGTAAGGATAATTCAAAATTTTACACAAGAAACACCAAACTGTTTTAAGCCATTTTTGATCAGTCCATACCTGGTTCTGAAGGAGTGAGTAGAACGCCAGTCCAAACGCAATGATGAAGAGGAAGAAGACGATCGCAAACTGAAGGAACGTCTTCAGCACATCTGCAGTCAAAATTCAAGTTGGGGTCGTTTTAACGCATGCTATCTGCCACGCGTATCGCACAATGTGTCGGCGTAAAAGATTGCGATTTTCACCGTCTTTTCAGAGAAGTTGTTCAACCATATGTGACTGCTGAACATATCGTCGTGTCGTGCAACAAGGGCATTTTTTTTCTAAAATGGCGTGTGACATCATGCATGCGAAACGTGAGTTTTCAATGTCAAAAGGTTGGATCTCGCTAAAAACAACCCGGAGGTACACACAAAGTCAGTGAACGTCAAGATACGTGAGATACTACTTAGTTGCATGGAGCGTATTCGCGCGAGATATGACTTTGTTGCAGAATCGAGTTGCGAACTTGTTGCATTGACGTGAAGATATTTGTGTTTCAAAGCCACAGATATGAATTCTTTTATCGAAGACTAATATGTTCATGACACAATGCGAAACAATGGTAATAATGGTTGGAGATAGCTAAACGTATGCGACATGCACACGCATCCATTCAGATGTAAAACCTCTCCGTTCCCAACAATGGAAATTAATCAATGTGATGCGATCAAGCTAAATGAGTCGTTTGTCGACCCTGGTCATTTTTTTTTTTTTTTTTTTTTTTTAACAGATTTGAAAAGAGCACAATCTCAGCATTACTGCTGTGAAAAACGCATGCGGGTACTATCTTTAGTTACAAAATTATGGAAGTCGGAACACCAAGAGATGTGATGAAGTGGTCCTATTTTGGCCTGAATCTCCGACTGAAAATTCCCGACAAACGACTCATGTAGCCTGATCGCATCACAAATAGTTGTTTTTAATCTAGCCTACCTGTGAACATGACGATGTAAATCCCAAACTGTGGAAACTTCCTCAGGAACAGAATCAGGTTGATCCAGGCCAAGAACACAGCCACGCCCCCTAACTGCCACTGCCATGGCTGAGAAGAAAAGATAAAACAAGGCCATTTTTGGTTAGAAATAATTATATATTATTGGATGGCTTTGAGGGGGACACGAGCTGTTACAATATTGCACGAGTCAAAGACAAGTGCAATATTGTCATAGCGAGTGCAATATATTCTTATTTCCCCCGAAAAAAATTCATCGCGTACCTGCAATCAGCTGAATGAGAACGTGTCCCAGACGCTGAATTCGGGAGCAATTCAAAACATGACTAGGGAACTTCTGAATTGAAATCAAGATCCTAGAATATCGTTTCCTCGGAATATACAGCATTCACTGAGCTAAAAACGTCATCAGGTTAGTTGCTCAGCACCCTTCTTTCAATGTTGAGCACTTTTGTTGCTGCAAACGAACGTAAGTCACAAATTACAAATGATGGCCGCTACCTTTGAAACAGTTGGTAGATGAATTAGCTGTCTGAACAAGGGTCTTACCAATCGAAGCATGATGCAATTGGTGCCTGGTTCCACAATACATTCTTTTCCCTCAGTGCCATAAGGATAGTAGACACCAGACCAAGGGATCACGAACAGAATGGACAACGTGTAGATAGCCCACTCTAACAGATTAACCCAGCCAAAGTAGTTCAACTTCTGATGGTACAACTGCACGAGCTGGTAAGAAAAATCCAAAGAAATAGGAAATTAGCAAAAAACAATTTACATCGTTGAAAAGGCAAAACATTCTAGTTTCCGGAATGCAAACATCCATTCAGACAAAGTGTGATAGGACTCGAACCAGCCAGCTGACCCGGCAAGCTCGGTGGTCGAGTGGTGAGACGTCTGCACTAGAAAGCAGGAGGTTGTGGGTTCCAGTCCCACCTCGGTAAGCTTATGAAGTTTTCTCACAAGCCCTTTGATATGTTTGACAACATGAGTACAATATACATGTAATGTACAAACAAACAAAAAATATCGGAAAACAAAGTTTATAATCAAGTTTATTTTGCATGCCAACCAATTTTTTGTGTCTGCTAAGTAGTGCAATTTGTTAATCTCAGAAATGTAACGAAACAAGTTACCTGCTAAACTACAATGTACTTTGTAAGAATCAGAGATTCGAATCAAGCTATTGGCCATATGTGTCCTTGGGCAAGCCACTTTACCCCCACTTGCCTCTCTCCACCCAGGAGTAGAAATGGGTACCAGCATTAGCTGGGGAGTAACCTGCGATGGACAGGCATCCCATCCAGAGGAAATAGAAATAGTCTCAGTCGTTTCATTTTATTGACAAGGAAACTGTAAGGATGGGCCGGCTTGACAGGCCATATCAGCTCGTGACAGACTTGACTTTTTTTTACCTCTTTCACAATGTTGACCGCAGACAGGAAAATGATGACCCAGTGTCCCACATTCCCAAAGAGGTAATGAGTGGCCGAGCTGAAGCCTTGCTCCCAACGTTCCTTTCCGTCTGCTTTCCATTCAAAAGTTCCCGCCGTCAGATTCGCAGTGAAGTAAAATGACGGGGGGTTGGTCACAACGTAGCCTGTGCAACAACAAACAAAAACAATCTAATAAACAACGTTCATAAGATGGAATTGACGTCGGGGTGATGCAAATCACAGTAAGGTATTTCATAATAATTTGGTAGTTTTGTTTTTTGATGTTTACAAATGTTGGACATTCGATTAAAATGAAGGTGTCAGAAAGATTTCCTACCGGTCAGAAACACCAGGAACAGAGCATAGAATACCAGGGATGTGTAGTAGAAGAAGCGGCCGTAGCTGTCCCACTTATGCTGCATGAGGCTGGTGACCAGCGGGTGCCCGAGCAACTCGTCACGTTTGGAGTTCACCTGGATGTTGGAAATTCATAAAAAACAGTTATTGGTTACAATTCTTGATTTGCTAGTCTATTCAACTTGATCAACCAATCGAACTGCTGTCTGGATGTTGTAGCCATGGAAACCATAAGTGAAATTTGTAGGCTTTCTCAAAGAGTGAGCAGTTAGATCATATGTTCTTTTGAATAAAAAAAATGGTCTCATTTTCAAACGTTTGATTTTTCCAAAGATTCTTTTTTTTTTTCAAAGGGGTACTTTTACCCACACTGCCAAAATCCTACATGCCTGATTGCAATTTCCTTTTCTTTATATGAATTTTTGCAATTATTTGTATTTTTTCCTTTTTTTTATGGTCACATTTTCAAAGATTTGTTTTTTTCCAAAATTTCCTTTATTTTTTAAACGGGTACTTTTACCCACACCGCCAAAATTCTTTCATTGAAATTGCTTTCTTCCTATGAATTTTTCCTTTTTCGCAATTTCCCTTTCTAATTTCATTCATTCAGAAAATAAAATAAAAAGTTTGTACTACTGGCCCACCAGAATTCATGAGACATTTACATCTTAAATACAAATGAAACATTCACTAGAGTGTTAATGACATGGTAAAAATGTGGTTATGTGCCATAAAATGTCCAAATCTTGACATTAAACAGGCAACATGAAGTTTATTTAAGTTTTCTTTAAAAATATGATGCTACCATTTTCATCAGTTTTAAAAATTAATAAACCTGACATTTTGCGTGGACCGTACCATTATTGTCAGCGGGTGGTTCAATCTCAACACCTTGGCATTTGAGGAGTAGGGTGAGGCATTGCTGGAGAGTTTTCCGTTCTCCATGAACGGACTGTTGTCGTCCGAGCCTCCAGAAACCTCAGAAACGTTGTCTGGATTAGGGAGCAAGTTCAGGGCAATCTTTAGACAAAACAGTACGTGACAGTGGACAATAGTGCACTATATTCTGGAGGTTGTAAACCTGTGCAGGGTCACCAAAAAAAATGCAACCCTACAACATTTGCCTTAAAAAAAAAAAGAGGATCATTGGATTTTTATTTTTTCGGGTATCAGATTAAAACTGAGAGCTTTTTCTTTCAAATACTGAAGAAAAAAAAGTCATGAAAATAACACAAACTTTTCAGCGGTTATCCTATTACACGTGCGTGTTGCACGGAATGGCACGCACATTTAGAAAAGCACAATACGTAGAGTGGGGTATGGAACGAGGCTGTGCTACATGGTTACATGTAGTACGGCTTGTTACCATGGAGCGACCAATCAGGATCGAGGATTCCAGTTTACTTGAAGATAAACACTTATGCCCACCGGAAAACTTTACAAATTACTGCCGTATCATCTGATAATTTAAAATTACATATATTCCAAACAAAACGTTTTGAACAAATGTTGTATGAGGCACGAAGATCGTTTCACCCACCCCATATCCGGATAAAAGCTTTGACAAGAAATTTGCCATTTTCCAATCTCAATTTGTTTGTTCTGATGTAGTCTTTCCCCTCATTTCATCCAAACCACGCTCTTTTGAACGGAGCTATTTTAATAGCTCAGTGGGTACAACAACATATACATGTAGCTGCAATACAAATCTACACGATCTATAGTTAGCTGTTACCAGATGACTGCAACTATATGTACATGCTCAAAATAACTACTAAAATGCAAAACAAAACTTAGCACGTCAAAGCAACAATGTTTAATGGGTAATTCTGCAGGTTGTGGGTTCGAGTCCAGCCTGTGGCTACCGGTATATGGTGCATGTGCCCTTGGCACTTTGTCACTCATTGCTTCTCCCCACCCAGGAGTAAATGGGTACCTGTGTGAGGGCAGGGGTGGTTATTGTGACTGATTTTAGTTGCTTTGTGCCAAAATAGCTGAGATGGTATTTGGAGTGTTTCATTGGCCCAATGAGCAGGGTAATAATGATGTAGCGCCTTGAACACCAATACTGGTGGATATGTGCGCCTTTATTAATATTTAAACATTATGCACTTTTCAAAAAAACAAAATGTCTTGTATTTTCCTTGCACAAAAAAAAAACAATTACCGAACATTCACTTGTGCAGTTAACAATTTAATGTTTCTTAACGAGTTGGGGAATGGAGTTTAGTAACTTCTTTTGCAGTTGGCGAAATATTATCTTACAATGAACCACCTTTCTATCTACATTTGATCATCTGACACATCTTCACACGGTGTGAAATTTGCATGAATAAGGAAAGAATGCAAAATTAAACATGCGGTAACTCGTTGTTCAACCCTGACTCCCGAGGTAACCTGTAATACCTTGTTAAACCTCCAGGTGAACCTCCAGGTGAACCTCCAGGTAAACCTGACGGTAAACCTCACAGTAAACCTCACGGTAAACCTCACGGTAAACCTCTAGGTAAACCTCAAGGTGAACCTCCAGGTAAACCTCACGGTAAACCTCCAGGTAAACCTCACGGTAAACCTCAAGGTAAACCTCAATTTACCGCCTGTTTAATTTCACATTTTATCCTAAAAATACACCTTATGCAAAACAATCATATGTCTTGATACATGTGCATGGAGCAACAACATGAAGTCAACCATGTATGAATTGAACACTTTACAAACAAACAACGCTGCTTGACACTTTTCTTCTACGAAGCCCGACACCACTCACAAGTTACCTGGGGCAATTTTGGACGGTCTGGTATACATATATGTGGCTCCTGGCAAGGCATAAATAAAATGGCTCCATGCAGGTAGTTAAACAAATTGAATTCAGCTTTGTCAGGAATGGATAAATATAAACAGCTGAAGAACAAAATGATCTGGCAAGTTCCAAGGTCTACAAGGGCAGATCCAGAACCAAATTGGGGGGGGGGGGGGGGGGGGGGGGGGGGGGGGAAGCAACAGGATTTGAGTTGTTGTTTGTTTTTTCAAAAAAGGGGAAGGGATTTTAAAGTACACTCAACCAAGAAAGTCCCCCCTGCCAATATGTTTTTGTTTAACTCACAAACTACTGCGCACCTCTTACTCAAATAACAACTAATCAGTACAAAAATTCCTTAGCAAGCAAGATATACTCTTTATTTGGCCCAAAACAGTGATGTACAAAATTATGCAATTTATGACAAATGATACCGAAACAGTTGCACTTTTGTATGTACGTGCAAGTTGTGGTTCACACTCACCTTGCACGTATACCACAGTGCAACTTTTTCCGGTAGCATTTATCATAAATTGCATAATTTTGTACACATTATCACTGTGTTGGGCCAAATAAAGAGTATGGCTGGATTGCTAAGGAACTTCCGTACTGATTAGTTGTAATTTGAGTAACATGTGCAGCAGTTTTTAGTTTTAGACAAACTTGTATTAAGGGGGACTTTCTTTTTTTGTTGAGTGTATAGTTTAGTGACATGCATTATTTCCACATTGTAACATTATATCCTGAACATTTAAGACAAAAAGGCGCCTTCACTTTTCTGGTAAAAACTAAAACGAACAAATACATTGGGTGGGGGAATATGGACCTGGGGTGGGGGCGATTTCACACAATGGGATACAGGTAGTAGAAGTACACTGATGCATATTTATAAGCCAAACGCACTTCTTTCATTGGTTGATTGTCCAACATATCTGGAAAGTAACAGTAGTTAATATACCTCATGCATATTCATGAGCAAGAGCTGAATTTCTACAACTCCATTCACTATCAAGTGTCAACTTCATCAGGTGTCACCAATGGGGATGTCCCCCCCCCCCCCCCCAAATAAAATTATACAAGTGTGTAAAGATTTTAACAAAATGTATATAAAACTCGCAATAGCTTTAAGATATTGCTTGTCCGCCAACATTTTGGCACAGGCGCAACTGCAAAAGAATACAGCAGGAAATGCGGGAATAACGCGCATCAGTACATGCATACATGTTAGGACAGCGCCCTCTACAGTCACATTCTGCTTTGCTGGATATTTTGGGAGCATACCTGGGCTGTTATCGTCCCACTTGGAGAACATGTCATCCAAGAGCTCGTAGTCAAAGGTGATGCAGTACTTCTTGTGTTCGGCAGGGAATTCGTTCTCGGACACGCACCGGTTGAAGACGGCCTCTGCCACATCTACAAGTCCAGAATAAAAGATGACAAAACAGCAACTTAACAGCCAGTAGTGCAAAGAGTTACTTAAGTTATTGAATCTATATATTACAATGGCATAACTCCACTACTGCTGCAGTTTACAGTGCAAGTTGTGAAACAATCCGCATCGTGCAACAGTTCAGTTAGAAAACGTTCAACTAAACTTTCATAGCGTGCAAGTCTGTGACAAATTATGGTGTGACTTGTGCAGTCACTTCCCCCCCCCCCCTCCCCCTGCTGGGCTGGCCTCGCTGAAATTGCCAGCCAGAGAGGGAGGGTTACCTATCTCCAGCAAAATACCTGTCACACAAATCAACATTAGTTCGAAGTCAATTTAATTGTAATGATACTTCATTGGCAAATTAAACAGGTCAGGTGTAACATGGACATAACAATTTTGGCCCCCAAATTTACGGAGACCCAGAACGCTTGACAGAGTCCAGCCAGGCTAGCTTCACCTTCATCCTACCGTCTATTCTTCTTACCCGGCATCTTCTTGATCAGTTTGCGCATCGGAGTCGACCTGATCTTAGTAAACTTGTCCTTGCTGGTTGAATACATGGCATGCTGCCAATGCTTGTGGGCAATGATGGCGCGGGCCACTTGTCTAAAAACAGATCAAAAACAAAAGGCAACATTATTAAAAGTTCATTAGTATTTTTTCTTGGAGTCAAACACTAGCTTAATTTTTAACAACTCCATAACAGCAGAACTTCAGAGGCCCACATTTTGAACTTTTGTCCCCCCCCCCATCTTTTTATCAAGCTCTTGATAAAGTTAATAAATATTTTTAAAAATTGGATTGAATAAAAAATAGTTTGAATTTACATTAATTTGCGGACCTGATTTTCAAATAATCATTAGATTTTTCTTTTGGGAAAACTTGAAGAAATATTGTCGCGTCAGTGCAACAATGGTCGTAACTTGATTCTGCAACAAAGTCTTATCTCGCGCGAATACATTCCATGCAATAAGGTCGTATCTCGCGTATCGCGACGTCCATTGACTTTGTGTGTACATCCGGGTTATTTTAAGAGAGATACGACCTTTTGACATTGAAAACTGGCATTTACAGACGTACATGATGTCCCAAGCCATTTTAGGAGAAACAACCTTGTTGCACGGACACAACGATACAGGAATTTTCGTTCATTGTAGGCAAAAATAGGAAATGAAGAAGGGGGAGTGTTTTTTAATGTGGGGGGATTTTCAAACAAGAACTGGTAACATTTTGCTAAACAATAAAAAAAAATTAAAAAATAGTCTGGAGCAAAAATTGCATATTCTTTGCAAGGTGAGGGGCCTGAAGACAAACACGACTGTCGATATGAATATTCATAATCATGAGGTCATGAGGTCAAGGTGAACTTACTCATGTCCCTTGTCGATAGCAAGGTCCATGCAGTTGTGTTCATTCCCATCTTTCAGTGACAGATCCGCTCCCCGTTCACACAGCAGCTTGACCATGTCAACGTGGCCATTCTTGGAGGCCAAATGAAGCGGTGTAGTCTAAGGAAAGACACAAGACAGATGGTAAGGCATTTTAGTTATAATACAAATGTATTCATTTATATTGAGCGAATTCCATATGAATATGTTCGAATGCACATCACATAAACTATACTCCAAACATGTTTAGAGAGGGCACATTATGCAGCTGATCCAGAAACACCAGGGCAAAATTAAACCTTCTCTTTCACAATAAGTGTCCAGGGTGTTTTAAAGTTTTACGTCCCATCCGAAAGACATAAGGAGCCCTATCATGTCCCAGAAAAGCCACCAACCAGGACAATACATGGAATGGTCTCCCATCCAACTACTGACCACAGTCAATGGTGCTTAACTTGGCAGTTACACCACTAGCTCTTCCACTGAGCCAACTGTCTGGGACAGGGTACTCCCCTAGTGCAGAGACTGTATAAGAGTTGTTAACCCTCCTAGTGGGAAGTCAATATACAGAGCAATATGCAAAACCCTTTAAAACCTGCAGGTCAGTTTCAAGCAGGATTTCAAGCAGACCCAGGTGAAAAAAATAGAACAGTAGGATCAAAATTTAAAGGTGCAGTCCATCATTTGTAATTTGTGCATTTTGTTCGTTTGAAGCAACAAAAAAAACCAAAATCTAAAGAAGGGTGCTGAACAACTAACCTGATAGAATAATGCTGTGTATTTTGAAAAAAAAAAACATTCTAGGATCTCGATTTCAAATCAAAAGTTGCTGAATCATGTTTTGAATTGGGCCTGAATTCAGCATTTGAGATACGTTCTCACTGAGCCGATTGCAGCTACGCAATGTCGAGCACTGATCCGACGTATTATAGCAACCGCAAGCGCGTTGTGTCAACGCTTGCGAGAACTTTGCCGAATAAAAAAAACCAACTACTAACGGAAATTTCCAACGGTGCGTCTTTGCCACACAGAGGAAGTCATACTGATTGGGAGAAGCCAAACATGTGCACGACCTCAACACAGTCACTTCAGATAAGCCTAGGGCCTGAATCTTACCCTGGTTTTATCAATTGGATCAATGGGACTGTCGTTTTCCAGCAGAGCGGTGGCGCACTTCACCCAACCATTGGCTGCTGAGCAGTCCAACGGAGTCCACAACGACTGGTTCCTGTTGGAGACACAAACAAGATAAATAGTATTTGCCGACTTGTACTATCTCCAAAAATAGCTTGACCCAGACATGAAGTGTTGTGCAAACATTTTTAGCGGACCCTGATACGACACTACATGGCCTAAGTAATCATCCCATACATTTTGTCTGGGTAAATTATTTGTTTTGCCATTTAACCACAAACAATACAATTTTACAAGACATAACATTATTTACAACACACACACAAAAAACAAACAAAACATTTGACCGTGTGGGCACAGGACAGCAAAAGTGAAAAGTCACTGTAGACTTGCTTACTAAATTACATGTATATAAAAACACCAAAGTAAAAAAATATATAAAAAGCAAGGTAAACAGAAACATATTGCACATCAAAAACGATTAAATTACACCTAAAATACAAGTAACAATCCCACAAACCACAACTATGGTATGTGCAGATGCTGTCTTGTTTAATCATTGTTCGACATCACAGTTGACAACAGGAATTCAATCAAAGCTTTGGTGTTTTGAGTTGAAATTGACCGACAGTCAAATCCTATTGATATAGCCATTTGACGCGTTATATTTAACAAATATTGATTACACTTAAAGGGGCATGCATGGTGAGTCAAAACAGAAAGTGACCTGGATTAAGGCCAAAAAAAAAAAGTCTCCGGTTTCTGGTATGGAGCTTGCCCAAAAAGTGGTGCGGCGACGCGGCTTTTTTTTTTTTTTTACCTGACTTTTTTGCTCCAAATGTCAGCTGATGATTGCAAATGGTGCCCGACTAAACTCAGTGAAAATGTATGGGAGTCCAGAGAGGCCACATAAAGCTTATTCTCGATAATAACCCCATCGATAATAACCCCGTTAAAATTGTGCAGCAGCAGGATTCCAGTCAAACCAGTGAGTTTGGCGGTTTTGAGACATCATCTTTCATTGGCTACGGCGACGCGCGCACATACCAGAAACCGGAGACTTTTTTTTTTTGGCCTAATGATTTTGTTTTTCTTAAAAAGAAATCAAATTAGATACCCCAATGAAGTATGTCTTAAAAGAGCAAATATATTTTTTTGGAAGTTCCTGAAAAATGAAACATTTCAGTTTCTTGCTTTTGCAGTTCCACTGTTTGTCCCCCACCTTGCTTCAATATCGGCCCCTGCGTCAATGAGTGCTAGGACACACTTAGCATGGCCCTCGGAAGCCGCTAAATGCAACGGCGTGTTGGAATCCTCGTCTTCGTCATTGATGCCTGTCAAGTCGCGACGGACTAACTCCATTAGGGTGCTGTAGAGAAATGAATACATTCTACCCATTAGTCCTGGTACCGCCCAAAACTGCCCCGCCCAAAACTGCCCCGCCTTTTACTGCACATACCGCCAGAACCCCCCTGGCCACTCTATGGTTGTATTGATTCATTAGAACCCTCCTACGCAAAATACATTGGTGTCATTCAGCTATTGTGTGCCAAAAATATAGGATGTTTGTGGACATAACGCATGTCATACCATGCATGAATATTATACCGGTATGTCACAAGGATATGTCAAAATATATGTCAAAATTGTAAATACTGGCTCAAGACTCAGGAAAAGTTACTGAAGGCAAAAGTACTTTATATACCCTAATACAAAAATAAACTTTGTTTCTCGTGTATCCGTCATTGTTTCAAAAGCATTTCAAAAAACGTTCCCTAATTCAACAGCTGTAAATGGTCTGAGGTATATTGAGTACATTTTTAACCCATTACCACTTGTACAGCATTGTATTACATTGTATTTATTCACTTACCCTCCCACTGTTTGAAAAGCCACAGACAGTCAAAAATTTCACCCACTTCCCCTGAAATGCCTTTTACACTGGTTGGTCAGAAACGGTCAGATAAAACCAGTCCATAGGTTTTCATTCTCAAACTGCCAAGCAGCTAATTTGTTACGCTTTCAACAATGCCAATATTATTCAGTTTAGAAAACAAAAACATTTACTTTACTATGAGTGTACTAATAACAGTTCTGCTTTTGAATACCCTACCAGTACCTACCCTATTTTGACAGCCCTATGGGGGGGGGAATGATTAAAAAACAAATCTGAAAATCATCAATTACTACCTTTTACCCTTGACTACACGCAGACACCTCCACATGATCATACACACACAAAATTGTTTGGCCTAAGGTGCTGGTTGAAAGTTGTTACCGGTATGTCCATAAGCCTATTCAAAATTCTTACATGAAATAAATTTCCTCAGGACTTACTGAACTCGTCCGTGTGCGGCAGCGAGATGCAGAGCTGTCTGCTCCTCCTCATTCTTGGCTTCTAAACTTGCTCCTCGATCCAGTAAAATCTAGCAGATGTTGGATAAAATGATGTGTTATTCCTTAAATTATTCCTGCAATCGCTTTTCCTTATTAGGTTTTATTAAAATCAATAATGGATTATTAATCATAATCTTTTGGACAATACACTTTGTGCTGTGCAATGCCAAATTACCGACATTTTTACAACAATTGAAACCTTTTCAAATTAGTAAGTTAAAAACAAAAACACAAAAATAATTAAGGCTGATTCTAATTCACGCAAATGCGACTGCTAAGCGAAATTGACGTCACATATCATTTGCTGTGAAATACATGTACCTAACTAGAAATGCAATTGGGAATTTAAAAAGAAAACCAAGGAAATTCCAAACCTCAAAAGACTTTGTACAGTATTTTTTAATTTGTAATGGCATTCATGAGAAATACAAAACAAGAAAATCAGCGGATCTGGGGAAAAGTTGCATGCCTGTACCTTGACAATATTGATGTAGCCATGTTCAGCAGCGACATGCAGTGGCGTGTTGTTATAACGATCACTGGCCATCAGTAGTTTCTTAGCCTTGTGTTTGCGGTGGTCCAACAAAACCTGAAAACAGAAGCAATATTTATCATCAAGAAAAACTGAATCCTAATTGTGGTTTGATGAGTACACATACACTTTAACAAGTGTCATTTAAAGGTAGCGTCCATCATTTGTAATTTGTGCTTTTTGTACATTAGAAGCAGCAAACCTGCTCAAAATCTAAAGAAGGGTGCTGAACAACTAACCTGATGAACGTTCAGCTCATCAGTGAATGCTGCATATTCCGAGAAAACAATATTCTAGGATCTCAATTTCAAATCAAAAGTTGCTGAGTCACAGTTTGAATTGGGCCTGAATTCAGCGTCCGAGCACGTCCTCACTAATTGCAGCTACGCGATGTCGCGCCCTGAACTGACACATTACATTTACAGCAAGCGTGCGCGTGTGCACCGTGTCAACGCTTGCGCGCCCTTCACCGAATAAAAAAACGAACTACTGAGGGAACGCCTTTTTTCATTGATTTCTTCAAAATGACCGCATGCCAGAAAGAATAATTTCACAGGGAGTTTAGTCCACTTACTATCTTTTATAAACCAAGTATGTTTTTCAACAATAATTACGTCAGTTACTTTTTGGATAGCTGCAAATGATGGACTGTTAGATTTAAGTTTAACTTCTGTGGATTTTACACCTAGGTTTCACAGTTTTTGCCTGATTCATAACCCAAGCACTCTTTCTGCGATTCAGGAAATCAAATTTGTTATTTTACCGTCAATGCTTGGACTTCGTTTTCTTGGGCAGCCCAGAACATGGAGCTCTTCTCGTGTTTATCAACGGCGCGGATGTTTGCGCCGTACTTGAGGAGCACGGCAATGGTTGCGCTGTGTCCATTGCTCGCAGCGATCAGTAATGGCGTAAAGTTGTCCTTGTCGCGACGTTCAATTCTTGCACCGCTGCAATTCAATAAAGAAGAACAGTTTGTTTGCTATCGTTTCACTAGCATGTAAACAAACAAACATTAAAGAAGTTATGAAGCCTATTGCCTTTGCCTTTTCTAGGTTGACACGTCTTACCTTTTCAGTAGGTACTCCACAACTTGGTGTCGATTGAACGCGCAGGCACGGTGCAGCGGTGTGGCCCGTTCAATGTTGAGAGCATCCACGTTAGCAGACTTACTCAAGAGCAGCTTGACAATGTCTATATGACCTGCCCCTGCAGCGATGTGAAGTGGCGTGTTGCGCTGCTTGTCATAACTGTTCAGCTTGGCACCTGAAGGCACAAAGGCGAAACAACTTATAAGGGAATAATAGCATTATGGCACAGTAAAATTGAGTGGTAAGGGGTCTGGTTGTTGATAATACATGTATGGCCGTGGCCAAAGGAAGATATATAAGTGTCCTGCAACCTTTCTTCGCAATCGCGCAGCAACTCTTAAAACTCGGTCACAAAGTAAAACAGCAATTCTTTTACTTCAAACACAAAGAGTGTTGTATCAACCTGCAATGACGGGCTCCACGACGATTACAATTTGCTGGTAAAATAGTTCACTTACGCCACCTGAGATGATTGTGCAAGTTACGCCATAATTTGTTGTGCAAGTCGCATTCTTATGGACTATTTTAAAACTTCATGAAATTGTCATTACAGAAATGTACTTGCACAGCTTGAAATGTTGCACAACTTGCGCAATAAATTATGGTGCAAGTGGACTTGCCATTATGTAAAGTTTTTTTAAATCAGCTGCTGCATTACAAACGTTATTTGTACTCTTTGGATTTCTCTATGGATTTTCTTGAGCCTTACCTTTTTCGAGGCACATCTGAACAATTTGCTGCTTGCCGCTGTCCACTGCTACATGCAACGGTGAGTTGTCGTCATAGTCTGAATCAGTCAACATCTAGTGGGTAGAAGAAAGAAGTAAACTAAAATATTTGCCTGACTTATTTGTCAGTACGTGTTGATTTGGTCATTGTTAAAAGTCTGATCTGTTTAGTTGAACAAGGGAAATTGTGTAAATCAAACTAAAATCAGGTCATATTTGTTTACATAATTATTGTAACATAGCGTGCTCCTTCTTTGCACTTTTTAGCCAGGGGTGTCGCTAGAGGGGGTGCAGGGGAGTGACAAACCCCTGGAAACATTTTTATTAGCAAATTGTTGTGCTGTCGGCAAAGCTGTTTGTCCAGCAGCAAATATGTGCCATTAATGTCCCCTACTGATACATATTGTGTGCTTTGAACAGCGCCACAATTAGTCAGATTGAGACCAACTTCTGACCCCCCCCCCCCCCCCCGACAATGAAATGACCCGACTCCTTACCTGGCCTAGAACACCTTGCTGCCCACCGGCCTCAAACAGCATCTGGACGATCTCCACGTGACCCTCAGTGCAGGCCACCAAGAGAGGGGTGTTCCCTTCCTCGTCCGTGCAGCGCAACACCGCTCCTTTCTCGATCAGCATCTTAGCGATCTCAAGGTTGCCGTGGGTGCATGCCATGTGCAGGGGAGTCATCAACTGCTTGTCAACAGCCTGTAAAATTAGAGGGGCACGGGGAACAATATCAGCTACAGATTAACGTGAACAGGGAACAAAGGGGCACATCTGCGGTCTATCCATGGAGCTACGATGTACTGAACACTTAAACTTGTCAAGTTATGAAATTTGATGAATATCTAAGTATAACATTAGAGTTTGAGCACGAAAGTTCGTTTCCTGTTGCTTAATGTAACATTGGAATTGTAATTACTCAAACTGACCTCATGAAGGATTTTTTTCGAGTTCAACAGTTCCTTGGCAGCAACATCGTTCCCCCTCATGGCAGCAAAATGCAGCGGTGTCTGTCCATAGATGTCCTGAACGTTGACGTCCGCCCCTTGGGACTCCAGATAGGAGATGACACCGTCCCTTGTGTCATTATCCTCATCATCATCGTCATCGTCTTCCGAGCCTGTTGGGGATGCCTTGACGGTTGTGCGTTTGCAGCGAGCGGCGTAGTGCATGGGAGTGGTATTGTCTTCACCCCTGCACTGTTTGTCTAACAGAAGGAGATAAATTGACTTTTATTGATTGATGAGCCAGCTGTACCCACCATGACCCCTGCCTTTGTGTGTTGATGGAATTTGACTGGTCACAGTGCTTGCATGCTTAAAATATGATGTGACTGTTGGTGACTAGCCTGTGTACATGTATAACGAGGATTGATTTTTTGACTGTTTGTGACTGTTCAGACACCTTTTTTTTTTTAAGTCGGCAAGTTGACCACTGTTTTTGTTTACCTGCTTGATGCTTAATGAGCAGCTTAACGATCTCCAGGTGGTTGTAACGGGCCGCATAGTGGAGCGCGCTCAGATTGTTCTCGTCGAGTTTGTTAACGCGTTTCCGTTTGTTGGAGCCTATCTGGTCCAGGTAACGCCGCATGATGTCAATTGCTCCATCCCGGGCAGCCTGCATGGTGGAAGAGAAAAAATAGCGTTATACTCATCAACGAATGTACGATACATGTATAATCCACCAGTGGGGCAATTCAATGCAAAAGTGACCACAACTGGAAAGTGGAGACTGAATGAAATCTTTCAAACTACAAGCTTCACAACATCAAATGTGGCGTCAAATTATAGGGGACAACAAGATCTTTCATTTGAGTGGTGTGATTTTTGGTCCAAAAAACTTGGATTTTTGGCTAAAATAATGGATTTTTGGTAGTCATTTTGGCACCTTGATTTAACATGCAAACTATGACTGTTAGTGTTATTGAGAGTTTTTGTGTTTAAGGCAGAGAGAAGGTACATACATTTGTATTAGGCCCCTATAAGAAAAGGGTTTAAATTATGTTGCAGTTTATCAAACTCAGATTTTATGCCGTGTAAGAAACCATGAAGAGAAAGTAACGCTTGTGACGTAACGTGAGTGATGTAACATGAGTGACGTAACATGAGTGACGTTAACTCCTTGTAATATCCCTTGCATGTAAAATGTTGATTCAAAATGGGTTTTTATATCAGTAGCTATGGGTTGAATGAAAGGTACAATAATGTTACTTCTGAGTTGCAGACTACAGTTTGAGGAGACTGTAGCAACAAAATTGCAGGCCAATTTTCCATGTCCTTTTTTTTTTAACGTGATTGGCAACCAACAAAACACATGTTTTCAAAAAGTGAATGAATGGATTAGAAATTTATCTTTCCATTTGTAAGTACCCCTTACCCCAAGGTTGTTGTATGGCTGGTTTGATTCAGCTTGATCAAATATTTCTGAAGCAGTGAGAGGTCAAAGTACAGCCTCTTGGTATAGGTCTATACTCATACACATGTACATGTAACGTGAGTTGCCCACTGCAGTTTTATTAAAGATCTTAGCCACTGGACAAACGTGTACAATAGATTTTTTTTTAAATATTGGTAATTTGTTAGACTACTATTTACACAATGTTCAAACACAATCAGCATTTCATAATGTGAAATTTCAGGAAATTTATGGAGACATTTCATTGGATTTTTTTTTTCATTTTCCCTTTTTTGGGGAGGTGCCTATACATACATGTGTATACTGGTGCTCCATCACGTCCACAAACTTTTTTTTCCACTTCAGTTCATCTGAATACACCATGGAATACTGCTAATGCACAGGAAGTGTGCAACGGATCAGGGCAATAGGCAGATATAGGGCCTATGGGTTGAACAGCATTATCTGGGACAATATTTTGTGCAGATGTTCATGTACATGTACCAGATAATGGTACATATAGTTTACTATAGTGTTATTGGGTATTGGCCAAGGTTTGACTGATGATTCAACAACTTGGCTCCTGATTTAAATTTGAAGAATGTTCACACGTATCAAATCTAACTGTCATTTAGTGCAAAGTTGTGTACATAATTTAGCCTACATGTACAGCATATTTCATCCTGTACACACAAAATACCACAGTAGGGGATTTTCACTATATACCTAATTGTGCACAGTAGGCCTACTTATGTCCTAATAAATAACGCAGCACATAATGACAAACTAACAAACATACATGCAAAGCATGGCCCTGTACATTGTAACTTGTATCTTGAACGCTGTTTTACAGACAGGTTACTCCCTTACTGTATAACATTGTCAACTTATGTACTAGTATGTATGTGGACTTAATTATGATACCGGGTGGGGGGGGGGGGGGTTTAAGTTAAAAGATATACATGATGTATTTGCATGAATCATACCCAGTACTTTTCCAGTGTCACCTGTCAAGACAGCAAAAAACTACATGGGAAAACTATGATGACTCACTCAATGCCTAAACTAAAGCTGCTCGTAACGTGTGTACAAATAAAACAGTGAAAAATGCACTTTCAACAAAAGAACATTTGTGTAAAGGGCGCACCAACTATAAATAAACAAACAGACAAATTGGTTGGAATGAAGCATACAAGTTGAAAATTGGTATGGAGTTAAAAATAAAATTGAATCCGTTGAAAAGCACAGCAACTTTCATTGGGCTGCGATTTTGTTTGCACACATTTTAAATGTAAATTACATACTATGTGACTACGACTAATTCATAATGACACTAGATATATGCTCTCTGCAATTTAAGGGAGTTACATGTACATTTACCTACTTAAAATGAGCAACATAAAATTTGAAAAACAAACTGTCTTTTTTTTTTCTTTTTTACTAAAGAGCTTACTTGTTACAGTGGACATTGTCAAATTTCTCAGTCCACTGTAAATTTACGTCATGTAAAAAAAAATAACCAATTTCTCGTCTCCGTCTGCTTCCTTTTTACCCAGCTGCCATAATGGGTTTTTTTTATGTATAAAAACAATTGCAATATATTTTGTCCGCTCAAAGTCATTCAGGTCAAGCAAAATCTATCCAATCAGAGTTTAAATTCATCAGCAGTTCCTGTTTGCAGGGCAGGGGATACGAGTGCATACATTTTGCACAATATGCTTACATGTGTATAAATTATGTGTTCCAACAAAATTTCAGTAGAAAGCATCATTTTGTAACTTGTAAGGGCTCCTTAGGACACAATTTTGCATATAAAAAAACCAGTCAAGAAATCCTCTTGCCATCTTGGAAAGTCTGCCATCTTGGTGGGGGGGGGGGGGGGGGGGGGGGGAGTGCCCGCCTCCTTCATTAAGAAAAAAAGGCTGAAAGAAAAACTAGTTACTTATTTTAACTTGGCCTAAATATACAACTTGAATAGAATCAATGCTCAAGACAGCATTGCGGAAGTTGACAATATGAACATGTACCGGGGTATCTTGTTTTCACAGCGTAATACACGCTATGCATAACTGCAGACCATTGATGCATGCAAAATGAACTGTCATCATGCAACCCACATGTGTCATTATGCAGGAATAAAAAATTATTCTTTAATTCTTCCAATATACCGGCTACATGAATGGAAATTTGATTTATTTTAATAAATAACTTCACCTTTATAAATGCACTTTTTTAAATCAATATTTTTTACTCATGAATCAGTGGGCTTTATCATGTTTATGCAGTACTGCACAATTGTGTTCATTTCTTGCATTAGTTGTCCCACAGCCTTCAGGACAAATTTGTCATTTTTCCCCAATAAATACTGAGTTCGCTCTAAAAATTATTCATGATCCACGACAGAGTTTATGACCATTACAATTCAATAGGCCACCAGCAATTAGCATCCAATGAATTGATCTCTTAAAGGGCCAATGCAAATATGCAATTTTTTTTTTATGCAATCCTTGAAAATCCACCTTTGTGTCTCGTTTAACCTTATTTGCAATTGACCTATCGCAGCTTGTGAAATATTGTACAATTACATGATATTCAAATTGACGTGGAAAGCGCAACAACATCTGAGACAAACAAAACTTAGTGTACAAAAATTCCATTAGGTTGTCCAAGGGCGTGGCTAACTCGCAAATGGTTTTTAGGTCAATTTCTGTTTTGCCATTTTCAAGGGTATTTTGGTACCTTTTTGTTTGTTATATGCTAATGTGAGCAAAAGTGTGATGTCATCTCAGACAGAAACCTCACGTTACAGTTCTTTCAGTAAGTCAGATCGGTATTAGTCTAGGCAAAAGGTCATTCGGGATAAAATTGCTGACGAGATGTTACGCGAAGGCCCGTTGCGCTTGTAATTAACATGCACCTATCATTAACATGACCTATCATTGTGTGCATGCGCAGTTGGAAAACTAGCTGAACTGGCTTATTAAAAGTGAGGCTAGAAAGCATAAATAGTCAGGCACCATCAAATTCAACAATTCACAATTTATACACTCAGGGAACACGACCAACATGGCTTCCTCTTTCCATTTAATTATGTACTGAGTAGTTCGTTTTAAAGGTTTCAAATCATATACATGTAGTTGAACACAAATTACAGGTGTCTATACATGTACTTTCATTCTTTGCCATAGCTGATGAAACTGATTTCATTTTATGGAAGACACTGATCAACATGATCAATAAGATGATTACAATCATCAAAACGGATCTGTAAATTGAATTGTCTACTTTGCAGGTATGCCTTCAACACCATCTTCATCGTGACTACGAATGCAATCCAATCATCAAAGTACGGGTGAAATATTAAGCCTAATAATAAGGTTTGGGGAAGTTTTTAGAAATATTATTCTGGAACGTGTAATGATAAATTTATCTCAAGTCTTGGATTCCGAAAAAGTATTTCAAAAGGGGGCACGCAAAAAATAAATGTTTCCTTTGAACGATATCTGGCCATTACTAATTTTTCTCTTCACAGCTATCACTAGCAACACTGTCAGCCATCAGAAAGTGAAAACATGTCATAAAAAGTCAAATTTAGCAGGGAAAATATTGAAGTATTTACTGAGAAAACACTTGGAAATTGGGTTTGTGTACAGGCATGACAGGGTGACAAGTGATGGCCAGATATCCAATTAAACATCAGTGTGCATCTTGTAATTATAATTCGTCCTTTTCTTCAGGTTGTGTAAGACTTGAGTAAGTCAGTAGGAAGAGCATCCATGGCATTTTCCAAATTCTAGTTGAATCTTACCTGATGGATACTGATGAGAGTGCTCAGATCTTCGGTACTATCTGAGGTTGGCAAACCCCTCCCAATCCCTCCGCTTCATCCAGCTCTTCTGGAGTTGGCCAATTAGGGGCGTACTTCGGCATCTCCTGCCGTCTACGGTATTCCTTCATCTCCACCGTGTCCTCACGATCCAGCGCGCCGTCGCTCCGAGGCATGCTCCCCGTGGAGTTTGACAGCAATGACGCTGTCCCTATCGGAGAATGGATCGGTTCTGGACTCTCTGCAAGCCCGTTTTGATCGTTCTGAGGAGGTTCTTTCTCTCTATTTTCCGAAGGGGCAACCCTTGCTTGCCACGTAGTGGTGTTTTTCAAAGCCGGTAGCACGTTAATACGGCTCGCACTGGCTTCACTGTGTTCTGAGGGGGCAGAATCGGGCCTTGTTTGTACATGTACCTGTAGTGAACTGTTTGGTGGTGTCGTCCCAGTTTCCGAGGATTCGACCGCAGCGTCCTGTACACTGGCCACTACCGGGAGATCGTTGATTTCCAAGGGCGAGTGGTACGCGTGTGGGTACACGACAGGTGGTAAATCTTTGGCTGCCTCGGCCACTAACAAAGCTTCGGAATCGCTGTGCGAAAGGGAAACAGTTTTATTATTGCGATTGCTGGAACGTTTTCCGGCTGATGGGTTCATGAAGCTTTCGTTTTCGTCCCAATGCATAGGGCGTTGATTTTCCGTTCTAGATGGTCCAAGTCAACTTAGTGTGAATGTGCAGTGAACCATTTTATTTACACAATTTCATCCACGCCAACTAGCTGTGCTATACATGTGTTATGCATGCGTGATCGATCATATTATTTGCCTAATATAACAGCCAAGTGACCTTTGCACTGTTGACGCTCCACCCAAAATTATCAGTGACAATAATTATTGATTAGATCATGATAATTGTTGACACGAATATTTATTCTCCGACCAGTTTTTGTTCGGATTTAACGTTTTCTCTCATGTTGACTAAATCGCTAGGGATCGGGCCCACGAAGCTGTGAAGATGCGCGTCTGGGTATATCAAGAGATGACCTATATCTCTGCGAACCCCCCCCCCCCCCCCCCCCCCCGCTGTAATGCTCATATTTAAATTCGTATCACTGATCACACAAGTGATGGATTTTGGTGATGCATGTTGGATTAAAATGGTTATATAACACAGCTAGTGGAGTAGTTAAGGAGGATATATGAAATAAGGGGATAGATAGACTTTTAAAGGGGTAGTGGCAGTCACGAGATACGTTTTCTGCATGATTTTCTATTTTATGGCTCAAGGATGGACTTGTCAATTACCTACCCCCCCCCCCCCCCCCCCCCACACACACACACCCCAGGGTGTCAATTCACAAAGGCACGGTCAAATTGTTTCATTCAGAGTCTATATAGTTTGTCACAAATTAAAACAAAACAAATCAAAAGGTAAAATAGCTATAGAAAAATTAAAAAAAGAAAAATCGACAAGATTGATCAGCCCTCGATCCCTTTTATCCTCCCACCACAAAAAGGTTAAAAAATCTAATAACAATATATCTCTTATATTTCTGTGGGCCTAAGTTGTAACTGTCCAACAGAAAAAAAATCAGTCCTCTTTGTAATTGTATTTTCAACCAAAATTCCTCTTGATTCAACTGCCTACCTTCCCTTGCGACTCCCCCACCTAGTTCCGCGGATGACCCTAGGAGTAGAGGGCTGATGGTGGGCCGCAGCTGCGCCGGAGATGCGGGTTCCTCCTCCATCACCCACCCAGTGATGTCTTCAAGAAAGTCTGCCCTTTGGTAACTTACAACACCGCCATCTCAGGGTGCCAGTCATCCTTGGGGGAGAAATTTATCGGCCTTGATAGAATTATTTTCAAGTCACTTTGGAAACATCATTTTGGGTGGTGTTTTGTTTGTCTTTTTTTTTTTTTTTTGAGATGAGGAAACGTTTTTGTCCGCAAACAGGGCTATATTGATCTAGCTCATTGTCACTTTCCAGAAATTCCGTTTAACGCCTGAACACCGACAAGCCAGTAGGCTTCACCGAAAACGGCCTGTAAATTTCATTTAAAGCCTAGTGCAACAGGTTACTTAAATCAAAAATCTGAGGACCTTATGTTCTCGTCTGATGTCGAAAATCATCGTCGCAATACAAAAAAAAATTAGGTAGGTTTTGTGTGTGCGATGCACGTCTGTTATGGTTTAATATGCTATCTTAGACTATTTCTTGCTAAACTGTTACGTAATATTTACATACTCATCCCCGTTTCTATAGATACAAACCTACAGGGATAAAGGGATGCGTCATTCGAGGGCGCGAGGAAGCCCGCCTCAGGCTATCTTATTGTTACCAATATCGTCTGCTGTACTTTTCATTCAGCCTTACACATGAAACGGAATTATTAAATAAAGGTCATTGCGCAAAAAAAAGCGGAACCCAAACCCCCAAAAATATATTACATAGTTTAAAAAAATGTGTAGCACCAAAATAATAATGACTAGAAAACTAATTTCATGAACAACTTTTAGATGAAAAACATACTGAAATTGCTCAATCCGGCCGTTCAAAGAATATCACCATTTAAACGCAATGACCCTAAAACCCGTTTCATCCCCCCCCCCCCGAAAAAAAATTATTGTGTGTTCTGACTGTTCTAACTGTTTCAGGAACAACAAAGACAGTTGTGATTCTTGAAATCGCATTTTTGGACGAAAGATTTTTAGGGTCATCGCCTAAATGGTGATACTTTGAATGGATTGAGCAATTTCAGTATTTTTTCATCAAAATGTAGTTTATGAAATTGGCTTGCCAGTCATCATTATCTTTGGTGCTGCATATTTTTTTTATAAATATGAAATGCCATGTATTTTGGGGGTTTGGGTTTCGCTTTTTTGACTCACCCTGAATAACCACTTGCTTGCAATCGACAATTTTTCCTGCACGCTACTCGTAGCACAGAGAGAATCGCAAGACACGAATGGACCTTGTACCTACCTTTCTGTTGGCATCAACCTTCATAGTCACGTCCGTTCACGCCCCAAAAATTGTCTTGAACCATGCATACCCTGCGCACTATAGAACTACTAGAGAAAAAGCCACTTCAACAATAAATATGACACAAATGTAGGCCTATTCTGCAATTTTATTTCACACTATCTGACCTGCAAAAAAAATTGCCAGATGTCTTCGTATGGAAGCCATTATCCCACAATGCACCCAAATCGACTGCTCCCAGAATTTAATTAAACCGTCATCCTTTTTTTCCCCCGCAGTCGTCATGGTAACAATCAGTGAGGATGAAGCCAACCGTTCCTATTGTATTGATGGTTAAGCAACCTCCGAGCAACAGGGAGCACGTGTTTGCTCTCTGCTGTTTTATGATGCTGTAGCTCAGTTCAACACATGGGTATTCAGAGAGAAAACCCCATTCTGTTGATGCATTGTTGGGTGAAAATCATTGGCACAATTATTAGTTTTGGTAGTCAGCATAATTGTGTTTATACAGGGTGAGTCAAAAAAGCAGAACCCAACCCAACAAATACATTTCATTTCCTCTAAAAAATAGCTAGTGAAATTGGCTTTCCATTCATTGCTACTATGTTTGGTGCTACATATTTTTTTTAAATATGAAATATATTTTTGGGTTTGGGTTCCTGTTTTTTTACTCGCCCTGTAGCTTATAGTACAACGCGTGGGAGATCGGAGGGAAAACCCCATTCATGATGCATTGTTTGGTGAACTTCATCGGCACAATAAGTAGGTAAGTTATTGTGCCGATGAAGGAGTATTTGTGGTTCTCACAAAAGAGATGGTTCCACATGGTATTACCGCAAACCTCTCACTTACAGAATAATTGTGTTATACAGAGCGGATAAAAAAACGCCGAGATATTATTGCTAATTGGAACAGAAGTAGGGCACATGTGAATCGAAGGGAGATATCCTCCGTTAGGGTTGAATCTCCTCTTTAAAATGACACCCTGATCATGTCGTAACATTCACGGTTGACTGAGCAGTGACCAATATTATGAAAGGGTATATTTAGAGACTTGCGCCACTTTTCATGGTGAAATCTCTTTTTCCCCACCTGCCTTGATTGGAAACCATAGCGTTTCACTCGCTGACAATTGACACAACAAAAACCACAATTGAAAAGTGGTACAATTCTCTAATAGACCCTTTCATAAAATTGGTAACTGCTCAGTCAGCCGTGGAATGTAATGACACGACCAGGGTGTCATTTCAAAGAGATTCAACCTTAACAAAAGATATCTCCCTTTGATTCACATGTGCCCTATTTTCTGCTCCAATGAGCAGTAATATCTCGGTTTCGTGTTTTTTTTAACCACCCTGTACACAGCTACCTTCAATACTTATCTTTTGAATATTTCATTTCTTGGTTATCATATTTTTGCTTTGTGGTCGTGTTATACTGTCTAGCTACTTTTCACGCCAGCTAAATACAGGAATAAACAAAGTTTATATTTTTTCTCTTAGCGCCAGTTTTTTCACTGGTTACAAACTGTGAAAATCATTTTCGAGTAGGTTTTTTTCTTAAATTAATCCGATTAGCAAACAGTGATTACATTTTTTGTCAACATTTAAATAATAAATAAATGAAATTGATGCACAAGCAATATAGTTACTAAATGAGTGACAAGTTTTAAGATATAAGTTACAGAACTTGGTTTATTCTCCTTTCTTGAAAAAACTGTAAATAACCACACTGATAACATTTTAACATTTAAATAGTACGTTTGCTATAAAGATATTAATGTAATTCCGTTGAGAATATTGAAAAGTGAACAAAAAAGTAAATTGTCATGAAAATAACCACAAATGGTTATTTTCATGACAATAAATTTACAGGTGACTGATTTCCCTTAGTAATATCCATGTACATGTATTACATTAAAAAATGGGAAATGGTTTACACAAAAACACACGCAAACAACAATCCTTATCAGAAACAAATTGAAAGAAAAAACTTATTAAAAACTTGATAACACATTAGTTATACATTCACCCAACAATCACTGATAAATAGATTGCTGGTACAAGGAATATTGACTGTGACGACCATGTCCTATCTTACCAATAGACTTGCATTAGTCCTTCTTGAAAGAGTTTATCTTAAATTTCACAAAAAGGATTTTCATGGGCATCGCGAGGGAGGGGCAAGGGGGCAGCTTAAAAAACCTGGAAACGCCAAAAAAACAAAAAGAGAAGGGAAAAAAAAGACAAAAAAAAGAGAGAGTGTAGTCATAATTATTTGCTATTAATTTAATGCACTACAAAAATGGGCGTCCGCAGGCATGTCAATGGGGGATGGGCAAATGTCCGCACACCCACCCTCGAAAAAATGATAAATTGAGAAAATGCTAAAGAAAGAGCAATGATGTTGGGGAAAAAATGTGCTTTGCCCCCCCCCCAAAAAAAAAAATCCTGGCGACGCCCATGAGGATTTTCAAATTCAGAGGTATGCAGTGACTTCTAATACTGTGCTGGTAAGTACAAGTTTTTTATAAATTAACTCAAGGATCGTGAGTACAGTGAGCACGCATCCCAGAAGTAGTTATCAGTAGTGCACATCTTATTCCAGTTTCACATCTACTTGACCCTCTTGGCTCCTTTATCAAAGTCTTCTTTAGTTAGCCGATATCCCCAGTGCTGGAGGGTCTGTCTGACTACGGGAGAGACGGCAAAATTGTCGTAAGCACAACCGCTGCGCACACACTTGGCGATGAGGTTATTCCGCCATCGGCCTTTGAGGCCGGCGCATCGCGACCAACGCCCGATCTGTCGGTCGTCATCTTCAGTGCGTCTCCCAAGGTAGAACCTAAGACAACACAAACCAGAAGATTTATTAGGGGTGGATCAGCAATTGTTTTGTTCATTGGGAGGTTGTGTATTGTTTAACAGTACAAGGGAAAATTGCAGGTGCATATCATTATAGTAAATTAGATAAAATACTGAGGGGTAGGAATCCCATGTTTACATGTATAAATGATTGGTAAAAGTAGGCCATTAAGCGCCCTCTACTGTTTGTGAGCATAACCATAATTAGGCTCTGGTTTCAAATCAAGACAAAGAAGTTAAGGCCTAAAAACGAGTGGTCAATGAAAATGTCACTGAAACATACCTTCATTTCCATTGGAACCTACCTGTAGTTCCATTAGAACCTACCTGCAACACTATTGGCACCTACCTGCAGTTCCATTGGCACCTATCTGCAGTACCATTTGAACCTACCTGCAGTGCCATTGTTACCTACCTGCAGTACCATTGTAACCTACCTGCGGTACCACTGGTACCTACCTGCAGTACCATTGGCACCCACCTGCAGTGCAATTTATACCTTCAGTACCATTGGAACTAATTTGTGGTGCCATTGGAACGTACCTGCAGATCCACTGGAACCTACCTGCAGTTCCGTTGGAACCTACCTGCATTACGATTGGCACCTATCTGCAGTGCCATTGGAATACCATTGGCACCCATCTGCAGTGGGCACTTTATACCTACAATACCATTGAAACCTATTTGCAGTGCTATAGGAACCTGCCTGCAGTACCATTGGCACCTACCTGCAATACCATTGGCACCTACCCACAGCACCATTGGAACCTACCCACAGTATCATTGGAACCTACCCGCAGTACCATTGGAACCTATTTGCATTTGCAGTACCATTGAAACCTATTTGCAGTACCATTGGAACCTACCTGCAGTACCATTGGAACCAGCCATAAGGATCTTGTTTATGCATCCAGCCGCTGCTTTCCCACATCTCCAAACTTCCTCCGCACTTCACCTTGTAGGTGTTTGCCTCAGTGTCATAAGTAGAAGAGGAGACCTACAAAGACAAAGAGCTTTCAACATTTAATTTTCTCACCATTAAAACTGGATGTTTGGCCTTGTGGCTCTAATATTTGAGACTTTGGACAGGCATCTTGCAGACATTAATGACACATCACGACTGAATCCGCTAGGACTCCCCCTAAAAGTGCTTAATATTCCTGACCTGTTTCCCGATGTTGAGACCTTCAAGCCAGTCCTTTGGAAGTTCTTTCCAAACTCCAGAATGCCTTTCACCTTTTCACAAAAATACAAACCATAATCATCAGTTAAATATAAAGTCATAAACTAGTTTGGCCCCCAGTCATGTTTTTAGTATTTTCTAGAGTTAAATAAATAAATACATTAATTAATTAATTAATTGTAATGCTTGTATAGCGCTTGTATCAACAATCTCAAAGCGCTTCATAGGTACCCATGCATGCTCCTGGGTGGAGAGAGGCAATTGTAGTTAAGTGTCTTACCCAAGGGCACAAACACCATGTTCTTGGCAGGGTTCTAACCCACGCACCATCCTACATGAGTCAAACGCCGTAACCACTGGACCATGGCATTCTACTAACAATTAGCACCAAAACAATTAGCACCTAAAATACAAATTAGCACCTAATCTACTGTTTTTGATATTCGAGTTATTATAGGGGTAAAATAACTTCGGAATGTGTGCGACTGACAAAGAATTATAATGACAACATGTATTTGTTATTCACCTGTAACGCCTGACTTGATTGGCCGGAAATACGTCCCACCAAAGCTGCCAGCTTGTAGCACATCAGCTGGTGTCATATTGGGATGGATATCGGGACAGTCGGCAAAGACGAGGTCTCCTTTCTTATTGCGTTTGGGTAGAGAGGCCGTATAGCCCTCTCTCTTACGAATCTCTTCTTCAAAAACACTTGCACCTTGTGAAAAAAGTCCCAACTTTGAAATTAGTCATGTTTTGTTGGCCAACATGTATAAATACAGAACTTCCAAATATCAACAATCATCTTAGAAGAAATTTCAGTCAAGGTCTTGGACTGAGTCTTAGGTATTGGAATATTTAACTTAGACCAGTTGATTGATACTTTTACATTTGTTTTCTTAGTGGATCCAGAAAATACAAACCTCCAGATTTGGTCGGCTTTGTTGTTTTTACTTCCTTCACATCACTTTCTTCAATTGTTTTCTTTGTCCTTTTAACTTTACTCTGCGATGCATTCACTGGGGATGTGCTCGATGCTGTCTTTCTCTTGACCCCTTTCTTTGCATTGGTTTCTCCAGCTGCTGCAGCAGGTACTTTTCTTGGTTTGCCCATGCTGCTGATAAATCTTTGAAGGAAATCTGTTTAATCCGCAAATATAAGAAAGTTGATTTCTGTCCAAATGCCAACTACAGTTGGGCTGGTCCAACTGCAACATTATGGATGGTCCCATCCAAACTAACGGTACCAGTTCTTAGTAAAACGTCATACACGCATGCGCACCATGCGCCCACTGGATAAACACTCGAGTTAGTTTCTGGTTCCAATCATGGTTACAATGCTACTTAATCAAATCAGTGGGCGTGGTTTAAACTGAACTGATGTCACTAAGGAACTGGATAGTTGGGACTGATGCTATAGAAAGTGCTGCCTTTTTCAGATGTCTAATTTTCGTGAAATTTCATGTTGAAATTTTGATACGCAAACGTGTGCAAACAAATCTGGACGTTTCACGAAAAATCTGAAAAAGGCAGCACTTTCTGCTTAGCGTATAAAGAGGGTGAGTATGCTTCTATTTCAAATGCACTAAACTACAAACTAGACCTCAGCCATGTCAGCCTAAATGTGAAAATCAAAATTTGACAAAATTCGACATGTTTTTGTACAAACTAGACCTCAGCCATGTCAGCCTAAATGTGAAAATCAAAATTTGACAAAATTCGACATGTTTTTGTACATGGTGGAAGTGTGGCCTTTATTTACGGAGGTAGTCCAGTAAATTAGCCACATTTATGGGGCTACCCTCTGAAATTAAAAAGCAAACCAAAAAAAGGAGGGGGAAAAAAAGGAAAAAGTAAACGGGAAAAAAAAGGAAATTTCTTGCCACACAGTGCAACTGCAAACTAATTCATTTAGGCCCATAAATGTGGCCTATTAACTGGACTACCTCCGTAAACTAGTCCAGTAAATAGGCCACATTATATTTATGGGGCTAATTTAGGCCTACCCAGCTATAGCTACTACTCATTGTTGCCGTAGCTTACGTGATCGTGACACGTCAGTGCAGTGTGCACATTTTGTCATGGAGCCATTTATTACCTCAACTTTAGGATAAAGTGTGGGCTCACCCCCAACAATGCCACCCAAAGCCAACTTCTCACAAACAAACTGTAGCATTCTAAAAACATGTATGTTAAAAATTCAACCAAATTACCTCTGATTATCTTTATCTTCACCGAAGAATAGATCATTGATCGTCTGCAACAACAAAATAAGAATTGTTACCTAACTTTAACTTTACCGCGCTCAAACTACAGAGGGCGCTATATTATCGAGACGTGGAATTATTTTTGGCAGCAGTGGAGTCAAGATGGCGGCGCAGTTCGAGTACGACGAATCTGGTGGCACATCCCTGTACTTTCTGGTCTCTTTCTATGCTCTGGTTCTCTTCCCAGTCACTTACTATTTATGGCCTTCAAAACCAAAGAAAGGTGACTAAATAGTGTGCTTTACTTTTAAAAATAATAGGCCAGTGGCCAGTTTTTAGTTTTACATTGTTTGTAAATTACTCCAGCTGTCCATATGTTTTTCGCAGTGGCTATCGTTACGGCAGCCGTAATGCAATTGGAAAAAGTTCCAAACCTGGACATCACTTGACATCGTGATTGCGTAATGAAGGGATGGGGTGGGGGGGGGGGGGGGCCTCACGTGACCCTGACAGAAAATCTGTAACTTAAAAGGCATGGGGAGGTCAGACTCGGCGCATTTATGACAAATTTCTCTTTTTTTCAGTGAAAAGAACACAATTTTGGACAGAGTTTTAAAAACTGATAAACATGATAAAGCAAAGGGGACATTGAGCTGTGCAAAAGTTATTAAAATAATACCCAACATGCAACACACCAAGCTTCGAAAAAGTTGGAAAAGGGAAAATCAATTGCGAAAAAGTATTTTCTCGTGACCGCGCATGTAGCTTTGCCTTTCTTCAATTTAAAAAAAGCTGTGTTCTGTACTTTTTACCAAAAAAAATCTTAATTTTTCCTATTTCTATTTCCTTTGTTAAGATGACCCACAGAAGTTGAAGAAGCAGTGTCAGTGCGATCCGTGTGAAATCAAGAGAGCAATACTGCAAGCTCAAAAGCCTACTCAGAGACTGCGTCATGCTTTCAAGTATGTCGAAACTCCGGTAGATTCTTCATGTATTCAAGTTATTGGTCTGTACATTTGAACACTGGCATGACTGGCCAAAGCTTGACTTTTTGTAACAAGCTTGGCATGCATTCAGCATAACACAAACGTTTGTGAAAACAAGCTCCAAATTGCACAAGCTGCGGGCCAACAAAACTGTGTTCACCCTATTTTGACCTTTGACCCCATAGCTGTAGGTCAGCAGATGAAGAGGTCACCATGGACATTTTTTAATTATGATCGATCAGGGTGCAGACCAGTAAATCGGTCCGAAATTGCCTGCGCCGGCCAAATCACGATTTGCATGCCCTTAAAATCTTCGGTATTTGGGCATGCTTTGGGCCATGAACTTGAGGGTTTGTAAAAAATATGGGTGGAAGCCGTGCACAGGACTGGGAGCTTGCAGTTCTGTGTAATTTTGATGTAATTTGGACCCTAAAAGCGCTCTATTTTGCAATGGAGTGTAGGCATCGTTTTTCAAAATGGCGATGGGCTTCAGGACTATTTTCAGGGGTGATCATCTTCAGATGGAAATTTCCCCTAAAAGTCATCAGTTGACCCCCCGAAAATTGAAAAGAAAATGAAAGATGATGAAATAAGCTTTAATTTGATGTGCGTCTCGAACACCTTGGAGAGTTGTGAGTATTTTTCCCGAATTTTTGAAGTGGGAGCATTTACCATTGGGGTCTATGGAAGTTTATTTACTGGTCTGCTACCATCAAGGCCAACATGATGACAGTGCTATTTTTGTGATTTGAGCTTGTTTGAAATTTGACCTATTTTTGACCTTTGACCCCCATAAGGCCATAACTGTAGGTCAGACGAAGAGGTTAACATGGCACCAGGTGCCATGATTTTACAGAATGCTTAAGAATGTCATTCACTTAGTCCAGTAAGGTACATTGTATTTCATAATAATTTGGTAGTTTTTTATGTTTGAAAATGTTGTGTATTCCCTTTAATAAGAGAAATAAACAACCCCAAAAAAATGATCTGTTTAAATTTCATTCCAAACAGGTGGCTATTTCTGTTCGGTGCTTGGGCTCTGTTCATATACCTGGCCATCCAGGCATCTCAGGTGGAGCGAGATCACATCGAGTATGATCCCTACGACATTCTGGAACTGGATAGGGTAAGTGCTATCACCGCAAACCAGCATCGTCATATCGAAGTGCCAGGGACAATGGATTTTGCTTCAGAAGAAAAGGAACATAATTGGGCGTTTTTCTTGTGACGTAATACTACCCAGTAGATGCCCGTCCATTGTACACGGACATTGTGTTACTCTTGCTAAAGCTAGTACTCTTGGAGGAAGTGAGGCGAGAAGGGTAAAGTGGCTTGCACGAGGACACAACGCCTTGCAAGCAGCTGGCTCCAAATCCCTAACTCTTTGATAGTGACTTGCATAATAACCACATTCCCCTTCAGTAGATGTTGAACTCTCGTAAATATTATGTGAACCATTGCTATTTCGTTTCATTGTCAAGTCATTTTCCTTAAAAGTGTGTTTTTTTTGTCCTAATTGCTGTAACTTCATTCAGGGCGCATCACAAGCAGAGATAAAGAGGAAATACCGTCTTCTCACCAAGACCAAACATCCCGATAAAGGCGGGGACCCTGTGGAGTTCATTAGGATAGCCAAAGCCTATGCTGCGTAAGTTGCCTTACCCCCCCCCCCCCATCTTGACTCCGCCCCCTCTCAATCATGCAAGTCTCACATTGCACCTTAGAATAATGAGGCCTATAAGTGACAAAGTCTCATCATAAAATCTGTTAGTTTGGTTGAAAATCCATGTCAAATTTTCCATCAACCGTAGCGCAGGATTTGAAAGCTCTCATCTTAACCGAATATTTGTATTACCAAAGGTTGAATTATAAAGCAACTGTTACTGTTCCCTCAAAGAATTGTGCATGCTTTGGTCGAGACTGGCAAAATATGCTTGTCTAAACTGGAATCTCGTTTCTACCTGAGCACGTACTAACGAGGGTCGACCGCATATGCCACAAAATATGTAGATGTATACCATTAAAACGGAAGCAAACTTACAACGCGACATCAATGTTGAGCTCTCCGCGTTTCCTCATTGTAACCTTCATGTACGCCCTGGAGTAGGACATTATGAGCCCGAAAAGTTAAGCGACTTTATTTACTGGTGAGCACTAGGATTAATTAGATTATTTTTAACTGAAATTTCTTGTTTTTGACAGATTAACTAACGATGAATCGAGAGAGAACTGGGAGAAATTTGGCAATCCTGATGGCCCAACAGGTGGGTATGGGCACTGGCACAACTAGAATTTAAGTTTCTAAAGTCAAAAAGATTCCACATTTTATTTAAACATTCAAAATACTTTTAAAGTTTGAAGGTTTGCATGGTAGAGTCTAGTCTGAGTATCACCCGAAAACCAAGTCTCCTGTATAACGTCTGAGATATCAAAGCATGCAGATTTATGCGATCCCGCGCCTCAGCTAATCCGAGTTGACTTTACTAAAACGTGACGTCATTTCAAATCCAAATCAGAGCTAAAACTGTGATTGGTCAATTCGAATCCAGTGTTTTGTTATGCAACAACAGCTGCGCGCGTACGTGTCGCGTAACATAATAGCACGTGACCAAAGCCTTTGTTGCGGTGTCTAGCGGGGTTGTTTTTACCCATGTCTAGAAGCGACAAAGGTGAATGACATAGAACGCGCCCGCTGATTGGTCAAAATCTAGAGGTCAAGATGTGGTTGTCTTGCCTAATTAATCAGAGAATCTGTTCAAATGTTTATTACGTAGACTAGGTAGAATCAGCAGTAACAGCAAATTTGTGGTTGTACCTTTGTGACAAAAAAAAAATCTAGTTTGGTTCTGAAAAGAACTGACGATACGCTCTGTACTTCAGCAGCTTGTGTGTATACAAAGTTTGCTTACAGAAGGTAAACACCTTCACCTTGCACTTTAATTCGTAAAAGACATGATGAAACTTTGAAAAAAATGATGAAATTTCACATATCTGAGCTATAGTTGAAATTAAAGTTGCAGCTGCTGTTTTGGACAATCACTTTCTCAGTTTTGAATTTGTAATTAACATTTATGACTTGTACTTCAGATTAATTGTACCTAGTTAACTAATTCCAAAAACCCTCCATCCAGCGTTATTTACTGACTTTCCAGTTAAATTTTTTTTTTAATGTTGTTGTTTTTTGTTTTTGTATTTTACAGCTACAAGTTTTGGCATTGCCTTGCCTGCATGGATTGTGGATCAGAACAATTCAATTCTGGTAACCTTTTTTTAAAATCGGAATTAATGTGAATTATTATTTTAACATGTTCATAATTTCATTGCCTTTCTTAACCAATTTGTGCCGGGATTATTTTTGCCGAAAATTTCAATTTCAAAAGCAAAATATCGCAACCAACTTTTGATATACAGCCAAACGCCACAAATACTGATTCACAAGAGTATTTCAAAAGCATTTGTAGGATATTTCTTACCGCAACCTCAGAAACAGTGAAAAAGGGATTTCAAGAAAGTGGCAAATGATAGAGTACATTGTTTGCATTGCATATCTGCAGTATTTTCAACAAGTGTAATAGGAGAGTTCATGTGCATACTTGATGTGTACTGTATTTCCACCAATTTCCAATCTTTTAATTGTCTTTTTTGTGTCTTTTATGGACAGGTTCTAGGGATATATGGATTGGCGTTCATGGTCATTCTACCTATTGCTGTGGTTGGTATTAATATTTTTAATCAATTACAAATAAATTTACAAATGTGCAAAAATTTTACCAAACAAAACACAAATTTGTCGACAAAAAATTGAGTCAGTTATACAGGTAAAAATCCGGTCCGAGACTTGGAAAAAATGCCAAGGCTTGCACCCAGCCTAGAAACCTAAACTCCTCGAAAACAATGATATAAAAATAAAACTGATATTGATTGGACAACATTTGGTTAATGATGCTGTGTCTCATCCATTGAGCCGATTGTCAAATGGCCTTTTGTAATTTGTGCAGGGCACATGGTGGTATCGTTCCATCCGTTACAGCGCAGTGGAAGTTCTTCTTGATACGTCTCAACTTTTCCTTCACTTCATCTACAAGACGCCCTGCCTAAATCTCAAACGTAAGCTGCCACTCATCTATAGACATGTAACACATTACATTAAAGGGAATGTACACCATTTGCTTTTGCTGCAATTTTCAGAAATAAATGGATTTGGATGCTTAGTATGTTATAGCAAATATTGTTAAAGTGACTTGCTTCACGTTTTGGCTTGAAGATCATGGAAAAACCAAGAAAACCAATCGTGTTCTTGTAGTATGGTTCCCTGGCCCTACTTAAGATGAAACAGAGCAATTTATGGACTTTGGGGAATTGTGAGGTCAGAGAATCAGTGTGGCAAAAGAAACCTAACATCTGTGTTTCTGGTTGTAGGCGCTTTGATGATTCTGTCTGGATCCTTTGAGTTTGAGGAGAAGCACAACAATGAGATAGTTCTCCGTCCCAGCGACAACGAAGAACTGCCGCCAGTGAGTACTCATTGCCAACGTATTCTTGGGAGATTTCTAGAGCAATTATTTGTCTATCAATCAATTTTGTCAGCTTAAAGTGTAATTTGTGATCCATGGACAGAACTTTAAAATGGTGGTTGTGTTCAAAATTCGGTAACTTAAAAAGTACATGAGTGATTTGAATGATTCTTATACTAAATGAAAGCTTATGAATTGGGCTTTCATATTCAAGAATTTTGAAAGTACTACATGCAGAACTTCACTACAACAATAATCCCGACATTTGGGTTTCATTTTTTTTTGACTCAATTTTACAATTATTTTTCAATCAATCTTGTCAGCTAAAGTTTTAATTGACTAAATAATAATTCGTCGACCCTACACTGATACCGTGTTCAGATCAGTCTATAGGAAATTCAGCGCAGTGAATAGGTTTTCCTAGGTACCAGCGCTTCCTAAGTTTTTGCTATTATTATTATTAAATTCAAGTTTTCATTCACATGTCTATCTGGCTCTTGTCTTGTAGTTGATGCGAGAGTTTGACAGCGAGTACGGCAAGAAGAGCAAGGAGAAGCCCTTCGTCTATCCTTACAGTCGTAAGGCTCGTATCTTACTCTACGCTCATCTGGCCAGGACCGACCTGCCTCCTGACACTCTGGAAGTTGGTAAGTATCCGCTCCGTTCACAAGTACCCCCTCACTGGCAAAGAAAGTACAGTTGGGGGTGACCGACCGACGCCATCTTGCCTGACTGCAATTCATTTGTCACGGAGCGCGGCCACTGCGTGTGCATAGTACAAATCCCCTGGTGTACATGCGTCACACACAAGGAACAGTGCGCGTCAACCAGCGAAATGTCCCACCCATGGGACGTCGTTGCTAGGTAAAAGGGCGCCCTCTTTCGTTGCCGCACGGAGCCCATGGAGGACAGGTAGAGCTGTGCATCGGAGCTGGGTACCCGACTGCTGATGTTTGGAACCAATTTCAGATTGAGGGATCGAGCACCCATAACCAACTTTACAATGTACTAGGGCTGCATCTGAATTAGCCGTCTAGAGCTAGGTGTAGATTGAAAATACGTGTTCAACACGTCCTGTTGCAAGGCTGCTGAACTCTTCTTAATTTAACATCAGTCTGAAAGTCATCTTATCTCAGTAGTGCGTGCGTTAATTTGTATATCGTCTGGACATCATTGTCATTAAGGACGAGTGTCGGCCTAGACTTAAAGATTTGAGAAAGAAACAGCTGTTGAAACAGATTTTTGATACGTGAGTAGTTTTAATAAAAATAGCGTTGTTTAATTTAATTCTACGTCAACACCTAGTTGACTTTTTAAAATAGAGTGCTAAACGGGGAGCAAGAATGATTCTGTTGTATCCTGTGTAGAACAACCTTGCTTGTGAATTGTATTGAGTAGAATACTATTGCTGGCAAAGGTTTGTGTCCTATGCACGCGCGCGTGCGGGAAGTTGGTTTTGCATTTTTCTTTTCAATGACTGTTTCGTCAAGCAATTAAAATAAACATGAAACAGCCATCCAATTGGTAGTTTTGATGCGTCTTGCTTAAGATGGGTTTAGTGAAATGGGTCTTAGGATGCGTCTTAGCTGAGATCCATCTTAGAGCGGGGACTCGTCTTAAGTCCTAAGATGAGTCGCAAGATAAAACGACTTTCATGAAATTGGCCCCTGCTAAACGTGTTGAGTTTGTTTTTTTGATGACAGATAAGAGATACATCATCAATAAGTGTCCGCAGTTGATTCAAGAGATGGTCAACACAGCCTCTCAGCTGGTCACCTGGAAAAACTACGGCAGAGGTAAGGAAAGATAAATTGACTGGAGCGGGGTTTGAACCTGGGACCTCCGGATTAGCATTCCGGTGCACTACCAACTGAGCCATCCAGGTCGATATTGGCGGTCTCCCATTATTTCAATGTCTTTGATCAAGGCGCCTAGTCAGAAGCCATAAACTGCGTGGGTGCTGACTCAGTGGGCAAAAGTGCTTATGCAAAACTTGAAGGGTTGTGACAGCAGAAGACTTGGAAGATTAAGACTGAGATCTCACTTGATTTTCAATAAAGAAATATCTTCTTTTTGTCTCACCAGGAAATGTTTGTTGCTTTTTTAAATTATTTGTATGTTAAAAGAAGGCGAAAATATTAATTACTTAATTTTTTGTTCCAGTGGCTAAGGAGCCTCGTCTGGAGTCCATAGAGTTTCTCATGCGTCAGAGTCCGATGATTGTCCAGGCATGCTGGGACAAGGCGCCGTTGCTACAACTGCCACATTTCACCGAGGATACCCTGCGGAAAAAGGTACAACATCCTCAAATGTTGGACTCTTTCAAATAATCTCTTAGCCTGCTGATGTTTTATTGAAAGGAATTAAGCACTAAAGGTAGGATTTGAATAATAAACTTTTAAAATTTATTTGTCCTTTAAATACATGTTTTGCCTGTAGTACAGATGGTTAAAAGAGGTAAAAAGGCATTTCACTTATCTGGAGAGAAAATAATGCGTTTTGTAGAAATGCTTAAAAAAAAACTTGATCGATTTTTACTGAAGTAAATAAAGTCTTAATTAGTCAAAAATTTAAGGAGTAACAGTGCATTAGACTTTGAATGACAATAAAATTAAAAAAAACACTCCGTATCCGCTGGTTAAAACCAGTTTAAAAGCCATCGTTGGAAAAGTTGTCAGATAGCATCCTTAAACAACTATTTTGTTCCTTTTTTAGCGCCACATTAAAACTCTCGGCCAGTTCGTCAAAATGAAGGACGTGGATCGAAGGTAGGACACTAATTCGGAGAACTTTCAACTTTATTGTTATACAGTGAGTTCCCCTCCCCTCCCCCCCCCCTTTTTTTATGCACAGAAAAAAATTCAATCATTGAAAATTTGCCCTTTAATGGAACCACCCTTAACCAGTTGATGAGTTTACACGCAAAGGTTTTGCAGTATTTGGAATGGATGACAGATAAACATGCGGGGAGCGAGGCTGGAAATATCTGTCAGCGACCCGCTCGCAGCGAGCGAGGCCGGAAATATGAGTGTGCTGCCCGAGGGTGATGGCTTCAACCCGCCTGCTTGAGGTCGAGTGAAAAGTAATCCCGCGCCTCATTCCGTTCTTGTCAAAATGATATCGGCGTGAACTGGTTAATGAGTCTTACTTGCTTTTCAATGACTCAATGATTCAATGATTTTTAATTCCTTGTGCACAAACTGTTAAAAAAAGAAATCTCCATTGCTATAAAGAAGCCACTTTTAAAAGAAGATACCTTATATTTAAACTCAGGGCCTGGTGGATTACGACAGTAAAACACAGTGATCGTCTTATTCTTTGAAATTATGTTGCATCTTTTGACAGGAACATACTGCGTCATCTTCATGAGAAGCAATACCAAGACATCATGAACGTCTTGAAGTCACTGCCCAGACTGGATGCTGATGTGGAACTAGAAGGTACATCGGCATTTCTTCACGATCATCCTTATAATTTATTTCTTTTTTACAAGAGACATCAGTATGATTTTTTTTAATCTCAGTTGTTTAAGTTGGAAAAGTATTAGATGGTGTTCCCGTATTATCAGAATTTTTGGTAACTTGAGAAATGTAATAGACTTTTTAAATCTTTGTTATTGGATTTACGGTATTTGCCTTGGTATTTTTGTTTTGGGTGTGTTTTGGGGATGGATGGGTTGTGCACCTTTAAACCTGTTGCAGTGGCCATGTTGAAAAACTGAACTGCTGTTTTTTGGCGATGTTTTATTGGAAGTAATTTGATTGGCTATTTTGTAGTTCTTGCCGATGATGACAAGAAGACGATTACAGCAGGATCTCTGGTGACAGCCACAGTCACGTTGAGGAGAGGAACCTTCCAGGTATGTGGTCAACTTCAACTTCTCAACCCCCCCCCCCCTTCTCACCCCCACTTTTGAACTCTTCTTTTGATGTGATGATCTCACCGGGTATGCGTTTTCACATTGCCATTGCGAATTCTCAAAAAAAATTGGGACGTTTTCTCAATTTGTAAATTCATCCAAGTTGGCTGCTTGATATTTTTTTTTGCAAACCGCCAAAAAAAGCAAGATAACTTTTTTCAAACTTCGTTACTAAACCATTTGATTTGTAATGAAGAAAATACTTTCCTTTTATTTTGAACATAAACTTTTACCTCTGTGCCCACTGTCGTTTATCATGCATCATGATTCCATTTTGTCTCAGGTATCGGAGCAAGAGGTCAATGGTGCCATTGAGGCGGTAGAGGAGGTCGAAGAGACACACGAAGAAGAGAAAGTAAGTTTTCCAGGGAGGTTTATTTTTCAAAACATCTGCTCATCACTGTAGTATTTGTTTTCGTCTCAGTAACTGACCTCTAGACAAAAACGTAATGCTGTTTGTGCATACTAAATACTCTATACATTTTGCACCCCGAAATTCCATTGCATGGTAATTAAAGGGAATATACAACATTTGCAAACATCGAAAAACAAAACTACCAAGTTTTTGCGAAATACCTTAATAGGATGTTGGTAAATGACAGTCTAAAGCATCCTGTAAAATTATGGCACCTGGTATACTGTCATTTTCAAGAAAAGTGGTATTTTTGTATCAATTTCCAACGCTGATCGGCCGATCAGCGTTGGAAACAACTGGCTTTTTTTCAAATACCGGCCCCAATTGACCATTGCACTTGTTTGCAATCGATTACAAACCTATGAACGGGTACGAGCCAGCTAGACTGGTTCCCTGACCTTACAATTCCCCAATGTATGTAAACTGCTCTGTTTCTTCTTATATGGAGTCAGGGAACCAGACTACAGGAAAATGATCGTTTTTCTTGGTTTTTATAGCATTTTCAAACCCAAAACCTTCAAAAAGTCAGTGCATCTATATTTGCTTCATATTTCCAACCCCCCAATTCCATCCATTTCTGAAAATTACAGCAAAAGCAAATGATGTATATTCCCTTTAAACCATAACAGCAAATTTCCGAGGTATAGTAGTGTTAGTTTCATATCCTACTTTTTAACCAGTTCGCGTCGGAGGCCGTGTTAACATGATCTGGCTGTTTTTGTACACAGGCACAGCTGACGGGTTAAAATGTCAAGCGTGCCTCGACTGGCCTGCAGTGACGTTTTAACACGCCAATCCCTCTTGCCTTTTGTACACACAAAGTTCGTGAAGTCTGTGGAGGCGGACTGTGTGTTGATCTTGAATTGGCCGCTGTGCACGGCCTATTGTTCAACAATTTACGCTCCGTTGCACACCCCAGAGTGTTGAAAAATATGAGGTTTCGGCAAGAAATATTCGTTCAAATACTGTTGAAATGACTCTTGCGAATCAGTATTTGTGGCGTTTGGCTGTATACCAGAAGTTGCCTACTGTATTTTCCCTTTTTTTGGAAAATTTTCGGCAAAAACAGTCCCGGCGCAAACTGGTTAACAATTTTTCAAACTATCGTTTCCTGGATTTTTCTGTGAAAGGTACACCTTAACACACATGTCAAATAAACAACATTGAAGTTGATCAGGAAAACGTAAGGACGTTTTACGTGTTTGGTTTTTCATCAGACTGATTCCCCGCTTCCACACAAACCCAAGACCCACGTCTGGGAAAAACACCGGAAGAAGAAAGGAAAAGGAGGAGGGGGCGGGCCCAAGCACAAGCCCAACAAGAAGGCGGCGACCAAGAAGGCAGCCCCAGCCACAGCAGCAACGGGCAAAGCAGCAGAGGACTCACCCCAGCACAACGGCAAGGGGGCTGCTAATCACGTTAGTAACAACACCAAAGGGGTGAGCTTGAAGTCTGTCAAGAATCGCTGTGCATCATAAATACAAGAATGTACACAATGCCCATTTTTGTTTTCTTTTTTAATTTCTGAGACGTTCTAGCCATTGCGACAGAGCTGTGCAGAGGTCCAAATGGGGTTTGCGGATATAAGGAAGAAGAATACAATGTTCCTTACAATACTGTTTGTTGCACTTCAATCAGACTTTCCTTTGACAACTGTTTTGGGGGGAGAGAGTTGCATGATGAAGGTCACTATTATTTTGCATTGTGAATTCGCAAGACGGCCTCAGCTTATTGGGCATTCGCACTTGTTTTTTAAACAAAAAAATAAAATTTGAAATCCTGCTATTTTCTTGTTTTTTTTTTTTTCTTTTAATATCCAGGCAATCCAGGACATTGCAGTGAGCAAAGATTCTGGGGACAGTGGGAGCGAATCAGACAACGAGCAAGAAGACAACAGCAAAAACTCTGGCAGGTTAGTCCAACCTATCGAGGATCCTCTTCTAAATTTTCCTAGTGGTTCAAAAGTTTTCGGCTTAATCGGGTTGTTTCTGAGTTGCCGTGCGTTCAGCAGTCACATCTGGCATTCTAAGGTTGACGCACTCACCACGAATTGACAAATTGAGAATTTACGCACCATAGAAATAAAGCAGGGGAGGGGTTGGGGGCTGGTCACCATCTGACTAAAGGGGGCGCTGTTCAAAACGGATGGTCGTGGACACTAGCGGACAATAGGGGGCATTCTTTGTTGTGATGTATAAGGACCATAGTTAACCATAGTTTGACTAACTCTGAATGAACACACTAGTCGACATTAGTTAGACTAGCCTAGTCTATTCAGGACCAGCCTACCGCAGCAGGTTGCGCCATGATTTATAGCTGGTTATCAATAGCCATTTGTCATAGCACAGTGCAGAGGGAACCAACTATCCAAAAAATTTGGCGGAAAAACAGAAACTGTGAGTGTTGAATTTCATTTTCATTGCAAAGTTCCTGCATGTTGTCACCATTGTACAATAATAACGGCGATTATGTATTAGGTGTCTTAAACAACACAACTATTATTTATGTAAATTAACAGAAACATCAAGTGTTGGAAAAGTGTTTAGCCGATTAACTTGCGATGTTCAGCATCATTTCTCATAGTCACTGACAATAGTTAGATAGAATCTTTGCACTTCAACTTCAGTGCCCATGCGTTAGGTACATCATGAACCAACCAGCTGACAAGACAACGATTATCTCAACAACAACGAATAACGAGGGGGCGTGATAACCGATTTGCCTTCAAATAACTGACAGACTTTATTTTTCCTGTCTGGGTGTGTCCAAACAGTGAGGATAACCTGAGTAGTGATGGAGGTGAACAAGAAGAAGAGGAATGGGAGAGGTTACAGTCCGGCATCACTCGCAAAGAGAAGGTCCTCGAAGGAACCTCAAAGGTGTCTCATGAGGTTCATGCTCCATACTTTCCCGAGGTAAGATTAAGAGAAGTGTCTTGAGGATACGAGGTTCATGATAAGACCTCAAAGGTGTGTCATGAGGTTCATGCTCCATACTTTCCCGAGGTAAGATTAAGAGAAATGTCTTGAGGATATGAGGTTCAATGTAAGACCTCAAATGTGTTATGAGGTTCATGCTCCATACTGTCCCGAGGTAAGATTAAGAAAAGTGTCTTGAGGATATGAGGTTCATGATAAGACCTCAAAGGTGTGTCATGAGGTTCATGCTCCTTACTTCCCTGAAGGAAGATTAAGAGAAGTGTCTTGAGGATACGAGGTTCATAATAAGACCTCAAAGGTGTGTCATGAGGTTCATGCTCCTTACTTCCCTGAAGGAAGATTAAGAGAAGTGTCTTGAGGATCCGAGGTTCATGATAAGACCTCAAAGGTGTGTCATGAGGTTCATGCTCCTTACTTCCCTGAGGGACGATTTAGAGAAGCGTCTTGAGGATACAAGGTTCATGATAAGACCTCAAAGGTGTGTCATGAGGTTCATGCTCCTTACTTCCCTGAAGGAAGATTTAGAAAAGCGTCTTGAGGATATGAGGTTCAATGTAAGACCTCAAATGTGTTATGAGGTTCATGCTCCATACTTTCCCGAGGTAAGATTAAGATAAATGTCTTGAGGATACAAGGTTCATGATATGACCTCAAAGGTGTGTCATGAGGTTCATGCTCCTTACTTCCCTAAAGGAAGATTTAGAGAAGCGTCTTGAGGATATGAGGTTCAACGTAAGACCTCAAAGGTGTCTCATGAGGTTCATGCTCCATACTTTCTGAGGTAAGATTAAGAAAAATGTCTTGAGGATATGAGGTTCATGATAAGACCTCAAAGGTGTCTCATGAGGTTCATGCTTCAAACTTTCCCAAGGTAAGATTAAGAGTAGTGTCTTGAGAATATGATGTTCAAGATAAGACCTCAAAGGTGTGTCATGAGGTCCATGCTCTTAACTTCCCTGAGGGAAGATTTGGAGTTGTGTCTTAAGAATATCAGGTTTAAGATAAGACTTCAAAGGTGTGTCACGAGGTTCATGATCCTTACTTCCCTGAGGAAAGATTAACAAAAGTGTCTTGAGGATATGAGGTTTAAGATAAGACCTCAAAGGTGTGTCATGAGGTTCATGCTCCTTACTTCTCTGAGGTAAGATTTAGAGCTGTGTCTTGAGAAGATGAGGTTCAAGATAAAAGCTCAAAGGTGTGTCATGAGATTCATGCTCCTTACTTCCCTGAGGTAAGATTTAGAGTTGTGTCTTGAGAATATGAGGTTCAAGATGAATTCCTCAAAGGTGTGTCATGAGGTTCATATACCTGATGTTCCTCAGGTAAGATTTGATTGCAGTGTCTTGAAGATATGAGGTTCCAGGAAATACCTTGAGGGGCCTCTGAGGTCCAAACTTGTCCGTTCTCTGAGGCAACATCTAGAATTGAATCCTGAGAATTCTGGGTTTTTTTTGGATGTCCTGCAGGTCAAGCAGGAATGGTGGTGGATCTATCTTGCTGATAGGAAGACGCATCGCATCGTCACACTGCCTCAGATGGTCTATGATCTGGTAGACGAGAAAGATGTAAGAAAACTAGCAGTGTAGTTAAACATAAGCTTATGGCATAATTAGAGAAAAACAATTTGTATTTAAAAACTTTTGTCCTGAAACCGTGTTGTAGTCTTTTTTAAATGCTTATTCGCCCTGAACAAGGCTTAAAGCCACTCCAGGTACAGGGCTACAAGAAAAATGAAAAGAAGATTAAGTACTCAGGAAAACTGAAGGTACGAACGAACATTCCTCTTGAAACAGGACAGATCATAGGTTGGAGGGAAACAAGCACCAGGCAAGGAATTCCAACGAGATGCAGCATGTGGGAAAAACTATTTGAACATCCTTATAGATTGACAGAAGCTGTCGTATGGGCTCCATGCACAAGTACCAACGGCCAGAAAAGCAGAGTTGGGGAGACCTAGACTGGTTCCCGGTCCATCCACTGGGTATTTTTTGAATGATCCAAAGTTATTGGGGTCAGGGATTAGTCTGGCAGACCATTAAACGCATCCGCGCGCCGCCGACACCTGACGCACGCGAAACTGCTGTGGCTAATAGCTTTGGCACATTCAGGAAGTCGTGCGTACTTCGCGCGCGAACCACTAGAGTACAGTACGCACACGCTGTGTGTACCGTCCACGAGGCTCTCAAAAGTGGTATAAAAGCGCCCTCTTTTGTTGGCGCACGGAGCCCATGATATTTGATTCCTTCTTCTGGATTTGTCTGTTGTGATTTGCACAGGTGGAGTTGAAGTTCCCGGCACCTCATAAAGGTCTGTATCAGTACCAACTATGTGTCCGCTCTGACTCCTATCTGGACGTAGATTACATCAAAACGATTAAGGTACGTCTCAAGTCTTTCCTTTATAACGCCTTCCTTGTGAAATGCATTTTTCAAATGAACCATACACCCCGACTAGGTGAACTATAACAATTGAAAAGATGAACTGGAGATTGACTGGAGTGGGGCTTGAACCTGTGACCTCCGGATAACCATTCCGGTGCTCCACCAACTGAGCGCCCCTTGAACAAAGATATTGACTAATTGGGGAACTGCCAACATAGGGCTGGATAGCTCAGTTGGTAGAGTACCGGAACGGTTATCCGGATGTCACAGGTTCAAACCCCGCTCCAGTCAATTTCTTTGTTCAACTTTTCAAAAATTGTTATAATTCACCTAGTCAGTTTCCCTGTGTGGTTCATTTGGAAATTTGTAACAAAAACATTGTATCCTCTTCGAGTGATCCCTGTTTGCTATTTCCAAGGTCTGCATCGTGACTTGGGGCGGGATCCCTGGCTGTATTGCATACTGGTTTACGGCTTCTGACTAACGCCCCTTGAACAAAGAAATTTGCATTAGCATAAAAAGCCAAAAGACACAGAAATGTTCTTGAAGATGGCAAAATGAAAACACGATTGTTATCGCCAGTTAAAATGGTACAATCTTATCCCACCAATATGCATTATCACTTTACATATTTATATGAGGAAATTAGAAAGGAAAGGAGTATTTTTGAGAAGGTGTGGAAGTTATAATTACGATGACCGTGAAAACACATAATGCATGTTGGAAATAACAACACCAACTACACGATATAAATCCATTACTAGCCAATTGCGAAATCGAATCAGGATTGGAAATGAGGTTGGAAATAAAGTAAGCACTGGGGACGAGGTTCGAACAGGAGGACTTGTGATGGACTGAACTACATCCCTGCCTCTTGGAATTCTCCCAACAGGTGGACGTCAAAGAAGCCAAGAAGATGGAGGAGACGCACCCCCAGTGGGACATCTCAGATGATGAAGAGAAGGAGGAAGGCGACAGTGACGTCTCAGATTACACCACCGATGATGAGGGTAGCGATGAGGAATAGATCCTAGAATCCATCCAGTATAGGGAGGGGGTCGGTCAGGAGCTCTTGAGAATCCATGCTGTATAGGGAGGGGAGTGATGGAGAATAGACCCTTGAATCCATGCAGTATAGGGAGGGGTTAGTGAGGAGCCCAGGAGAATCCATGCAGCAAAGGGAGACAATTGAATGGAGCACTAAGGTATCCACGCAGCTGTGCTGTACTCGTATTTGAGTACATTTTTTTGGTACTCGTACTTGTACTTGACCAATCACCGTTTGCGAGTTAGCCACGCCCCTTAGACAACCCTATGGAGTTTTTGTACACTATGTTTGGTTCGTCTGAGATTTTGCACGTTCGGCGTCCATGTTGTATATCATGTAATTGGACAATATTTCACAAGCTGCGTTGATGCGATTCTAACGTGATTCTACCGTGATAGGTCAATGGTACTCGTGCTCACGACAAAGTACGCGTACTCATACTGTGCTCTTGGTAAAGTACTCGTACTTGTACTCATGAAAATGTACTCGACTACAACACTGCTATGTAGGAAAGGGAGATGCCAGTAAAGGGCGCTGGAGAATCCATACAGTAAAGGGAGATACTAGGACAGAGCATGGGAGAATCCATGTAGCACAGGGAGGAGTAGAGGTGGAGCAAAAGTCGCGTCTTTATCTTTTCTCTGATTATCATGCATCCTTAATAATTTAAAGTTCTAATTCTTTTTAGGGTATGAATTATTTGTATATGTTAGATTTAGCTGTAGTTGGATAGTTACTCGAGCGATTGGAATAATTACGTTTTGACCTGGGGTGAACCAAACGAATGGTCAGTCTGGTGGCAGTACTTTTTGTTGTTTTACCGGTTGTAGGGGGTCTGCTCTTATGTCCGACGCCTCATAGGTCCGACACCTCAAAGGTTCGAAATTTCGGACTTATGAGGCGTCGGACTTCTGAAGCGTCGGACTTACGAGGCATACAATTTATTTATTCCACCTCAAAGGTCGGGCGCCGCATTAGTCTGACGCCTCATAGCTCCGACACCTCATAAGTCAGTAACAGCATTTGTCCATTGTCGAACTTATGAGGCGTCGGACCTATGAGGGGTAATTTATGCCTCATAAGTCCGACGCCTCATAATCGGACTTATGAGGCATCGGACCTATGAGGCATCAGACTTATGATACGGCCCCGGTTGTAGGTCAACCGTGCGTCGGGAAATCGTCTAGAGTAAAAAAAAAAGGCAGGTTCGGATGAGGCCTGACGGTGAAAAATTCTGGAGGGAAATTGGATTTTATTTTTTGAATATAGGAACATATCTAACATTTTGTGGGGAAAAAATTACAAATTGGAAAATGTTGGAAAAATTGAATTGTATTTTTAGAAATGTTGCTCTTTAACCAGTTGGCGCTGGGATTATTTTGTCTTGACGGGACCCAGTTGCGGGATATTTTTCACAAACCTCGATACCAGATGGGTTCAGGCCGTCATCTGCGGGTAGCCCAAAACCTTTTTGTGTATACAGGTCATCCGAGATGAACTGGTTAGCAATGACTATAAAGTCTTGCCGATCTGCGCCTGTTGTGCACTGTAGGGCTTACTGTGATGTTTTTATCGCAACAAGGAATTTCATCAATATTCTTGATTTTTTTGGTATGAATATAGAGTATGAACTAAACGCCAATGGAATATTAAATGCACTCTATCTGCTTTTCATGAGCTGTCCATAGACTTCTCCGTTCAACCAAAATTAACCATCATCTGCCTCGAGATTTTCATAGTGAAGGCAAAAACAAAACAAATTGGCATTTGTACATATTAACAGATTGACAAGTACAAGTTATGTAAAGAAACAAAATCTTATTTCTTGGGAATTAACAGTTGCTTCAAATATTAATAACATTCGTGTTTATTAACTTCCAATTTCTGCAAGGAAAGATAATTTAATGATTTATGTCCATTATTTTGTGACTACTTTTGGTCAGTTTAAAATTAACGATTATTTAGGGCTGATGTTCCCAACTGAGCTGATGATCACTTTGTCGATTGTATTTTGTTTTTCTTCAATATCAGAGAGTTCCTGTCATTGTACTTGTAACTGCAAGTTTATTTTCAATGTTTTGTGTCATAAATGGACAGTTTTAAGCAGATATGATAATAAAATACTTGGGCAATGACGTATAAATTCACTTTCGGTCGAGTAAAGGTTTCATATTTTGGCATGTGATTGTGCAGTATTCATATGGATTCAGGACAATACAATCCAATCAATATTTCCCTTAACAAGCATGATGCATTAAAAGTATCACCAAACTAGTCAGTAAATTCCTTTTGATGCACAATAGCCATAATTCAAACAAGCATATTTTGCAAAATTATGGTCAACATTTAAAAATGAGTGGGGAAAACCTATTAATATTTTTGACCAATTTTCCCCCACATTTGAGAAGGGGTTAAACTTATATTTTTTGAAATTTTTGGCCAAAAGTCGACTTTTCTCTAAAATGTTCAGAAACGCCATTGGATGATAACTCAATATTTCCTTTAAAAGGCACAGCAGAGCAGTACAGGAGTGGAAACGTGCTCTACGGACCGCGAGGCAGCATCTCAACAAGTTTCAAGAAAATTCATTTTTTTAGCCAAAATTGAAAAAAAACCAACGGGTTAGCCTTACATTTTTGATGATTTTTGCCCAAAATTGAGTTTCTCCAAAATGCTCAGCAATGCCTTTGGATGCATCAGAACCATAACTCAACACTCAAAGAAGCATATTTAGTAAGATTTTGGTCAAAAATTTAAAAATATTGGGTGAAAAAAATGAACATTTTTGACCAATTTTCCCCTTAATTTTCGATGAAATATTTCCTTGAAAGGGCACAGCAGTCCAGTATGGGAGTGGAAACGTGCTCTACGGACCGAGAGGCAACATCTCAACAAGTTTCAAGAAAATTCATTTTTAGCCAAAATTGGAAAAAAAAAAAGGGGTTAGCCTTACATTTTTGATGATTTTTGGCCCAAAATTGAGTTTCTCCAAAATGCTTAGAAATGCCTTTGGATGCATCAGAACCATAATTCAATACTCAAAGAAGCATATTTAGTAAGATTTTGGTCAAAAATTTGAAATTATTGAGTGAAAAAAAATTGAATATTTGGGACCAATTTTCCCCAAATTTTCGATGAAATATTTCCTTTAAAAGGCACAGCAGTCCAGTACAGGAGTGGAAACGTGCTCTACGGACCGCGAGGCAACATCTCAACAAGTTTCAAGAAAATTCATTTTTCAGCCAAAATTGGAAAAAAAACCAAGGGGTTAGCCTTACATTTTTGATGATTTTTGGCCCAAAATTGAGTTTTCTCCAAAATGCTTAGAAATGCCTTTGGATGCATCAGAACCATAATTCAATACTCAAAGAAGCATATTTAGTAAGATTTTGGTCAAAAATTTGAAATTTTTGAGTGAAAAATAAATGAATATTAAATTTTTCCCCAAATTTTCGATGAAATATTTCCTTTAAAAGGCACAGCAGTCCAGTACAGGAGTGGAAACGTGCTCTACGGACCGCGAGGCAACATCTCAACAAGTTTCAAGATAATTCATATTTCAGCCAAAATTGGTAAAAAAACAAGGGGTTGCCTTACTTTTTTTTCGATTTTGGCCAAAAAATGAATTTTCTCCAAATTACTCATTATTGGGTAACATTTCATATACATGTATATGACCTATTTTACCTCAAATTGTGGACGCAATATTTCCTTTTAAAAGGCCTATCTGTCCGATGTAGAAGTGGAAACGTGTTCTAGGGACCCTGAGGTATCTTCCTAGCAAGTTTCAAGAAATTTCATTTTTTGGCCAAAATTGAAAAAAAATGTAAGGGGTTAGCCTTACTTTTTTTTCGATTTTGGCCAAAAAATGAATTTTCTCCAAATTACTCAGAAATGCTTAAGGATGCTTTGGGGGTATGATTTAATATTCAGACCAGCAAAATTCGCTAAATTTTGGCCAAATTGTGACATTATTGGGTAAAATTTCATATACATGTATTTGACCTATTTTACCTCAAATTGTGGACGCAATATTTCCTTTTTAAAGGCCTATCTGTCCGATGTAGGAGTGGAAACGTGTTCTAGGGACCCTGAGGTATCTTCCAAGCAAGTTTCAAGAAATTTCATTTTTTGGCCAAAATTGAAAAAAAATGTAAGGGGTTAGCCTTACTTTTTTTTCGATTTTGGCCAAAAAATGAATTTTCTCCAAATTACTCAGAAATGCTTAAGGATGCTTTGGGGGCATGATTTAATATTCAGACCGGCAAAATTCGCTAAATTTTGGCCAAAATTGTGACATTATTGGGTAAAATTTCATATACATGTATTTGACCTATTTTACCTCAAATTGTGGACGCAATATTTCCTTTTTAAAGGCCTATCTGTCCGATGTAGGAGTGGAAACGGGTTCTAGGGACCCTGAGGTATCTTCCTAGCAAGTTTCAGTAATTTCATTTTTTGGCCTAAATTGAAAAAAATGTAAGGGGTTAGCCTTACTTTTTTTTCGATTTTGGCCAAAAAATGAATTTTCTCCAAATTACACAGAAACGCTTAAGGATGCTTTGGGGGTATGATTTAATATTCAGACCGGCAAAATTCGCTAAATTTTGGCCAAAATTGTGACATTATTGGGTGACATTTCATATACATGTATATGACCTATTTTACCTCAAATTGTGGACGCAATATTTCCTTTTAAAAGGCCTATCTGTCTGATGTAGGAGTGGAAACGTGTTCTAGGGACCCTGAGGTATCTTCCTAGCAAGTTTCAAGAAATTTCATTTTTTGGCCTAAATTGAAACAAATGTAAGGGGTTAGCCTTACTTTTTTTTCGATTTTGGCCAAAAAATGAATTTTCTCCAAATTACTCAGAAATGCTTAAGGATGCTTTGGGGGCATGATTTAATATTCAGACCGGCAAAATTCGCTAAATTTTGGCCAAAATTGTGACATTATTGGGTAAAATTTCATATACATGTATTTGACCTATTTTACCTCAAATTGTGGACGCAATATTTCCTTTTTAAAGGCCTATCTGTCAGATGTAGGAGTGGAAACGTGTTCTAGGGACCCTGAGGTATCTTCCTAGCAAGTTTCAAGAAATTTCATTTTTTGGCCAAAATTGAAAAAAAATGTAAGGGGTTAGCCTTACTTTTTTTTCGATTTTGGCCAAAAAATGAATTTTCTCCAAATTACTCAGAAATGCTTAAGGATGCTTTGGGGGTATGATTTAATATTCAGACCGGCAAAATTCGCTAAATTTTGGCCAAAATTGTGACATTATTGGGTAAAATTTCATATACTTGTATTTGACCTATTTTACCTCAAATTGTGGACGCAATATTTCCTTTTAAAAGGCCTATCTGTCAGATGTAGGAGTGGAAACGTGTTCTAGGGACCCTGAGGTATCTTCCTAGCAAGTTTCAAGAAATTTCATTTTTTGGCCAAAGTTGAAAAAAAATGTAAGGGGTTAGCCTTACTTTTTTTTCGATTTTGCCCAAAAAATGAATTTTCTCCAAATTACTCAGAAATGCTAAAGGATGCTTTGGGGGCATGATTTAAAATTCAGACCAGCAAAATTCGCTAAATTTTGGCCAAATTGTGACATTATTGGGTAAAATTTCATATACATGTATTTGACCTATTTTACCTCAAATTGTGGACGCAATATTTCCTTTTTAAAGGCCTATCTGTCCGATGTAGGAGTGGAAACGTGTTCTAGGGACCCTGAGGTATCTTCCAAGCAAGTTTCAAGAAATTTCATTTTTTGGCCAAAATTGAAAAAAAATGTAAGGGGTTAGCCTTACTTTTTTTTCGATTTTGGCCAAAAAATGAATTTTCTCCAAATTACTCAGAAATGCTTAAGGATGCTTTGGGGGTATGATTTAATATTCAGACCGGCAAAATTCGCTAAATTTTGGCCAAAATTGTGACATTATTGGGTAAAATTTCATATACATGTATTTGACCTATTTTACCTCAAATTGTGGACGCAATATTTCCTTTTAAAAGGCCTATCTGTCAGATGTAGGAGTGGAAACGTGTTCTAGGGACCCTGAGGTATCTTCCTAGCAAGTTTCAAGAAATTTCATTTTTTGGCCAAAGTTGAAAAAAAATGTAAGGGGTTAGCCTTACTTTTTTTTTCGATTTTGGCCAAAAAATGAATTTTCTCCAAATTACTCAGAAATGCTTAAGGATGCTTTGGGGGCATGATTTAATATTCAGACCAGCAAAATTCGCTAAATTTTGGCCAAATTGTGACATTATTGGGTAAAATTTCATATACATGTATTTGACCTATTTTACCTCAAATTGTGGACGCAATATTTCCTTTTTAAAGGCCTATCTGTCCGATGTAGGAGTGGAAACGGGTTCTAGGGACCCTGAGGTATCTTCCTAGCAAGTTTCAGTAATTTCATTTTTTGGCCTAAATTGAAAAAAATGTAAGGGGTTAGCCTTACTTTTTTTTCGATTTTGGCCAAACAATGAATTTTCTCCAAATTACACAGAAACGCTTAAGGATGCTTTGGGGGTATGATTTAATATTCAGACCGGCAAAATTCGCTAAAATTTGACCAAAATTGTGACATTATTGGGTAAAATTTCATATACATGTATATGACCTATTTTACCTCAAATTGTGGACGCAATATTTCCTTTTAAAAGGCCTATCTGTCTGATGTAGGAGTGGAAACGTGTTCTAGGGACCCTGAGGTATCTTCCTAGCAAGTTTCAAGAAATTTCATTTTTTGGCCAAAATTGAAAAAAATGTAAGGGGTTAGCCTTACTTTTTTTTCGATTTTGGCCAAAAAATGAATTTTCTCCAAATTACTCAGAAATGCTTAAGGATGCTTTGGGGGTATGATTTAATATTCAGACCGGCAAAATTCGCTAAAATTTGACCAAAATTGTGACATTATTGGGTAAAATTTCATATACATGTATATGACCTATTTTACCTCAAATTGTGGACGCAATATTTCCTTTTAAAAGGCCTATCTGTCTGATGTAGGAGTGGAAACGTGTTCTAGGGACCCTGAGGTATCTTCCTAGCAAGTTTCAAGAAATTTCATTTTTTGGCCAAAATTGAAAAAAATGTAAGGGGTTAGCCTTACTTTTTTTTCGATTTTGGCCAAAAAATGAATTT